TATATATATATATATATATAGTAGACTAGTCCTCTGTATATATAGCAGACTATTCCTCTATATATATAGTAAACTAGTCCTCTGTATATATATTAGACTAGTCCTCTGTATATTTATTAGACTAGTCCGCTATATATAGAGTAGACTAGTCCCCTATATATAGAGTAGACTAGTCCTCTACATTTAGAGTAGACTAGTCCTCTATATATAGAGTAGACTAATCCTCTATATGTATATGGAGTAGACTAGTCCTCTATATATATATATATATATAGTAGACTAGTCCCCTATATATAGAATAGACTAGTCCTCTATGTATAGAGTAGACTAGTCCTCTATAGATAGAGTAGACTAGTCCTCTATATATATAGTAGACTAGTCCTCTATATATAGAGTAGACTAGTCCTCTATATATAGAGTAGACTAGTCCTCTGTATATAGAGTAGACTAGTCCTCTATATATAGAGTAGACTAGTCCTCTGTATAAAGAGTAGACTAGTCCTCTATATATAGAGTAGACTAGTTCTCCATATATAGAGTAGACTAGTCCTTTGTATATAGAGTAGACTAGTCCTCTATATATAGAGTAGACTAGTCCTCTACATATAGAGTAGACTAGTCCTCCATATATAGAGTAGACTAGTCCTCTGTACATACAGTAGACTAGTCCTCTATATATAGAGTAGACTAGTCCTCTATATGTAGAGTAGACTAGTCCTCTGTATATAGAGTAGACTAGTCCTCTATATATAGAGTAGACTATTCCTCCATATATAGAGTAGACTAGTCCTCTGTATATAGAGTAGACTAGTCCTCTATATATAGAGTAGACTAGTCCTCTGTATATAGAGTAGACTAGTCCTCTGTATATATCTAGAAAAGACTAATCCTTGTTACCAGGTTTAGTATCCAAGGTTCCCCAATCAAGGTTTGCCTCCAGGAGATCATCAATATTTCTGATCTTTATCCCTCTGAACATGGAAAAATTAAAAGCGAAGACCAAACCCTGAAGGGTGTCCCAGTAATCATTTGTTTCTAATCATGTAAGTGTTAAATTACAAGGTATTCCGGAAACCTTGGTCCTCCTTTTATCTTGACAAATTTTAATCAAAATCATACTCAAATTATGAAATTCAATAGTCAAGAATTTCTAGATAGTTATTGGTTATTCTTGTTCTACAGAACACCCTGTAATTTAAAGGGCGAACCCTGACCAGACTGAAATTACTTATATAGGGCCAAGGCATCCATCAAACAAACGAACAAACAAACATGCCAGCCAAATTTGCATGTATACTTGAATAAGATGAGTTGAGATTTTCAAAGTAAACCCCACATTTTCGTAATCTCAAGCAGTCCCAGTTCTCTGCTCGGGTCTAAACTTTGCTTTTCTGACCCCGATGGCCTCTAATTGGTTGAACATGATCATGATTCGGCCCATTCGCGCATTTTCAATACCTTGGATTTGTAAATTTTGACACTAAAAATTAATTACGAAATTTAAAATTAAAAAAGTAACATTGAAACAAAATTTACAAGCTACGGTTCCTAAAATAGCAAGTCCTCAGCATTGTAACAAAAAAATTCAGATCAGTTTTAACTAAAACCGGTCCAGCTTAAACTTTATTCAGTCTTAGGTCGGGCTTTACATCGGCGTAAATAGACGCTAAAACCGGGTTTTACTTAGGTTTATGTTTTTAAATCTTAGCTCTGACCTGACTTTCATGTTATCAGAATGAGGAAGATCTTCACGAATATTTATCTCTTGTAGACCATGTATTTCTAGAGCCATGAAGGGCATGTNTAGTTTCTTAAACAAGGCAATATTATAGTTTGTTAGTTTCCTAAACCAGGCAATATTATCCTTTGCTAGTTTCCTAAACATGGTAATATTATAGTCTGCTAGTTTCTTAAACCAGGCAATATTATAGTTTGCTAGTTTCCTAAAGAAGGCAGTATTATAGTTTATTAGTTTCCTAAACCAGGCAATATTATAGTTTGCTAGTTTCCTAAAGAAGGCAGTATTATAGTGTGCTAGTTTCTTAAACCAGGCATTATTATAGTTTGCTAGTTTCCTAAAGAAGGCAGTATTATAGTTTATTAGTTTCCTAAACCAGGCAATATTATAGTTTGCTAGTTTCCTAAACTTATCCTTTGCTAGTTTCCTAAACAAGGCAAAATTATCCTTTGCTACTTTCCTAAAGAAGGCAGTATTATAGTTTATTAGTTTCCTAAACATGGTAATATTATAGTTTGCTATGACTATCTACGTGTATTAATAATCTAAGTTCACACTTTAATATTTTCCTGACGAGTATGACTCAGCTCCTTTGTGTACTTACTATATCTATGTTGTTAATAATTCATGACTAGCTCATAAATCAGCAATCAATCCAATATTATTCATTCCGTGAACTTTTAGTTCACATATCAGACTTACTATCAAGTGATTTTTATGAATAGAGTGGAATGTCTGAATAACAACCTAAACCTCTGAACCACCAGACTGCTTATCTCCTTTCACAGGGTGGGCTACGTAGGCCTAAGTTACAACTTTTAAAGAAATACTCCTTTTTCAAACATGAAACATAACATTTATGAATTCAGTCTTTTTTTTTGAAGATTTTGTGTTTCGTATCTAAAGGATCCTTAAATATCCCTGAATACAGATGTTTGCTGATTGGTCGTGTACAGTACTTGTACACAATAGAACATGCTGTGGAAAATATCGCAAACTTTAGCTAATAATCGATCTCTACAACTCTCTTATCTCTGCTCTGAACCTTTGTCTGATTAAGTATAACGTAGATATTCTTAATTTTTCTAAATAAAAATTGAGTCCTGAGAGGCCTGTTTCCTTTGGTACCAAAATTAATAATTGCTTTCATTTAAAAAATGAAAATAACAAAGAAGTAACGTAATATTAAAATTTTGTATTGACTTTTTCCATTGATCGCATAACGAATTTATTGTGCATAACTGTATGTTCCAACGATTTGATTAATAATTTTTGAGTCGTCTTTACTTTAAGTTCAGTACACATTTGTGCGGACGAATCAGAATGAGCTCACAATCCAATAATTCCATAGTTATTTAAATATTTCAATAACAAATAAGATAATATTATTTTAAAAATATCAAACAGCATTCATACAAGGTTACTACAAATTACAAGCGTTTTTACGGTTAAAATGTCTAAGCACTCCAGTTTTTAGTCAAATATTTCAAGTTTTCTCCTTCATGTTTAATCAGACCTAAGTTTAAAGAATACCAATGTCAAGTATTTACCTAAAATGTGATGTATCCAAGTACTTTTCTACCCGCAACTGATTCAAAGTTTTAGAGAACGGATTGATATTTGGTTCTCTAAAAACCCTGTAAGGTTTGTACTCCGGGAGAACAATATTGTTCAGCTCAGGTCGATCCCGGAGAAATGCGTCCTGTCCTGCCACTCCTGCATCCGGAAATATTGTTGATCTAACATGAAGTTTAAACACATTTCTAACACACAAATGTAAATATTGCAAATCTGTGTCATGAATGACTATACAAAGAACACTTGCATAGGTTTTAATTTTTGCATTTTGAAAAGAAAACAGTTTGTCGAGTGGGAAGGAACGTGTGTTTGTGTGAGCAGTTGAATGATGAGATCATTCCTAATTTTTTTAATCTTTTTCTGTCAACTATACTCCGGGTTGAGACCCAGGAATCAGAGCTCTCAGTTTTCTCCGACCTTGATAGTAAACCTAGTTTTAATATGTAGTAAAAAATAGAATATCAACATGTAGCAAGGAACTGATTACTCTTCTCATACTCTAATTATAATAACTTTCCAACCGGATTCGACCTGTTTCAATATATTAAAATTTACACTATCACACGTCAAACTGAAGTAAATTGCACGTTAGCTTGAAATGTTATATATTTTCAATCGTACCTCCTTTTATCGTAGAGTTATTGATAAAACGTTTTGAATTTCTAATATGTAATCTCAACTACAGGAGCTACGAGGGAACAAAGTCATACCAGTGTTGTCGCAGAAATTTGACCTTTTCCTTCTGTCTAGTTCAGTGTGATTAGGTTGTAAAGATAAAGCGATTTTAAAAATTGAAATTGAGAAGAGTAATCAAATCCTTTACCTTTTATGAATAGATAGTTTAATATCTTCCTTCACCATCTCCTGAATAACTGCATCCTTGAACTCCTTCACCTGTTCCAGATTACCTTGAACAGGTTCAATCTGAGAAACCTCCTCAATAACTGCATCCTTGACCTCTTTCACCTGTTCCAGATTATCTTGAACAGCTTCAAGCTCAGACACCTCCTGAATATTCTCCTTTAAAAATACTAGCTGAAGGTTCCCAGCGTTGCTTATGGAATTTCAAAAAAAAAGCCAATGTAACCCCCAGGTACCCATGGATTCCCTCAAAAAGCCTATGTAACCCCCAGGTACCCATGGATTCCCTCAAAAAGTGTTCAGTCAATTTTGTCCAGCCGATTGGCCAGCTATATATTATGAGCAAAGAGCTTTATTAAAAGATTAAATGGTCAACGTAAATACAAGATTTGCCATCAATTACTCTGCTATAAATTTTAATCATCAGAGGATTTCACAAAGTTCAAAAAGTGGATACAATTTGATACGAACATGATACGCTTTTTTATACAATTAATAGATCAGTAATTTTTAAAAGATAATTTTATTGTCAAATTAAGTAAATAGCTTCTGAAAGGAGGCTCCGACATTAATTAATGTTTTTAAGACACCCTGTATTATGAACCCATATTGTGAATGTGCAGCGTTAAATACAGTATCTTGTGTACATCTTATCATGTATTCCTTGTTATTTCTATCTTTTCTATTGGGGGGTTATATACAATAAATACATTTATGTAATATGTTTATTATAATAAATTGTGAAAATACACTAAAAATGTCTGGATTTTCAACCTTTGGATCCTTCTTTTAGATTCTATCCTTAAGTCCTGAATTTCTATTAAAATTTATGACACTAGGCTTTCCTGTAAATAATTTTAGCTTTTATCTGTTGCTCTGAAAGTGGGCCATTTTAAATCATTTAAAAATGTTGGCGGATTTTCTTTTCGAATTTGCGCAATAGAAAAAAAAATCCCAAATATTTTCCATTTTCGTTCAGATGTTTTGACGTTTATTGGTCACAAACAAACAAACCGACACATAAAATAGAAGCACTTAAACCGAGAATTGATGAATTTGAGTCCGACAAATACAGAGCTGGGAATTTTTGTTTTGAATCTACAACCAAGTCTAGGATTAGATTTAGACTTAGATTTATCATTTCAGAAGTTGAACCTGTCTTCTTAAACATCTGACCATGCACTGGATATTAAGTTGAGGAACTGAATTCCTGGACGTAAATTTATGATTTCTTCTGTAAAGTTTAACCACTGAAAATCAAGTTCAGAAACTGAATTCCTGGACAATACAAAATTTTCCAGCTCAGGACGAATCCATATAGTTTATCCATTACATATAAAAACAGGAAGGGTAAAAAAATGAGATCACATTCTCTAAAACGCTATGCGCGGTGCAGGTCACCCACTTTATAGTGATGATTATCGTTTGCAGTTTCTTCAAACTTTTTGGTTTTGAATAAGTGCATGAAGTTTGTTTAATGTTATAAAGAAGTTTATGTTTCGATGAATATTTTATGCTTCAATAAATATTTTGTGTTTCGATAAAGATTTTATGTTTCGATAAAGATTTTATGTTTCGATAAAGATTTTATGTTTCAATAAAGATTTTATGTTTCAATAAAGATTTTATGTTTCAATAAAGATTTTATGTTTCAATAAAGATTTTATGTTTCAATAAAGATTTTATGTTTCGATAAAGATTTTATGTTTCAATAAAGATTTTATGTTTCAATAAAGATTTTATGTTTCAATAAAGATTTTATGTATAAAGATTTTATGTTTCGATAAAGATTTTATGTTTCAATAAAGATTTTATGTTTCAATAAAGATTTTATGTTTTGATAAAGATTTTATGTTTCGATAAAAATTTTATGTTTCGATAAAGTTGTTTCCCTACTTGGAGTTTTGTTTGTAATAAATTTTTTTATTCTGTAAAGACTTTTTTTTCTGTTTTAAAGATTTTTTAAAAATGTTTAAAGGATTTTTTTCTTTTAAAAATTTTCTTTGTTGTATGATAGTAGAGATATGCCCTGAAATATTGATGTATGATAAAATAATACTCAAACATAAAGAAAGAGGTTTGATAAGAAAACTAATCTTTCTTTTCTAATTCAAACTTTGTGCTGACTTTTAAACTTCTCTGAAGTCTTACAGTGGTTTTTCAAGTTTTATTTTGATACGTTTTAAAACATTTTAAATAATTTTTAAATCTTTAACAGAAGGTAGAAAATTTGTCCATGAAGATATTCTAGCAGTAAATATCAAATATGCATTTACCCAAAAATACATAAATATATTCTATGAAGTTTAGATTTAGTTTAGTACGCATTGTAGCGAATCTGATGTATTTTTTTTTAAAGAAATTAACTATCTATTTATAAAAAAGAATAAAAACATACCCAATTAAGTGTTTCAGGAGAAAATATTTAAAAACCTCCAAAAAAGAGGTTGTGGGATTATTTCCCCCGAATTCTAAAAGAAATAAGGAATAGAATAAGGAAGAATAAGGAAGAGAAAAGGAAAGGAAAAGGAAAGTTACATATTTATTGTTTACATTACATTTTATATAACTTGTGGTGGATTGTTAGCATTTTTCGACGATGAACTAACAACTTTTAGAAATAAAGAGTAAAGATTTGTTTGTAATATTGAAAAAATAAGATAGGCTTTATGGGTTGTGAAAAAGATATAGGTTCTACCCAAAACGAGCATTTCTAAGCATCTTTTTAATTCGCGCCGATTTTCGACATCCTTTATGTTTGATTATATTGTTTACTCTTTTTAATCTTTTTCGTCTTTTCTTTGTAAACAAAGCCTATTTACAAAATGTGCTTTTTATTTTAAGTAATTAAAATTTTCCGAAACAAAAAGTTTTGTAAGCCTTTTACAACCCAAAGAAATTAAGTCTATGCCACAAACTCAAATTTTTTAATCCCAATATATTTCAAACTTAGAATTTTATCTGATCTCACAGAATTCATAGTTTGAAATATCTGAGGTCTACCATGCCTTTTCTTTCAAAATCTATATGGATAGAGTTAGCTGCAAACAATTATTGCTAAGAATTTGTCCAATCGCGTGTCGAATTTGAATAAAGACCAAGCAGGAAAATAGGAAACAATGTTTTTGTTTCAAACACAAAACAGAAGAGTTACTAACTCCTTGACTAAACATTTAAGTTTGTCCTAAATCTATATATTCAATATTCATATCTATAATTTTATATCTGCCAAAACAAACTAAAGTAAATTGCACGTTAGATTGAAATGTTACATGTTTTAAAGGGAGTGTTCACGAAAACTGAAAGGGGGTATAGGCTTACGGAGAAAAATAAGCGCTTTCATCGCTACTAATCTATCTGTTGCGTCTAAAAACAGAAAATTGTTAAAAACGACTCATGCTAAAGAGCATAGCGTCCATACAAATTCAGAAAGTTGCAACATTCAACTCGGATCGTAAAATAATCAATACAATTCCAAACAAATTATTCAGATATTACAAACAATAGTCATCGACCTTTTTTCGACGCATTCGTATATAGTTCGATGGTTATTGGTTGTAATATCTGAATGATTTGTTTGGAAATAAATTGATTTTTTACGATCCAAATTGAGTGTTGAAATTTTCGGAATTTGTATGGACGCTATTTCATTTTTTGCGAACACTCCCTTTGAACTTAATCATAACTCTTCTTATTGAAGAGCTATATGAGGAGAGAGAGCAAAAATGTTTTAAACTTCTGATATATAACTTGTCTAACGTGCTAATCTCATGCCTGTGTGTACAATATCAAAACTAGAGGAGCTACGAGGTCACAAAGTCGCAGTAGTAGTGTAACATAACCTGTTCTTCTGTCTAGTTTACAGTGCCACAACTCGGGCATTAACAGAGAATTTGCTTTTCACATTTGCTGAAGAAAACCTTTAAGATCAAGAAATGCCTATCCCATCATACGAAAATAATAAGTACTCCTTCCTTAGGTTAATTATACAGTAATACAAGTGGTCAATGCAAAACTACAGCTACCTCAATTATCCTCTCTGCTTAATCTCTGCAATAATTCTAACGATTCATATATTCATGTTTAAACCATCCTCGCTTTTACTTTCCTTGGCTGATATCTAATTACGTGACTATGTGGGGTTTCCGTATTATATTTTCCAAATAGTTTAAAATCAGAAAACTCGACCGGAAAGAAGCCGAGTTCTTGCCAGAAACTCAAATGTTCTAATTCCTATATCTTTGCAACCGAATGTCGTGCACTAGTTAAAACTATTAATTCATTGGATCAAATATTCTAATTTTAAAATATAAGAGGTGTACATCATCAAAAATATAGAGATTAAAAAATTTGGGCTTGTGGAAAAGACTCAATTCCTTTGTCCTAAACAATTGATGAAAACCGGAAACCATCTATAAAACCAAACCTTCTCAGAACTAGCAGATTTAGATTCAGTTTCTCCTTTCATTGAGCCACTGCTTTGTTCAGGTTGAGGTATAGGTTCAGATTCGTCCTCGGAGTCAGATTCAGATTTTATCTCAGTCTTCTCCTCGGTCAACCTGGACCAAGACAAAATTATATAAATCCTAACTCGAGTCTAGGGGGAGAAAAGTTCAAAACCATAGTTTGATCTAAATGTAAAACTGAGTGTCAGGTCCATCGACATCTATACACTGCACTGTTACGAACTGTTATTTATACCCTGAAGTTACGGACTACAGAGTTGTTTAGACATGCTTTTATATGATGCTTCTATCAACATACCAAATGCAACCGCTGATACCTTGCATCCTGGATACTGTAATACCTAAATATCTAGGTACCAGTACAAACATCAGACGGTACAAACCTAAGACTTACAAACGTCGGACATTACAAACGTTGGACCAGGACAAACGTCGGACGGTACAAACCTAAGACTTACAAACGTCAGACCAGTACAAACGTTGTACTAAGGGGGGAAAAAATTGAATTTTAAGATTAAAAAAAAGTTATTTCCTTTAATATCGACTGGTCTAAGAAAAATTTACCCAAAGGAACTGAGTACTTGCCACTAACTTAAATATTCTTATCCCTATATCTTTGCAACCTGGTAATGGTATTAACCTTTAATACTTTCAAACTTAAACTGTTTGATCTCATATATTTCATAGGTTGAAATATTAAATGTTATACGACGTCGGTTTGCAAAGATACAGGCATTGAAACATCAGATCGAGTTTGTGACGATTCAACTCAAATCCTTTTTGGTCTGTTGTTTTATACAGTGCTACCTTCAAAGGATGAGACTTTAGTCATTTGTATTTGATTTGTATAACAATAAGTGAGTAATTTTTCATTTACTTCTTATAGCAATGGCCTTTTTTCAAACTTATTTAAAGTCCGACGTTTTTCCTTATAAATGTACCCGTCCGACGTTTGTGCCGGTGCGACGTTTGTGCTGGTCCGACGTTTGTACTAATCCGAGGTTTGTACCAGTCCTACGTTTGTAAGTCCGACGTTTGTATTGTCCTACCTTTGTAATGTCCTACCTTTGTACCAAATATCTACATGGCACCTTGCATACTTGGCCACGGGCACCAGGATACCTGGACACCAGGATTCCTGGACACCAGGATCCCTGGACACCAGGATCCCTGGACACCAGGATCCCTGGACACCAGGATCCCTGGACACCAGGATCCCTGGACACCAGGATCCCTAGACACCAGAATTCCTGGACACCAGGATACCTGGACACCAGGATACCTGGACACCAGGATACCTGGACACCAGGATACCTGGACACCAGGATACCTGGGCACCAAGATACCTGGACACCAGGATATCTGGACACCGGGATCCCTGGACACCAGGATACCTGGACACCAGAATGACACCAGGATACCAGGATACCTGGACATCAGGATACCTGGACACCAGGATACCTGGACACCAGGATACCTGGACACCAGGATACCTGGACACCAGAATACCTGGACACCAGGATACCTGGACACCAGGATACCTGGACACCAGGATACCTGGACACCAGGATACCTGGACACCAGGATACCTGGAAACCAGGATACCTGGACACCAGGATTCCTGGACACCAGGATACCTGGACACCAGGATACCTGGACACCAGGATACCTGGAAACCAGGATACCTGGAAACCAGGATACCTGGAAACCAGGATACCTGGACACCAGGATACCTAGACACCACGATACACGGACACCACGATACCTGGGCACCAGGATACCAGGACACCAGGAGAAGAATACCTGATCTGAGTAATATGTTCACAGCAGAGTGCCAGGACTGAATCCTCGTCTCCGGGTTCAAGATAGATTCCAGGTTTGCCAAATTCAATCTAAAAATATCCAAGTATTTTTCCTTCTAGTTTAGATTTGAATCCAGTGACAGCAATTATTCGGTTAATTGTAATAATCTAAAACTAGTTTACAGGGACTGTTTTGGTAGAATCTGGAATAGTTTTATAAAATCTATTTTACCGAAGATTTTCAAGACGAATTGGACTTTTAAATAAGTAAAAAAAAAAAGTTAAATAATTATTACCTCTTTTCCAAGTACTGAAAAAGCTGGAAAGTGTAGGCTCAAGGTCTGTATTATAACAGCATTGTTAAGATCCCAGAGTTTGAGCACAGCATCCTTGGAGTAGGATAGGAGCAGTTTTCTCTCAACCCGGAGCCGGAGATCTATTATACCAGCTTTATGTCCGCTAAGAACAGAGGTTGCTCTAAATATTTAGAAATTTTAAGTCGAGGAATAAATAATTTTTTGTCACTAGGGGTGTACTCTGGAATTTGTCCGGGAGGCCTGAAAACCCCCTAGAAACCATAGATTTTACTGATCTAGAGAGAGGGGCTGAACCTCCTTACCCCCCCCCCTGAGTACGTCTATAAATATCGTCTAATATAAATCATTTACAACCCTTTTATAGAAAGTTACAATATATTTGCATTGCAAGGGTGTATGTATATATAGTGTATGTCTCAAAAATACCACATAAAATAACATTATTAAAAAATACCAGAAAAACGTAGTGTTTTACAAAAATCTTACTTAGTAGAAAAAGGGCGATATTAGAGGGACAGAGTAATTGTCTAAAATATACAGGATCACCCACAAAAGATGAGACTTGAGAAACGACTGTACGGAATTCATACTGCCTGTTTCCTTATCTTTATAATTCCCTGCGAAGGAATTGAGTTTTTGCCACAAACTCAAATCTTCTGCTCCCAATATCTTTGCAACCTGATGGTGCAAACCTTTGATATTTCAAACTTAGATTATTTAATCTTTAAGTACTAATAGTTTGAAATATCTAAGGTCTATGACATTGGGTTACAAAGATATAGAGATTAGAAAATCAGAGTTTGTGGCAAAAACTCAACTCCTTTGTTTATCTCATTGCCCAATTATAAAAAAGTCCATAAAAAGACTATTTCAAGGCAGAATACTTAATTTAAAAAGTTTCCGGTCGTCTTTCCTGTCTCATCCTTTTTCGGTATCCCTGTTTGTAAAGGCTAGGTGAATACCTGGATGTAACTACAGGGTTCCATAATCTAACTTTCATATCATTACTTCCAGTTGCCAGAACTCCCAACTCAGTACTTTAGAATGGGATGATTAGTAATCTTAACCAGCAAATATTTGCTGTCTCAACACTTTTCAATCAATAAACAACACAAAGGGATTGTACACTTCTTGGAAAACTAAACTTACCGCTCAAAAATGTCGAGGCCAGAATGCAAGACAAAAACCATTATAACTATTGGGGCTTTGTTTGATGTGCAGTTAAAAGCAGCCATTATAGATGTCTTTATTTTTCATAGATATGACTAGATATTTATACGTACACTAACTGAAGGGCCCGACGTTGCCCGTGGAAAAAGAAAAAAAATGTTAAACAAAATTTGAGTGTCCACAAAACATTTTAGCCCAATCAGTCCAGCTGTTTGGCCGGTTATACGCAACATATTTATATATACGAATGTCTTGTTTTATTATATAGGTAACGATCACATATGCTAATAAGGCCCAAATAAATCTTTAGATAACTAAGTTAACTAAAATTTGCTATGACTCAAGAGCATAAAAGATTTTGTTTTAAGTTTCTAATGGTCCGGTTTGTCCCATAAAATTGGTTTCTTAGTGAAATGTTGGCAAGAGTCAAAACTGCATGCATACCACATGAAATTCCTGGAAAATACAGGGCTGCCCACCAAGGATGAGACAAAATCTATACTGATTTTTTGATCTAGCAGAACTCATAGTTTGAAATAATTGGGATGCAAAATTAGAAAATCATAGTTTGTGACAAAGACTCAATTCCTTTACTATTTTATGCGTTCAGGACTTTGTAGATACTTTTCTTAATACTAAGAGTCTTCAGTATAATTTATTCTACAAGATGTACAATCCTAAATACAACCTGATATCAAAGCATCGAACCCCCCAGGCGAGTTTAAAGATGTACTGATCAAACTTTCCATCTAAATAGACAGTTTTTTTCTTACGTTCAAGTAACACTTTTATCTTTTTATCTTTTACTTTATCTTTGTACATTTCAAAACTAAAATATTTGGCAGATTTTCCAAAGTTTATAAATTGAATTAGATTGTTTTGGAGAAAAAAGCTGAATATTTCCTATGTGAGTTATTATGACAGATGAACTGCTATCTCTACTTGTTGTAACAACAGTTCTAATTTTGAAAACTTTTACTTTGTATTTTGCTTGAAAAATTCTACCATACTTAAGTTAGTAGGGGAGGGGGGGGGGGCTTGCCTTTTTTGCAAACAAAAACCAAATACCAGAGTTCTTATAAAACTAAAACTAATGGGTTCTTGGTAAAGAATCTCGTAAAAAGTTTTATTTTCCTGTTTTCACTGAGATATCTGATTCCACTAACTGCATCCCCATGCACACCCTAGGTAATGGAATATATATATAAAATCAATGGTTATATATTTATCTGTAATGAATGGAGTACTTGTGTGAAGTAAATTGAGAATCTGAGTATAGTGAATGGAGTAGTTAAGTATAAAGAATGGAGTACCTGAGTATAATGAATGGATTACCATAGTATAATAAATGGAGTACATAAGTATTATGAATGGAGTACCTGAGTATAATGAATGGAGTACCTGAGTATAACAAATAGAGTACCTTAGTATAATAAACGGAGTACCTGTGTGTAATGAATGGAGTACCTGAGTATAATGAATTGTAGCGTACTCTGTATGTTTCTCCATCCTCTGCCAGAACAGTGTCTGGACACTGTCAACTTCATCCTTCTTGAACAAAGAGTTCGGAGGCTGGGAGAATCTAATAGAATATATATTTCGGAGGCTTGGAGAACCTGATAGAATATATATTTCGGAGGCTGGGAGAACCTGATAGAATTTATAGTTTCGGAGACTTAAAGAACTTATAGTATTGGAGGCTGGGGGAACCTGGTAAAATACAGAGTTCGGAGGCTGGGAAAATCTGATAGACTATATAGTTCGGAGGCTGAGAGAACCTGATAGAATAGATATTTTGGAGGCTCAGAGAACTTGATAGAATATAGAGTGTTTGGAGGCTGGAAAAGCATGATAGAATGGAGAGTTTGGAGGCTGAGAGAAACTACAAAAGATCTTATAGTTTTGGAGGCAGGGGGAAACAGATAGAAAAGATAGTTCGGAGGCTGGGAGAACCTGGTAGAATAGAGAGTTTGAAGGATGGGAGAACCTGATATAATAGAGAGTTTGAAGGCTGGGAAAACCTGATATAATAGAGAGTTTGAAGGCTGGGAAAACCTGGTAGAATAGAGAGTTTGAAGGCTAGGAGAACCTGATATAATAGAGAGTTTGAAGGCTGGGAGAACCTGATAGAATAGAGAGTTTGAAGGCTGGGAAAACCTGGTAGAATAGAGAGTTTGAAGGCTAGGAGAACCTGATAGAATATAATGTTCGGAGGCTGGGAAAACCTGATAGAATATAAAGTTCGGAGGCTGGGAAAACCTGATAGAATATAAAGTTCGGAGGCTGGGAAAACCTGATATAATAGAGAGTTTGAAGGATGGGAGAACCTGATAGAATAGAGAGTTTGAAGGATGGGAGAACCTGATAGAATAGAGAGTTTGAAGGATGGGAGAACCTGAAAGAATATATAGTTCGGAGGCTGGGAGAACCTGATAGAATATATAGTTCGGAGGCTGGGATAGAAAACCTGAAATTTTGTGCTTGAATGACTGATTGAAAGTTTTGCACATACCTAATAATAGATAGACCTCCTCCATCATCTCCAAACATCAGAAGACTAGGTCCATCCTCTTTCTCCGGGTCATACCTTGATAAAAAAAATATATATATCTAAAAAATCAAAATCATGATTTAAAAATGCCACAGTATTACTTTAAGAAGTGTGTTCACATAAAGCGTTCCCATTTATAGTAAACAAATATTACTCTTTTCATTACACTTTTTTTTGGTATATATAATTAATGTATAGAATTGTAAATTTACCAGAAATCTAAACATGTTGGTATATTTTTTAATCCAAATCCACGATATTCTTCATAATGAACAGAGGCGGATGCATCAAAGAAGTGAATTGTTCTAAAAAAAATATTTTAAGCATACAATATTCTTTAGATATTTATACAATATTCTTTAGATATTTATATGGATATTTACTTTCAGTTTCCAAATGATGTCGAGATCAATCATATCAACTCAATCTCAAAATGTTCATGTTTGAAAATAAAAACAGAAGACAATTTTCCTTCTCAAAGACGATTAATCAATCACACATAAGGGAGCCAATTAATGCTTCAAGTCAATGGAACTACTTCTACTACCTACCGCATGCCTGGAGGAGGTCACCAGGGAACCCTTCTTAGAGTCCTTAAATACCTTGTCCAGTGCAATGATAATGCTAATTGGGTAAGATGGTGTCGGGCTTAAGATTTATAAATGTGGATGATCTCTCAATTTTAGAACTTGTATCTCTTTCTTATCGTTCGGTTCACTCAGCTGTTTAAGCTAGGATATATTCAAAGACTAATGAACAATATCTATTTATATAAAGTTGTAATTTCTGTTTGTCTTTCTGTTTGTTTTTCCGATCATAACTCAGGAACCCCTGGACTAATTTGACCCACATTTTGATTGGAGAACTCGGGAGAGCCGCGGGAAAAGTCTTAGCTCGGTTTTGAGATTCTAGATTGAGAGGGTCCACTTATACAGGGAAAAATAGCTAAAATCGTAATTTATGACAAAGCGCGGGTAATCAGTGGGTTTGACTAAGACTCCCCTGGACATAGATAACATAAAGTTTTTGACTCAAAATCTGATTTTGTAATTCCTACATTTTTTCAGCCTAATGTTGCAAACTTAGATATTTGAGACTATGAATTCTGTGAGATCAAATAATCTTAGTTTAAAATATCAAATTTCTACACAATAAGGTTGAAAAGATATAGGAATTAGAAAATTTGAGCCTGTGGCAAAGATTCAAAATCTTTTGATTTTGTTGGTTTTGCTAATGTTGCTAATTTTAAATGTATATCCTGTTTTATACTTGAATGGGTTCATGATCTCACATCATAATATTATTATTTTATTGAAATCCAAACACAAGTCAATATTTGTCCCGGCTTAAAATAAAGTGAGTCTGTATAAATAATGCGGTCACTAGAAATAAGTGAGTCTGTATAAATAATGCGGTCACATGAAGAATGAATAGTTATAGTTGAGGAAAAAAACTAATATTTTTTTTGCATCGTGCAATTAGGAATTTGTTAAAAAGTTGCTCCTTTAAATTAAGTTTAAAAAAAGTATTGAATATTTAGTAATTGTTTTATTTTCAAAATCTTTTCATAAACCATAATGGTAACTCAAAAAATTCTTCAAAAGTTTTATCAATGGTTTTTAAAAAGTTCTTTTGATTTAAAAAAAGTTTTATTTTCATAAAAAATTATCCTAAAGAAATTTTCCTAAAACGTTTGACCCAAAGTATTAATCAAATAAATTATTTCATTATAAATAAACTTTGATTATTTGGCTAAATAACAAGGAATTTTTCATAAAATCTGTTTAAAAACAAAGAAACTTCGGAATGTTGTTCTCCCAAATAGCAAAATAATTGTACATATTTCACTGCTATAGAATATACCTTAACGATGATGTATAAACCATATGTTTAGAGTTATTCATCCAGATTGCATCCGTAATCCAACCTGGATCAGAAGCTCCAACGTCAAGGTCGGAGTCAGGATCAGTATCAATATCGATCTCGTATTTCCGCTGGAGACGAAGCTTGTCGTCGTATATCCCGACGTGGCCGAACTTGCTGATGATGATGTAGACGAAGGATGAGCCGGTGGAGACAGGGATCATCTTCACTATAGTTTCTCTCCTAATATGTACATGGTGTGAGGTATAGGCAACGAGGTTATAGTGTATAGAGTGATGATGTACGCTAATCCTTTACTAATTTTATAGGCCATAAACTATACCGAGAGCGTACTGCATATTTGTTTATTATAAGTTAATTCTGGCCTAAACTATAGTATATCAATATTAGTAAAAAGATGTAAGTGCACAGTACAGCTAACTGAGCACACAGGTAAAGAACTATCATCCCCCCTGGGTATAGGTACATGTAAGTACTGTTGGGCATCGCTTTAAGACCCGTTTTGAGACATTTAAGTTTTTTACATTTAAATTGTTTCACAAGAATGTGATTTATTAATTAAATTGCAAAATTGTGTTCTCAATAAGTTTGCTTTAATCAACATTACGTGAATATTTTTCTCTGATTAACCAAAACGATTTGAAAAACGAATAAAAGAATAAAATTTTTGCATAATTTAATAAAAGCACAATTGTTTAGCATGCAATTTTGAATTGGGACTCTTGTGAAATCTCTTAAAAGTTGAATAACGTTGAATATTTTAAAACGTTCCTCATAACGATGCAGATCAGTAGATGTAAGAAGGATGTACTAAGTACTGTTATGAAACGGAAAATCTAATTTGAATTCTTAAGATAATTGTTTTCTTCTTGTTTTTAGAAGAATTGAAGGCTTTATTCTATTTAAAGGAAAAGAAAATCAACAGAAAATGGAGCGTAAGAAAACGTTAATTTAGTGACCCTCCCGTTAATGAATAGGCATGTGTGACTCAAACCTCTATCAAATAGGAGGAAGATATCATCGTTTTTTATTTAAAAATGTTGAATTCGGATAATTTCCTCCATTAAACTACAATCTAAAATAAACTATTTTCAGCTAGAAAAACTGGGATATCTCACTTATTCATGATCATACGAAGATTTAAAGGTTGGGAATGAAATTATGTCTACTGCCGTACTTTAAGTTTTGTAAAGTTTTAGAATAATTTTCTTGACAATTGTATACCTTGAGTGCTGACAGGCCTTGAAGTCTCCATCATGTACCATTGGAAATATATTCTTATTCCTTTCAGCTTCCTTCTCTTTACCTGGAATATACAAGAGAAGGTGTGGAGCATACAAATATGAACAATTACACGTAGGGTTGAAATCTTATATATTTTCAATCATAACTACTCCAAAGACGGTAGAAGCTCTTTGAACTACTCTAATTGAAGAGCTATTCAGAAGAACAAAATGTTTTGAATTTCTAGTATATGTAAACAAATAATTTACTTGTGCGTAAAATCAAAACTAAAGGAGCTACAAGGTCACAAAGTCATATCAGCAATGTTGCACAAATTTCAGCTTCTCCTTCTATCTGGTTTGCACTGATTAAGTTATCATATTTCTACTGTTTGGATGTTAGAAACAGAGTTTAGAAGGAAAGGAGAAAGTAAAATTAAGAGATATAAGGAGGGAGAAAGTAAGAGTTTGGAGAGAATTTAGAGTTGGAGATATTTTGAGAAGGAAAGCAGATAAATTTGAACTTACCTATGAAGAAGTCCAGTAGGTTAGGCCAAGTGATAAACTAAAATAGAATTGAGAAATAATATTTATCTTTTATTTATAATAAAAAAGTAAATTTAAAAACAGAAATATATGAATACATGTAAAGTTAATAGTTTCTTTCTTCTTCAATGGAGTGTTCACGAGAAATAAAAAGATTAAAGGATACAAGTGAGCTTACTTGGTAGTTAGGTAGATTATGCCTTTCATAATATTCATATTTTGTATTGTAAATAGAACTATACAGTACTCACCGATCCATCTCTAGCGTTTACCTGGCCGCCTTTAGCAACAAGATCAAACCTGATCCATCTCTAGCGTTTACCTGGTCGCCTTTAGCAACAAGATCAAACCTGATCTATCTCTAGCGTTTACCTGGTCGCCTTTAACAACAAGATCAAACCTGATCCATCCCTAGCTTTTACCTGGCCGCCTTTAGCAACAAGATCAAACCCGATCTATACCTATCGTTTACCTGGCCGCCTTTAGCAACAAGATCAAACCTAATCCATCTCTAGCGTTTACCTGGCCGCCTTTGGCAACAAGATCAAACATTCGCTCTGCTGCTTCAACAAACCTAAAATAAATGTATTTTTAACAAGTATAGAGGAAATTAGTCTTTTCCACAAACTCTGTTTTGATAATCCCTATATCTCTGCAACCCAACCTTAGATATGTCAAAGTGTGAATTCCGCTAGATCAAATAATCTAAGTTTGAAATATCAAAGACTCAATTTCTTTCTCTTAGTTTTAAAACTGAATAATTTCAATATGTTAACTATAAGTTTACTTCAGATTGAACCCTGGTCGAGATAAGAAAGAGCATTAGCATTTTATGAGGTTATTGAATATTTCTATATTCTGATTGTTTGACGCCATGCAACAGAAGGATCGGATGAGCTAAAAGAAAAGGAAGGTCTGGAAACGGAAAGAACAGATTGAAAAGAGCAGGAGATAACATTGGGAAGAGAAAAGTGGGTTAAAAAGAGTAGAATGTGTGGAGTTGATAAAACCTCTCTAAGTTGGTGATACAAACCAAGTGCAGAAATATATGTATGCTAACCAGGCATAGGATTGGGTTATCTTTTAAACTAACCGTTTAGACACAGAAGGTCTTTTCTGCAGAGTGATAAAAAACAAGATGGAGGTCACGGAAAACTACACGAAGACCAATATGAATTGAAGACTTATGAGGCCGGCAAACGGTGATTAATTTTTATAGTAAAGTAAAATTTTTTAAACCTTTCATGACCAAGGAGGTTGCAGCAGATGAGAGAAAACTCTGGTTTGGATACTTTATCTACTCCCATAGAACTGCTGAACACAGAGTCAGGTTGGGTAGACTCAATCCCACTTTCATCTCCAGATATCATAAGACGCATCTATAAAATATACGAAGTTTGGTTTCTATTATTTCTCCTAATATCAAAACATATATCTGTATAAGTAAGGTTAGATAGATTCTATCCTCTTCTCTTAATAATAGAACATATATCTTCATACAGAAAACAGAGTTAGAAAGGATAGATTCTATCCTCTTCTCCTAATACTAGAACATATATCTGTACAGAAAACAGAGTTAGGTTGGATAGATTCTATCCTCTTCTCCTAATATAAAACATATATCTGTATAGAATACGGAGTTAGGTTGGATAGATTCTATCCTCTTCTCCTAATACTAGAACATATATCTGTACAGAAAACAGAGTTAGGTTGGATAGATTCTATCCTCTTCTCCTAATGCTAGAACATATATCTGCACAGAAAACAGAGTTAGGTTGGGTGTGGTAACAGTTCGCCCAATAACGTTTCACCCAATCACGTTTCACCCAAAATGTTTCACCCAATTCACGTTTCACCCAAAATACATTTCACCCAACTCACGTTTCACCCAAACTACACTAACTTAAGAGTTTCACCCAAAAAAAATCTTGCAAAATTTATTTTGACTCTCCCAGTATTTAGACTCTCCTGTTTCAGATTTGAGTTGATATTCATGGCTATACTCTCCTGTTTCAGATTTGAGTCGATATTCATGGCTATTTTGATCAATAAGAATGGGCTTCCCCCTTTTTGAGGAGATGTACTTAGCTACATGTAACTGTGCCGCCATGGTCAGATTAAATGTGGTTTTGCAGATTTCGAACAAAAAAGTTGTGGATTTACAACAATTTGCATTAATATATTTGTATATATGAGTCGACCCACTCAGATTAGATTTTTTTAACCAATCTAAAAACATTCCAACAATTCTCTTGTTTTTCCCAATCAAAATTTGAGGCAAATCGGTGTAGGGGGTTTTTGAGTTATGATCGGAAATCATAACTCATCGGCAATGTATGTTTTAGAAGAATAAAAAAAAGTTGGGTGAAACTCTTTAATAAGTGTAGTTTGGGTGAAACATAATTTGGGTGAAACGTAATTTGGGTGAAACGTAGTATTGGGTGAAACGTGAATTGGGGGAAACGTTATTGGGTGAAACGTTATTTTACCTAAAATTGGGTGAAACGTTTTGGGTGAAACGTGATTGGGTGAAACGTTATTGGGCGAACTGTTACCACACCGTTAGGTTGGATAGATTCTATCCTCTTCTCCTAATATAAAACATATATCTGTATAGATTACGGAGTTAGGTTGGATAGATTCTATCCTTCTATTCTAGTACTAGAACATATATTTTGTAAATGTTTCTTAGAATTAAATATACATTGTATTTACAACTTGAAATGATTCCTCTCAAATATGTCAAATATTTCACCCTTTATATATATTTTTATTTCTACAGTGTTGTCACTTGTAAGTAAACTTTATCATTTATTTACATATATAGATAAAAATACAGTTTAAATGAGAAATGACTTTGTAAAAATCTAGGGGGGGGGTTTACCCAGGGGTGGTAATTGACTGCCACCCCCCCCCTTTCTGAAACCGCCTATGAATTTCTATCCTCTTCTCCTATAAGAACATATATCTGTATAGAATACGGAGTAAGGTTGAAAAGATCTATCCTTCTATCCTAATACTAGAACATATTACGGAGTTAGGTTGGACAGATTCTACCCTTTATATATACTATAGAGTTATGTGAGCTTGATGTGGGGTTAAAAATTAGATTCAATAATCTTGAAATATCTGACTACATAAAATGATATATCTAAAAACTAAAATACTTCTAAAAACATTATTTCAGAACCTGTTCTAGGTGTTCAGCATCAAGAAGAGTCCAGATCTCGGGTTCAGTTTCCTCTTCCTTCATTCTCTTAATCTTTTATTTTCTTTAAACATTGATTTTACAACAGTACACTGTAATTTTATAAATGCATGAAAGGAAATGTCCAAGAATTTAGCATCAACTTGATCTTGTTTTCCATGCACAGATGCAGGTTTGATGACAGAGCCTCAGTTTTAGGCAGATTTTCTATTTTTGCACAAATATCCACAAAATTCTATCGAATGGTGTAAACAAAAACCTTGTATCAGCCTCAGTTTTCAACCAATTTCAACTAATTGTAAATTACAATTAGTAAATAAACACCCTGTAAGATGATATCAAGAAATCGTTTTTTTAATGTTTGTTCCAGAACTTCAATCGTGAATATTGTTTTGTAAGAACATGATATAAGATTTTCGTTTGTTCAGTAGATCGGAAATTTGACTATAATATTCCCATTGTCAAAAAAAAATCGGTTCCTATCAGAGGCTCTGACATCCTTCGGAAAAAGCTCAAACGTATCTGAGGATTTCCGAAACTTCAAACGTGAAAAGATTCCTTGTAAACAATAGATTAGATTTTTTTTAGAGACACCCTATATAAAAAGTATGTATATTTCATAGACATGTCCCAACTATTGATTTTCATAACTTTATGGGTAATGCGTGATTTGCAACGAACACATTTTAGCCTATCTTATTGCATATGGTCAGCTTTTGTGCACATGGCCTTTCAAAACGTCATAAAGTTATGAGGAAAGGATTCACCAGTTTTAACAGAACATACTTACTAGCGGTTATACAATAAACAAAATTAAAAGTTACTCTGTCAATTTTAAACTGAAAATGTTATATTAATAACACGTTTTTTAAAGAATAGTGGAAACCCAGTAGTAACATATTCTGAACAAACCAGTGAATCTGTTTATCAAAACTTTAGGAAAATTTCCAGACGATTTACAAGCTCTAAGATAGGAGAAGCTGGAAATTACTGTTTGCACATATTCGCAATTTAAAAAAAAAGCCTGATAAACAACAAATAATGCCAAGTTTTGCCATTGCATTTAACAACATCCGAAAAACCTGATATTTGAGTAGTGTTTATCAATAATAGATCCCAGCTATTTATGAGTTACAGTTAATATATCCCAACCATGTAGTGTTTAAGTATAAACAGATCCCAACTATATAGTGTTTAATTATGAACAGATCCCAACTATGTAGTGTTTAAGTATAAACAGATTCCAACTATGTAGTGTTTAAGTATAAACAGATCCCAAATATGTAGTGTTTAAGTATAAACAGATCCCAACTATGTAGTGTTTAATTATAAACAGATCCCAACTATATAGTGTTTAAGTATAAACAGATCCCAACTATGTAGTGTTTTAAGTATAGACAGATCCCATCTATGTAGTGTTTAAGTATAAACAGATCCCAACTATATAGTGTATTTTATAAACAGATCCCAACTATGTAGTGTTTAAGTATAAACAGATACCAACTATGTAGTGTTTAAGTATAAACAGATCCCAAATATGTAGTGTTTAAGTATAAACAGATCCCAACTATGTAGTGTTTAATTATAAACAGATCCCAACTATATAGTGTTTAAGTATAAACAGATCCCAACTATGTAGTGTAAAAGTATAAACAGATCCCAACAATGTAGTGTATAAGTATAAACAGATCCCAACTGTGTAGTGTATAAGTATAAACAGATCCCAACTATGTAGTGTTTAAGTATAAACAGATCCCAAATATGTAGTGTTTAAGTATAAACAGATCCCAACTATATAGTGTATTTTATAAACAGATACCAACTATGTAGTGTTTAAGTATAAACAGATCCCAACTATGTAATGAGTAGTTTAAACATATCCCAACTAAAAAGTGTATTTTATAAACAGATCCCAACTATGTAGTGAATAGTATAAACAGATCCCAACTATGTAGTGTATAAGTATAAACAGATCCAACTATGTAATGCAAAGTTTAAACAGATCCCAACTATAAAGTGTATTTTATAAACATATCCCAACTATGTAGTGAATAGTTGCAGATCCCAACTACTATGATAATGTATCCCTGTGTATAGAATGAACTCTATATCTATGTTTTATCGATGAGAAGAATAGATTATTAGTCAGGTAAACCCGGAGTAAATGTCAGTATATTGATCCACTGATAAAACCAAGGGTAGGGAGGGGATCAAACTTATTCACATTATTGATTTAGAGATCCTGTCTGGTAATCTCGAAAATGACGAGGACTATGAGAATATTATTTGTTTAATATTGAAAAATGTCCAGATTTTCTTGTATATCCCGTTTCCGTTCTCTCGGTGACATTTACACATTCTCAATTGCTCCAAGATATTGAGATCAGTTAGAGTTATATTTACTAACAGGATGGAACCAACCGGAGATACTATTTTTAATTCCGTTCTCTCCGTATACTTACTTTTTGCTGTGGTTGCTTGGATTCTACTAGTGTTCAGGTTATTTCGTACATTTAACAGTTGTTTGAAGTAAACAAATAGAAAGTATTCTGTGACAATTTTAGTTCTGTATTGTGTGTTTTATTAAATATAATAAGCCGGAGAGAACTAATTTTAACAAAAAATGTTATGCTATACATTTTACTTCTTTCGATTTGAACAGCGGGCATTTCCAGCTTTTCTTTATTCGACTTTCTTCAGTTAAAACTTTAATTAGCAGATTTTTGGATTAGTCTACGAAGTGTAAGGACTTAACTGATTAATTTTGGGGATTAGAGAAAAAATCAAATAATCTTCTTTTCTCAGTTGGAATCATTAAAAAATAAAAATACCGAATTCAAAATTAAAATCCAGAGAAGAAATCTAGAATCCTTCTTTTTAAAAATATTTTTGTCTTCAAAACTTCTCTCGCTCTCTTTCTTTCTTTCTATGGTTCTAATTCCAGACCAGATAAAGCAGTCAAGAAAGCTAAAGTATCGGAGACATCTAAGAGTGCAGTTGTTGAGAAAATATCCAACCCTGACAAGCAAATGTGCCCTAAGAAGATTAAGGAGAATGAACCCAGCTGTAGTTCTACTGAGAAGAAAACTCAATAGTTTAAAAAGGGATTGTTTTAATATTAGAGCATGGTTCCAGAGCTGGGAACTTTTGTTTTGGATATCTCGTAATCCAGATCCACAGATCTCGATATCCACTTTTAATTTGAGGGTCAAGGGCAACTATAAAAACTAAACCTTTCCATATCTTCATTTTAGTTATTCCTAGCTCCCTTCAACCCATTTCTTGAACCATGCGGGGTATCAAATAAAGAAATAAAGATTAAGTTAATCTGCAGATAAACAAAAGATCAATATCAAGCATTGATCTCGATATTCACAATACAAGAGTTCACAGCTCTAGTGAATTATCATAATAATTTCTAAAACTAGAACAATCCCTTTCAGATTTGCGTTATTTCTTGGTATGGAAGGTTTCTACCCAATCAACAATGTTTAATTATAATTTTACTTATGAAACCGTACAAATACATAAATCCTAAATAATACTGAAATCTCAAATACATTTATCAACAATAGTATTATTTACAAAGAAAAACTAAAGTCCAGAAAAACTGCATAAACCCAGCTGAGATGCAAGATGGTTTTATGAAGAAATGGAAGGATTCAACAACAACATCCAAGGTTACTTTCAAAGATTTGGTGATGGGATTTTCTAAATCTTGGAGTAAAATTTCTTTCCGTATCTTGTTAATTTTCCGCCACATAATCATTTTAGTAATACTATTCTAAACTTATGTATCATTAAATGATTGGACTGAAAAATAAACAAGAATAAATCCAACCATCTTACCTATCTTTAGTAAACTTGGATTATAATGAGCTAAATCTAGAATATTGCATATTTTGATTTTTAAACATGTTAGCACACTGGTTACTGGTAAACAGAAGATCTGTACATGTTATAGGTTCTATCCATAATTTGTACAATTAAAGAATTGAAGCAATATGTATAGAATTTAATTAAACTACAGGAGGGGGGGGGGGGGTTGGTTTCTGAACATGAATTAGCAAATTATTTGGTAACGTAAAAAGCGGTTTCTAAAGTAAGATGAACGCCAAGCGACCAATATTAAAAATAAATAAAAAGCTGAATATGTTCAATAAATATTGATAATTGGACCGAGGTGGAGGTTGCTTTGAGCAAAATCTTAAAATCTTTGAATCTTGAAGTTTTAAATTTGCCACGATTCGAGGATGCATTTGTACAGAGTTGCTTTTGAAGCACACTAATGTCAAGTAATTTAATATGCAATTGTACACACGTCATCTGCCATAAGCTTACCGGTCATCTGCCATAAGCTTACCGGTCATCTGCCATAAGTTTACAGATTGTCCGCTATAAGTTAAGAGATTATCCGCCATGATTAGCCGCTTTAGGTTTTGCAGATTATCTACCACAAGCTTACAGATCTTCAGCCATATGCTTACAGATTATCCACCATAAGCTTAAAATTTAATCGTCAGAAACTTGCAGTTTATCCGTCTTAGGCTTATTATAGGTTATCCGCTATAAGCTTACAGATTATCCACTATTTGACAAAAAACAATCTTCACAAAAACAGATTAAAGTTAAGTCATATGTTGAATAATTTTCTCTGGGTTGATAAATCCATTGCTTGGCATAGAATGAATGAAACGTTGCCGAATAAAAATATGCCCAAGACCAATCTATTTATTGTTTGCCTACATTTTTGCCAGATTTTACCAGTACTCGGCATTGGCTTGTGCAGAACTACGTTTAGAAGTATATTCTGCCGTTTAAGTGACGAGTACATTTGAAATAGCTATTCAAAGATTTTCAGAGATTCATGTCATTTGTTTTATTCGCCATTTTGATCTGATTTTATTCAATAACCCCAGATGACAAGCAAATGAAAGTTCACAGTATAGAACGCCATAATTTACATATTCTCAACATTGAACGAAAACATGTTAAATTACGTGATTATTAATACGTATACGCTAATTTCTATTCTAGTATCCGCCATAGGCAGGGCCATCTCCAGAATACTGGCTTCCGCCCCATTGACTCCCGGGGGACATCATAGGTCCCGGCGAACCTCCAGGAGTTACGGCGGCGGCAGCTGCCTTGGCGGCGTACATATTCGCCTCCTCTTGTGCCTTGACAATGTTCTTCTTGTATCTGATCCTCTTGTTTCCGAACCAATTGCTAACCTGGAATAATAATTATTTTTGCCGAGCTTGTTCCAATAATCAGTCAATCAAGTATATCATACAGTCCATATCAATCAATCAATTAACATGAGTTTGTGTTTTTAATTTTCAACTATTTGATAAAGAAAGTAAAAAAGTTGTTTGGAAGATTAATTCGATAAGTTTACCTGTGAAACTGTAATCGCGCATTTTCTGGCCAATTCCTCCTTCGCCTCCTCACTGGGGTAGGGGTTGGACAGGTGGGAGTAGAAGTACTCGTTGAGAACCTCACTCGACTTCTTGCTGAAGTTCCTTCGCTTCCTCCTGGCATCTAGGAACCTGGATCTCAGGATCATTACTGCCTCACAGGTGGATTGTTTCAATTGTACTTGAATTGAGTTAAATTTCTTGTGTATGATTCCAACCATTCTCTCGATTTCTTTGGGTGTGATAGGACGTGTCCTAGACTGCTCTCGTAGTAGGTTCATTACATGAGTTGTAAACTCCTGACATCCCTGATAAATATATAAAATTAAACCATATCCATCATCACTTAGTATATTTATGTTACAGAAAAGCCCAACAAAGAAATCTAAAAAATTATTTGGGATAAGAAAAAAAAAACAAAAAATATGGAAATATATTGAAGACATTAAATTCTGCTGAATCTAAGTCCAGGGTGTTCTATACCTGGTCATATTTCTCCAGTTCTTGGTGGTAAATAGTTCTAATCTGTCCAAGCTTAGCCTTGTAATCAGAGTGTTCTATCGAGGTTTCAGGGGAGGAGAGAGGAGTGGGTGGAGCAGTAGCAGAACCTCCCTTGTCAGGACCAGCCACGCCCTCTGCTATTAACATGTTGTCTAGTCTCATCAACTGGGGATCTGGGGGATCCTACAAACAAAATAGATTTGAATAAGAAGTCAAATTACTAGTTTTAAGATTTGGTTCAGAGTTTTTAATCCATTGAATCTCAAGGTCTGATTTATGCGTTGTAGCCTCTCGGTCTGGTCTGGTAAGGCCCTATTGTGTCTCTAGGTTTAGTCTAGGTCTGGTCTAGTAACTTCGTATCTTTAAGTCGATTAAAGGTCCAGTTTCTGTCTCTTGGTTTTTTTAAATCCCTCTTGTCTCTAAAGTCTAGTACTTTTATGTAAATTTTGTAACAGGGTTATCATACCTCGTCATTTAGATTTCTGAGACTGAGAACTGTCTTCTCCTTGATCTCACACAGGACGGAGAAAAGGGCTGGTTTCATTCGGTGGCAGTTGAGAGTATGCTTCCGAGCCTACAAATATATTTGTTTCATTCATCTCTCTCTAGTTTTTATTCTCTTATTTTCTACTTTCTCTCTCTTAAATTTAAAACTAGTTAAATAATAATAATAATAATAATAATAATAATAATATAGAATATTGCATATTTTGATTTTTAAACATGTTAGCACACTGGTTACTGGTAAACAGAAGATCTGTACATGTTATAGGTTCTATCCATAATTTGTACAATTAAAGAATTGAAGCAATATGTATAGAATTTAATTAAACTACAGATCCCAACTATATAGTGTTTAATTATGAACAGATCCCAACTATNACAAGAACATATATTGTATCCGCCACTGTCTGATTCACTGTCAATTAATTCCTGTGGCCGAATTTAAAGAATTTGAGCGGCGGTTTAAATTTAAGCCGCGGTTTAAATATGGTTGGTTCCACTTAAAATTGTATCAAATGTTTCAAGATTTAAACCGGCGCTTAATTTAAACCGGGTTTTGGCGGATTTAAACCGCGGCTTACATTCTTTAAATTCCATCTCAGGTCTTTCTAATTATGCCAGTAGTAAATTTTTCCAAAAAAAATTAAATCTTTTTTCGTCTTTTAGTTTAACAAATCCTCAATTCTTTCATTGAGACATTGCACCTACTAGAAGCAGTTTTAAGAACATTTAAACTATATTTATACACTTTTTTCATATCTTATCATTGAACTGTGTTAATCTGTTATCATAAGTACATATATTTAATGATAAAATTAGAGGCTGGATTATTAATTAACTTCAAGCGACCGTCGACGTAATTTCAAGTGACCCTCAATGACCTCAATTCATGCTATTCACAGAATTCACAACGAAGATTTCCATTTCAGGGTTCTTCAAATAATTAACATTGTTAGATCGAATTTAACTCAAGATAGAAAAAATATAACGACAAAATCTTTCTCAGTGTTGCTCATGTAAACTTTTAACGGGTACGTTGTGAGTCGGACATGTTTAACGGGTACGTTGTGAGTCGGACAGCATAACCCTCACTTGAAAATAACTTAGTATAAAATAATGTATATAAACTAAATATTTGTTTTACAAACTTAGTTCGAAATGATCTAATAAAGCGTACAATATATGATGCTTGATTTAAAATAATCAGTCTTATATTCGTGAGGAACCCTGAGAAAATTATCACCACCCAGGGTCCCAGAAACGCTTTTTGTTTGCCCCCCCCCCCACTAAAATCATTGAAAAATGGGGCACTTGTTCCTGTCAAATTTAGCAGTATTTGTGTTCCGCAATTGTAAGATTTTATTGTTTTAATATAAGATTTTTTCTTCGTTTTCTACTTTCCTTTCTTTTTTCCCGCATCACATATAATTAATTAAACAGGAAAAACATTAATCATAATTACATAATTGAGCGTTGAAAGAAACTTTATTACAAATTATCTTACATAATAAATATAAGATGGAATACATAATACATTTGGTGAATTTGGTAAACACGAAAGGAAATATACAACATATTTAATATGCTAAGATTACACTTTAAATTGAGAACTATACACAGTTGCCTAGAACTTCTGGAACAGGAAATATTTCATAACAGTTTTCATGTTGGTTTAATTCCAGCTTGGTAAATACAGGTTCTCCAGAATAATCAGGAATTGAACGACGACCTAAGTTTTTTCAGCTAAATCTATTCAAATGAGCTGAGGAATTATTTAATAAGTATATAAAACCACACTTTCTCTGCAAGAACTAAACACGTTATGCCTTTATTTTGCACTTTTCATCCAGATTATTCTGAGAACCACTGCATAGATAATTCACTAAAGCCATAATAATTCATATCTCAAGAAATTAATGTTTGAAAGAAATTACTGGGACAAATTTGCAGTGTAAAATCAAGTATGAAGGCAGGGAAAATGAAGAATTATGAGAGCAGGAGAAGGCGGGGAAATATTGATGAAGGTGGGGTGAAGGAAGCGGGAGAAGGTGAGATACACCAGTAGCTTTGTTTACAAAAACGTGTACTGCAATTTTTAGGCCGACAATAAACATAACTACTAAAGTAAGCTTGAGAAACTCTAATTTTAATTATTTTCCACCCAGAAACTGCAAAACACAAACAGAATTATCAGGGTTTATAATGTATCTTCCTAGTTTAGAATTAAAACATTCTTATCCATCCCTAACCAATTAAATACAAACCTGAGCTTCGTCTAAGCTTTGGTCTGTAATATTTAGTATCTGGTCCAGGATTGCATTGATGTCTGAATACTTGGATCCGTCTCCGGAGTCATCCAACCCATTCCCATTCCCGTTGGAGTGTGGGGAGGTTGGGTCCATGGAGTAACTATTATATCCGTTCTGTCCTAACGGATGCATACTGGAATTCTTCAAGTTTGTCTTTGTAGAAATACTAAAATAAAAATCTGTTGTAAATGGTTGTTATATGTAAACTTAACAATTTTCACTACAAACAAAATCTTAAAATTTTTCCCAAAATCAGAAATATTAAATAAAACAAATACGTGTCCGTTTCATCTTTAAATTGATATTTAAATTTTCACTGATACCTTTATTCAGTCGCCATTGTTTCTTGTAAACAGAATCTGTAGCGGAGAGTAGACTGTACTGGGGGCAGAGAAATTCAGGTTAAATATTCAAACCGTGGCGGGAAGGAAAATCAAAGACGACATATCCGTACATTTGTTTTGGTTACAATTTATACTCTACCATTTCATTTACGTTGGTTCCATTAAAACTACCAATTCATGTTTGTCTCGCATGTTTAACGCCACACGCACAACGGTCTTTTGTTTTTAAATCCACGACATAAAGTTTGGTTTCATGTGAACTATATGGATAGATTTTTTTAAATTGACTTTTTCAGACTATAATTGTGAAACATTTACTTTAACATCGGGAGAAATAAAAACATTAAAAACTGATTGTAGTACAGTTATAATCAGAAAGACCCGGAATTAATTTTTAATTAATTAGACGACTTTACAATCTAATTTTAAAAATATGATCGATGAAACGCTAATAACAAAATAGTCCTAGTACTGCAATTTCCAAAATGCATTGATGTCTGAATACTTGGATACGTCTCCGTAGTCATCCAACCCGGCCATGTGGGAAGGTTGGGTCCATGGAGTAACTATTATATCTCTTATAACTATAAGAGCTTCTCAATAGCACTTAAGGGATAGAAAATCTAGTGCAAAACAGAAAAAATATTTATCTAAAAAAATTTGCATGCGGCGCGTTTTTGGTTCCTAAATCTGGATTATTTGGTTTAGAAATAATTCTAGCACCACCCTCACTTAAATCCTGTATCCGCCCCTGAAACTATATGGCTATAAATGTAAATATATTTATTGAAATGCTTCTTCATATATTTCAGATATTGGATATTGAAATATTAAGACCTGAACTAGGTGAGGGAAACTAGTTTCCTTTTATTCCCGCAAGATGTCGCACATTCTGCTGCCTATTCCATTCCAACCTATTCTGAACAAGGAGTATGCAGATATTCTACAGGTGGGGTACAGCACATAGTGTAAGTGTATAAAGCACTGTGTACAACAAACAATATTTAGTGTGCAATGTACACTGTACAGTGAACNGGAAGTAAAGAGGCGGGGGAGGTGGAGAAAAAAGAAAAGGGCAGGGAAGAAGTTATTAGGAATGAAAAAATGCTGAAATGAGACGAGTACCGGAGGAGTTCATTCATATTAGAAATTTTCTTACAACTGCATAGATTTAGAGTTTAACCAAGAAAATTCAAATTAACAGGAAATATCTAGCGTGTCTTACCGCAGCTGTCTACGAGGCGTTAATAAATTGAGCGTTTTTATTCCTGATATTTAAATTTTCTTGAGTCATATTTTCAATGGTTGGGTGTAAAAGTTCACCCTTTGTTATAAACTGGGCTTAACTCACTGGTTCACAGGTCAGATAGAATACGGTAACTTTGTTTATGCTTTTCTGTATTACGTCACGAGAGAGAGAGATATAAGATTTTTGCTGGCAAATATTCTTGTCCAGAGCTAGTTGAGATTGCATTCTCGGGGAACTAGAAATATATTTATCAATTTTGTATAATGTTAGTATGGATATTGGATACGAGCATCATTATTAAAAAATAAACAAAATTTTAAAATATTTATTTCATAGTCTGTGAAACCTTTTCATTTAATAAAATATTTTAGACATGACAAGATGTTTTTTAATTCAAACTGCATTTAAATTACATATAATTGGTTACTCTTATATCTACCTGAGAATACTGTATGAAGATGATCTGGAGTCTCTAGTATCCAGGGAAGCCTGGAGAACCAGGAAAATGCATTCCACCTCCACCCCACTCACTACCCGGAGAAAGGATAGGACCGGGAGAATCTCCGCCGGCCGCCGCAGCTGCCTTGGCGGCGTACATATTTGCCTCTTCCTGGGCCTTGGTGATGTTCTTCTTGTATCTGATCCTCTTATTTCCAAACCAGTTGTTAACCTAATGACAAGAACATATATTTTTATACTAGTCCACAATGTTATATAATTGCGGTTTCTTAAAAAATTCTACTAAATAAATCCATTCAAAATGTTTGAAAAAAAGACTAACAAAGATAGACAAATACAAAGCTAAAAAATAAGATGAATGCTTGTTTTCTTCCTGGCCTAACGTTCTGTGAGATTCTGTAGAAATAAAAAGAATTTTTCTTCAAGATATTATAAATATTTACCTGGGACACCGTTATCCCGCACTTCCTGGCCAGCTCCTCCTTCGCCTCCTCGCTAGGGTAGGGGTTCGCCAGGTGGGAGTAGAAATACTCGTTTAGGATTTCAGAAGCTTGCTTACTACAACAAATAGATATTTATATCCGATAGTTACGGTTTCGGTTTCTGGAGAAGTGAGAATTTACATGCGCATAATTATCTATCGGGATTTTAGAAAATTATCTCTTCAAAAAGGAAGCAGTAATAATCCATTTAAGGAATACGAGTTCAGAGAAAATATTCCGTCAAAGTGTGGGTTATAGAAAATATTCCTTTAAAGTAGGATTCAGAGAAATATTTCTTAAAAGTAGGATTCAGAAAAAATATTCCTTTACAGAAGGATTCAGAGAAATATTCCTTAAAAGAAGGATTCAGAAAAAATATTCCTTTACAGAAGGATTCAGAGAAATATTCCTTAAAAGAAGGATTCAGAGAAAATATTCCTTTAAAGTAGGATTCAGAGAAATATTCCTTCAAAGTAGGATTCAGAGAAATTATTCCTTCAAAGTAGGATTCAGAGAAAATATTCCTTTTAATGTAGGATTTAGAGAAAATATTCCTTCAAAGTAGGATTCAGAGAACATATTCTTTTAAATGAATGATATAGGACATAAAAAAAATTTACTGTAAAAATGGATCTCGTTCATGGAAGATTATACATTAAGTTGGATAAAAATGAAGAAAAATTGCAACTTAGGGGGATAAAAATAAAGAAAAATGCTAAATAAGTTGAATAAAAATGAAGAAAAATGGTAAATAAGTGGGATAAAAATGAAGAAATATGGTAAATAGGTTGGATAAAAATTAAGAAATATGGTAAATAAGTTGGATAAAAAAGAAGAAAAATGGTAAATAGGTTGGATAAAAATGAAGAAAAATGGTAAATAGGTTGGATAAAAATGAAAAAAAATGGTGGTAGGAAACCTGAAATTTCTCCGTTTCCGTCTAGCGTCCAGGAACCTAGATCTTAGGATCATCACGGCCTCACAGGTACTCTGCTTCAGTTGAACCTGGATTTATCAAGGATTAAATTAATCTTCTAAATCTTGTATTTAAATCAAGGAAAGACAATATCCGCTAGAGTCTATATAAATCAAGGAAAGACAAGATCCTCTAGAGTCTAGATTAATCAAGGAAAGACAAGATCCTCTAGAGTCTAGATTAATCAAGGAAAGACAAGATCCGCTGGAGTCTATATGAATCAAGGAAAGACAAGATCCGCTGGAGTCTATATTAATCAAGGAAAGACAAGATCCTCTTGGGTCTAGATTAATCAAGGAAAGACAAGATCCTCTTGGGTCTAGATTAATCAACGAAAGACAAGATCCGCTGGAGTCTATATTAATCAAAGAAACTGAAAGACAAGATCCTTTTGGGTCTAGATTAATCAAGGACAGACAAGATCCTCTAGAGTCTTGATTAATCAAGGAAAGACAAGATCCTCTAAAGTCTAGATTAATCAAGGAAAGACAAAAAAAAGCGTAAGTACAGAGGGAGGGGGGTGCGGAATGTTTGACCAAGGAAAGAAGAGGAGAAATGAAACCTGTGCCTCATCAAGTGATTGGTCGGTGATGTTCATAATCTGATCTAGGATGGTGTTGATGTCTGCATGTCCACGACTGCTATCTAGATTATCTTCATGTGCTCCAGGTGATGCTTGATCTCCCATGCCTCCCATCCCATACGCTTGCTGATAATGCATCATACGACTTTGATCATCCATTCGATCTTAGGTCATGTATTTTCAGTTTATTTGTTGTGTACAACACACAGTAACGTTTTAATTCCAAAAAAGTAGAGCTAGGTACGGAAATGTTTTTATATTCAGCGGAATTTTTGGTTTATTAAAACTCCGGTCATTAAAGGAAACTATTTAACTTCTTTGTTTATCTTTCTTGGTTTTTTTTTCGGTCAATGTTTTGATTGACAGGGAAGACTGGCAGAGTGGTGTGGGCTGAACTGCCTGGTTTCACTGCGCATGCGTATAAGGAACCTGTTCCGACCAATCCCAGTGAACTTGAGCTAGTCTCTCCACAGCCCTTGGAAACTCTGAACAGCTGAAACATTGAACCCTCTACAGCAGGAGAGTTCTTCCTTCCTTCTTAGTTTAAGCATTCATGTGCGAGACTTTATTGTTCAGGAGCACTGAACTTAACACTTTTCCCCGGTTTAATTGACGCTTTTTACATTTTTATCAATGCTATACTATATCAATTTAATTTTCTAATTATGTCTGACAAAACAATCATGTTTCCAAAATATTTTGTGTAGGACCGACATTGCAAATATTGTTAGAAAACATTTCTAAAATCTGCGAGCTGCCTCCCGCGGGGTTGGGTTGGGAATAGGAGGGGGGGGGGGAGTGAGGTTGCGCTACGCTAACCCAGGTAGCTCAGCCCGGCCTTATAGTCCACTGCACGCTTCACAGCTGTGCTCTCAGGGATGTCCCAATAACATATTAGATTGTACAGACAAACTTGTGATAACATTTTGGTTAATATTTTAATCCGCATGATTAATAAACATGTGTGTAGACTTCCAGTTGTACTTTGCTCTTTCTCTCTTGTGTTGTCATGTAAGCTGAAACCGGCTTTTCTTTCTCTCAGCTGATCCTGCAGGTCTTAAGATTTTGCTCATTTTAAAAAATTTACGTCGTTGTGAACTAGTGAGAAAGTATGCTTTACGCATGGGGAGCAAATAATTATGGGCAGTTAGGTTTAGGATATATTAGTGAACAAGAAGAAATTCCCAAACATGTGAACATCGAACATGAATTTGTTAAAATAATTGGAGGTGGGGGGCATACGCTGGCCTTGGATTCTGATGGGAACTTGTTTGTTTGTGGATGGAACCGGTTTGGCCAGCTTGGGATAGAATCTGATGAAAACTTGACAAGGTTCACAAGAACTGATGTATCCGGAGTTGTTGATGTAGCCGCGGGATGGGATTTCTCTTTACTCCTGCTTCAGGACGGGACTGTTCTCTCCGCTGGTTCTAATAAGTTCTTTCAGCTTGGTAAAGTCATACTTATTATAATCAAAAATAATATTTACTGTAAACTAAACATGTTAATTAATGATAGAAACTTTTAAATGTTTTTATTTCAGTTTTAAACTCTGAAGTCACTCTGAAAACTGTTAATTTACTAATTACGAAATTATTCTAATAGAGAGCATAATATACACTTATTTTTATAAATATATATATATATATATATATATATATATATAAGAAAATAACCATGAAATTGTGAGCATTTGCTTTACATGTAAAGTTTACATGCTAAATCCAGATCAAAATCCCAGTTTTTGCTTCTAGGATAAAAATGAATAAAAATAATTTCTGTATTACCTGGATAGAACTGAACTTTTTGTGAATAATTTGCACCATTCTCTCAATCTCTTTAGGTGTAATGGGTCGGGTTCTGCTCTGCTCTCTCAGTAGGTTCATCACGTGTGTTGTGAACTCATTGCACGCCTGATCATACTTCTCCAGCTCCTGGTTATAGATCGTCCTAATTTGCGTGAGTTTAGCTCTGTAATCGGAATGTTCTATGGTAGCTTCTGAGTTTGCTGCTGCAGCTGCACTGGCTGCGGCTGATGCTCCTCCTCCCTTCTCAGGACCTAGAGAAAAGATCTAGTTTTGTTCAGGGATGAATAAAAATGTAAAACCTGAAACAACTTTCATTAAGAACTTTCATGTTCTGATTTCATTACATACTTAAACTAACTTTCTGGTTACATTACATACTTATGCAAGTTTTCTGGTTATAAATTACATGTTTGTTCAATTTTTCTGATTACATTGCCGTCTTGTTCAAATTTTCGGACATATTATATTTATCCTTTTTTTCCGTACTTTTTTATAATGTTCTTTTTATAGTAAGTTGAATACTGGAAAATTTGTGTTTCTTAAGCCCACTGCCAGTTTCCATCATATACCATATAATTTTGGTACCTGTCCATTTACATGCTCCATGAGAGGGGTTGGATGATTTATGGATACTACCTGAAACGCCCTCTGCTATGAGCATGTTATCTAATCTCATAAGCTGAGGATCTGGGGGTTCATCGTCTGTACAATTTCTCAAACTAAGGACAGTTTTCTCCTTGATCTCACAGAGTACGGAGAAAAGAGCAGGTTTCATCCTGTGACAATTGAGTGTATGCTTCCTAGCCTAAAATAGAAGTTATGATCTCTCTCTCTTGAACTGAACTGACCAACTAAATACAACATGCTTTTTGATATATTTTAAAAATGAGAGTGAGATATTAGGACAATTANAGCCTAAAATAGAAGTTATGATCTCTCTCTCTTGAACTGAACTGACCAACTAAATACAACATGCTTTTTGATATATTTTAAAAATGAGAGTGAGATATTAGGACAATTATTATGACATAAATAATAAAACATAACACATTATAAACTTTGTGTGCTGGGTTGCTGGGGCCCCGTACGATCTTCTTTCTTCTTCTTTTCCTCTCTATTCTTCAATACCTTTTCCTCTATCTACTCATTTTCCTTCCCCTCCTCATTACGTTGCTTTCTTCTTCCTTTTCCTCTCTATTCTTCAATACCTTTTCCTCTATCTACTCATTTTCCTTCCCCTCCACATCTCTTTTCTTTCATTAGTTCTAAATTGTTTTATCGCTGCAAAAGGGCCTCTCATTCAAAATAACCTACACTGATTAGAGAGGTCCTGGCTAAATTAAAATGTAAAAATTGTGCAATGTAATTGTTATCTGTTAAAATATTTAGTCAAATGTATATATCTATCGATCTATATCTAAGTGAACCTAAAGAGCTGGAAAAGGGTTTGTTTTGTGTTAAAATTTATCAGTGACGTATTAGGATAGTCAGGAACTTGTATTGTAAACACTGGATTGGAAAAATAACGGAATTCATGGACACTGGACAGTGTCTCGGCTCCAAGAGCTTTTAACTGACTAATGTTGCTTTACAATTAAAATAGTGCTATTTTGTTGCATTAAAATAAAAATAAAACAAACCTTTACCTCGCCTTATCCTATTTTTTGAAGAAAAAACATGCATACGTAAAAGGGATGGAAGATGAAATATACTACAGGGGTGTACATTAAAACAAAAATTGTTCTCTAGGACAGACCCAAAGTTTGAAAGAGAATGATATGAAAGAACAATGTTTTAAAATTTTCTTATGTTTCATGCATAAACTATTAGGATGATATTGCAAGTAAATGATTCCTTGTTACAGGTTCTGATGAGCTGAGTAAGGTCGGATCCTCCCAGTTTAAGAAAGTTCCAGGTTTGGAGAATATCCAGGGTTTGGGAGCAGGGTTGCGTCATGCTGCAGCTCTTGACAAGGTTTAAGGTTTTATAACTAGAATTTATGGTCACGTAATAAAGATTCAAGAACTTGATTTTACTAAATGAAAGTATATTTATAAGTCAAAGTATAAACTTTATAATGAAAATTGCTTTAAAAGCACCCCCAATATGTTTATTCTTTTAAGACTGGATCAGTTTACAGCTGGGGGTCAGGAGTAAAGGGACAACTAGGCATACCTTTATACCTACCTTTATATTCCTTGTGCGATACGTTGCATTTGGGTGTAGTGTGGTCCGATATACACTTGATGAAAAGGGGAGGTACTGTTCCTCACGTTTTTTACAGTAAATAATTTGTAAAAATATATTCATTTAAAGGTCCATTGAATTTCCTTGGAATAAAGATAAGAATTGAAGGAAGGTCCTGGAAGGATGTGAAGGACTCATTACCAGCCCGTATTCCAGATTTAAACAATGTGACCAGGTGGAAACTTGTACAAGGTTCCTTAGAACTTATTCCACCTAAGACACTAACATACTTTCTTTCTAGTTTCTCTGCATCCTGGGTACGCCCGTTCACTTTTTCCTTTTTTATTTCCTTCCTGGAGTGAAACTTTCTGTCTTTAATCTTCTTAAATGCATTACAGCTTTCTCTTTCTTCCTTTAATTACCTTCATAGCTAGACATAAACATATCCTCTTTCATCTTCTAACATACAATTTTCTTTCTTCCTTGTTCTTTCCTTCCTAGCTAGACATAAACAAATATACCCTCTTTAATCTTCTTACATACAATTTCTCTTTCTTCCTTGTACTTTCCTTTCTAGCTAGACATAAACAAATATACCCTCTTTTATCTTCTTATATGCATTACAGGGTTCTCTTACTACATTTTTACTTAAGATGAATGATGTCAACGCTTTAAATTTAAATTACATAAACTATTTCTAGAATAAGCTGCGGTCAATTTTTCACTGTTCTTGGAACTAGGAATGTATAATTAAACATGCTGAATTTTATTTATTTTAATATTTGTATTGTTCAAATGATTTCCTTTGTGGAGGGTGGGGGGGAGTTAAAAACTGGTTTTTTATTTAGTCTTTCCAGTGTCTCCTCTGCTTTTGAGCAAAATAATGTTATTTCCCCTAATTCATGGATGAAAACAGCTACAAATATTTTACCCCTTTAACCCTATCTCTGCTGGGGTACTTGAAAACCAGGATATGCTGGGGGGGGGGTCAATTTGACCCCCCCTCTAAATCCCATGTTTTATGTCCAAATATGACAACTGATACATCATTAGAAAGCTCTTGTCCTCTACTTTTAGAATCTGCAAAAAAAATTGCAAAAATTGAATTTTTTATCGCAAAATCCAGTTGTATAGTAAAAATGTTTGCAAAAAAAAATTTGTTCAAAAAATGAAAAATTATACATTTTTGAAAAGCCCTTGACCATGCCATTTCAAATATGCAAAAAACTTGTGCAATTCGTTTCCTTATGTCAAAGGCTTTCCAAAAAGCTAAATTTTATTAAAATCTGACAAGTGGAAGTGGGCCAAAACAAAGATTTAGTTTGTTACAGGAAAAAGCAGTCATTCAGGCAGTGTGCCTGAGGACTCAGGCAGTTAGTATTAAAGCCCGGTTTTAGGCCTAAAGGGAGGGCTTTGGGTATGTAGGCAAAGTTAGAAAATTTCAACAGCCTCAGACCAATACTTTTTGAGTTATGTAAAAAAAACTACAGGGGGGGGGGGCAAATTGACCCCCCCCCAGCAGGAATAGGGTTAATTAGGGGGGGGGGGAGGGTTACCTTTCAAGGAATTTAAACCCATTTTTTTGTCCTTTAACTTATGTTGTACATTGAGCAGTGAGAATAAGTTGTTTGGTTTCGGTAGTAATAAGTTTAACGAGATATCAAGTACTCTAGAGAAAATAATTCCTGTTCCAACTGAAATAAAACTCAGGAAACTAATATTTGATTTTTATTAGAGAAAATTTTCTGATTTGTCGCAACTATTATTTTAGATGAAACATATTGTTCATTAATATATTTAAGAAATAAATAGTAGTTTTAATTAGTGGCTCTGAGACAGTGAGCTGTGGCTGGACGCACGTAGTTTGTCTTCGACAAGATCGGTGTCACGCCTGGGGACGGAACAACTATTTTCAGTGTGGACGAGGTCATAGCTCTGGTTCAGAGAATATCTGTGATGAAGGATTACACCTAGTTGCTCAGGATGAATCCCCGAGTTTAAAAGTGAGAAAAGTTATATCAGGGTCCGAACACTGCCTGGCTCTGGACGGAGAAGGACGTGTTTACTCCTGGGGTTGGAACGAGCATGGAAACTGTGGAACTGGAGACACTGAGAACGTTTCCTCTCCCACTAAAATACAATTTGATAATGATAAATCTATTTGTGACATATTTGTTGGATCAGCGCATTGTTTTGCTCTGACCTCTCATTAATATTTTCACTATTTCAGATCTTAACATTGAGGCTAAGCTGGTGAACAGCTGGGTCGTTGTGTTCAATTTAAAATGGCCAGCTCAAATGGGAAGCTGAAAGGAAAACCATGGAGTGTCTGGGCAGAGGAAATGAACCAGGGTTCTCCGTCCTCGGACTCCGAACCAGGTTCTTCAGCTCTCCCTCCGACAGAGGACGTTATGAAACTACCCAGAGAAGATATGGCAACCTATGGACAATGTCCAATTTGGGACAGATTTATTTTAGTCATATGTCACCGATGTAGTAGAAAAGTTAAGGTCGAGGCACTAGAAGCTCACGTGACGCTAAGGCACGGGAGCAAATCTGAAAGAAATGCTTATCACAAGATTAAAGCTGCTCAGGCTGAGACAGCGTTAAGAGCTTGCCAAATTAGTTCAACTCCGATGAATCGGATGTTAAGCTTTGATGAGAAGAAAACCTACAATCCTCCGGATATATTGGTCTCAGGATCATCTAGTTCCACTTCTCCGCTTCCTGTTTCATATCCGTCTACACCACCAAACCTAACCTTCAGAGTGTCTAGTCCTAGTCCAGTTCCTACTCCAACACCTCCTCTTTCCGCTACTCCAAGTATACAACCGGCGGATAGTGCATCTGCTCCGGAAACCCGGAGTCCCACCCCTGATCATGGGACAACAGAATTATCAGGTGAAGCGGTGGAGCATATGGATATTGATCTATCTCATGATATAGACAATGATGTGGAAATGTTACCAGCACTTCCTAGTTCAAGTTCCTTACCGGAGAAATCAGTTTCCAACCTCTCATCCTCCATGGCTCCGTCCACTATTATTAATTATGTTGGTGAGGAGGCGGATAGTACAACTCATAATGTGATAAGCATACCTGACTCAGATGATATACCTAACATAGAGATCGGTATCATATCAGAGGGTCAAGTTATGGACTCAATAAATATTAAATACAACGTGGCAATTCTCAAAACAGAAACATCCGTGGACTCGACAACTTCCATACCAAAAATAGGACTGCGTCCTGGTCCAAGCTTGCAATCTTGTGCTCAACCTAAACCTGTATCTCATCTAGGAGTGGTAAGATCTGAACCCAGATCTCCGACTGTTATGACCACTCCTACAGTCAGTACCCCTCCAAGGATATCCTCCCACCCTGCCCGACAGTTCCAATTCCAGCACCAGGATTCAATGGATATAGACAATTCTCCAACTCAATATATAACGGTCTCGCCCCTCTCCAAGGGTAGTCCTAAAAAACCAATAATAATAAAATCTGGCGTAGAGAAGAAACTAACCGGAAGAGAACGTGAGTATGATCCGAATAAACATTGTGGAGTGTGGGATGCCGACGCTAAACGAAACTGCACAAGATCCCTAACCTGTAAATCGCATTCTGTTTACCTGAAACGAAAAGTTACAAACCGCTCTGCTCCTTTTGACGAGCTCCTCGCCGCTCATAAGGCTGAGAAGGAAGCTGCTGCTAAATTAAACGAATCTTCGTCGGAGTCTGAACCAACATCAATCCTAGCCCGACGTCTCCAGCTGGCTCCAGGAACACCACAGAGACCGTGGGAGCTCTCGGAGCCCTTGAAACAGAGTTCGTTGCTCAAATGTTCAGTTGCTAAACGGAACTATTTCCCACAAACTCAACAATTCAAAGATAATTACTGTGATGAAAATCTGCATTATACTACAGGTAAAAATACTAGTAATCTAATCAAATCAAAACAATATTAAATCCACACATTTCAAATATTTATTTGTGTAAAAACTATTTCAGATCACCCTAAGCCCTTGGCTGTGTGTACTTTTGGGGGTAAGCGGATAGGAGGGTTGTTTATTGCTGATAGATCTAAGTTCCTCACTAGAAAGGTTATGAAGATTGCTATATCCAACAGTGGAATCCAGAGAATCCAACCTCCCTTCAAGTCCGATCAGGTTGGCGTAAAGAGGGTTGCAGGATTGATTTCTGCTCCTGTTACCTCTCGCCAGCAATCTATGCCATATATAGTAAACTTGCAGGGTGGAGCAGGAGTAGGACGGGTTGGACTATCAAGTTCTCCGAGGGTTGGAACTCTTCAGATAGGGACGGGAGGAATCCAAACCCAACATTTTCTTGTTCAGGACGCGTTTAAGACGGATATTCAAGACTTTAAAGGTGGAATAAAATTTGAACTCGGACGAAACATTCATATTCTTCCGTCTGCGGACTCCGGAGGATCTGGATAAATCTTCCGAAATATTCCGTTTTTACAATGTTAAATATGAAACGTATATACAAGCAGTGTCAGTCCCAACCAATTACATACAATCTACATTTAATATGTTCATATCAAACCTATAAAGAATTCAGGGTCTACTAGTATTATTCAACATTTTGTTCATGTTGTTTACTTTAATTTGTATTTTTTATTATTTAATTTCCTAATTTATTAATTATACTGTTTATGTGCCCTATGGGCAGCAAGAATGTGATAACTTTAAAAATTAATATTTTTCTCGCAATTAAAACTCTGGTGACATTGGGACATAGGGGGGGTGTATAATTTCGTGAATTTTTTGTTTAATGTCTTGCGTATTTAAAAAACACACTTAAAAATACTTCCAGAAATAATGTACAATTAAAAAAATTTCAATTAATTGCCATAATTTAATCTTTCCTTTATTAACTTAATGTTTTATTCATTCAGAAAAATGTGACGGTTACCCCATGTATTAAATAATACAACTAATAATTTTACTGTTGATTAATCTGTATCCTATTCTTTAAATACCAAACTAATTTAATCTGCCACAAACTAAATTTTTTAATCCCTAATCTTTTCAACCTAATGGTGTAAACCTTTGATATTTTAAACTTAAACTATTTGATCTAACAATATTTATAGTTTGAAGAATATATCAAGACTACGACATTCGGTTGCAAAGATATAGGGTTAGAAAATTAGAGTTTGTGTCAACGACTCAATTCCTTTTATTTATCATAAATATTTCAAATCATTTTAATTCTTATTTTCTTAATTTCAGGAAAATTGCATTTATTATGTTAGTATGTAATTGTAACAATGTATTCATTCAGTTTTTGAACCAAATCAATCCGCAGAACTAATAAACTGTTGTCAGATTATTTGAATTTTTTTTTTACCGAGTCAACCAGGTTTACCATTTTGTCGAACCCTCGAAACAAATCAACGTATCACATTTTGAATTCAAGACCATATGCTTGTTTTTATTGCTCTCAGACAGATTGTAATTTGTGAATTTTTCGCCATGACATAATTATTTTATGTCTTCCACTGTTGAAGGACTTACCAAGAGAGGGAGATATTTGGAGAAATATTTCTAGAGTAAATTTATTTTGTTTTGTTGTAAACTTTGATTTAAACAATACCTTTTTTTAAAAAAAAAGATTTAAATAAAGGATACAAATTTTCTAGATTTAATTTGAACTACGAGAAAAGGTATCGCTTAGATCAAAGATTACAAAAGATGAAATTCAATTCAAATTTTTTATTCTTAATATTTGTCTTTCTGCGCAAGAAATGTTTAAAGTGATGTTATATACAACTTAATTAGTCATTATTTATGCATAATTGATAATACTTCCTATCTTTAAGAAACCTATCATTCCTCTAATGCGAAAAAGTTGTAAAAAATCTTTTATTTCAACTTAAAAACATGTTAAAAAAACCACCTATATTACACTCATTACGCAGGCACATTTTGCTGTATTGCGCAAGCTCATTTCTGCGTGTATGCATAGCGGATGCTCATGGCGTCCTGGGGTCCCCTCCCTCACCAGGGATCACAGATAACTAGGATCTACATAAATAAAGCGGGGCAGATTCTCACATTTTTTTCAGTGCTTGGGATCAATTTTTTGTTACGGATCCGGTTCTTGTATTTGCTCTGAATAAAAAGGATCCGGTTCTTGTATTTGCTCTGAATAAAATGGATCTGGTTCTTATATTTGCTCTGAATAAAATGGATCCGGTTCTTGTATTTGCTCTGAATAAAATGGATCCGGTTCTTATATTTGTTCTGAATAAAACGGATCCGGTTCTTGTATTTGCTCTGAATAAAATGGATCCGGTTCTTGTATTTGCTCTGAATAAAATGGATCCGGTTCTTGTATTTGCTCTGAATAAAATGGATCCGGTTCTTGTATCTGATCTGAATAAAATGGATCCGGTTCTTGTATCTGCTCTGAATAAAATTTGGATCCGAATCCCGGTGTCGTACGTAGAGAGCCTACCCCCAAGTGTTCACGTCACCATTTAGACACAATTTTAGATATTTAATCCATGATGTTTGACACTTGCCGATATCCTTTTATAGGAAATGATTATTTGAAGGGAAAAAACATTTTGCGTTTTCCTCCTTCTATATTAACTATTCGCATTTACTTATGTAAACTAATAATTTTAAATTGGTTTTAATCTCTTCCTTTCCAGTTTAACCTTTCTTTCTTTCCAGTTAAACCTTTCTTCCCTTCCAGTTAAACCTTTCTTCCCTTCCAGTTTAACCTCTTTCTTCATTTCTAGTTTATGCTTTCTTTCCAGTTTAACCTTTCTCCGTTCCTGGTACAACTTTTTTTTTATATTCATGAGTTCAAGAAAGGATTTTTAAAATATATTTATTTAACGATTAAAGATGGAGAATTAAAGTTCTGTTTTCCATCCAGTAAGACCTGGAAACTGAAGGTTCAGTTTTCCTATCTCTGACCTGGAGCCTGTCTTCCTTATTCGACCAGGGAGAAGATTAAACCGAACCAGGAGGAATCCTAAAAAGCGAAATTGTTGATGGATTTGATTCGTTGAAAATGCTTGTTTTTTTGTTGCACATTTTTGATATTTTTTTTTTTAAAGAATCCTTTTACCCTCCCCTACAAAAACATAGATTATATGTCTTTGAAATTGTTTATAAAATTTACTATACATATATATATAAATTTGGCTTGTCTGTTTGTCTTTCTGTTTGTTTGTTTGAATCCAATAAACGTGACCACGTGACCACAAGGAAGGTTTATGAATGATAAAAATTTTAAAAAATGTGTCTTAAAGGTTTTTAATTTTGTAAAAAAAATTAAATTCTTGAAAATCCGCGAATTTTTTTTAAATCCGCAAAAAAAAATTCTTCTTTGTTTTAAAATGTAAACAAAAAGAATATATTCACAATTTAAATAGAAGAGCCTAGTATTTAGGAAGTTTTCTGTTTATTCAAATAAACTGTACCTGATGGGTTTACGTCGGCCGTAAAGGTTGATTTTGGAGAGAAATTTCCCAGCGGTTTTCCGGAGAAAATGTCGAATGCTGAATATCCAGAAGGATGGTTTAATCCGAGCTCGGAGAGAGCAAAACTAACCCGGATAGGAGTTCCAGAGGTCCATCGGTTCAAGAAACCGATAGCAACAGAATACTTGTTCTTTAAATTAATCAATGTATTAATAGTTTTTAGGTCAATTAAAAATTTGTAGAATTTATTTTTAGGGTTTTTTTTCATTGTCTAGTGTTAAATGAAAGATTTACTTCTTCAATTTTTAATTTATTGAAAAATTTATGAAATCGACCAATAAATTATTCGAACTAAAGTCAACATATCAGTTAATCATGTTTATTAGATGCAAGATTTAGCGCAAAGTATCCTAAGCTAGGAACTCTTGTATTGTGGATATCGAGATCAATTCTTGATATCTATCTTTTGTTAATATCCAGATTAATTTTATCTTTATTCGATACCCCGCATGGTAAATCGTACCCAACCAGGGGATGAAGGAGTAGAAGGGAGCTTTGATCAAGGGAGGAATAACTAAACGAATTGAGCATTGGTTTTCAAATTAAAAGTGTCCATAGTGGATATCGAGGTCAAGCAGGGGTCTTCAGTATCCAAAACAAAAGTTACCAGCTCAAATCAAATTATAAAGTGTAGGTTCAGCCCGGTGTATCGTTTATTTATGCTTTCTTCCTTTTAATAATAGAGCATGAAACCCGGGGAAATAGTGACAGTTGAACCTTACGTAATGTTATTTTTTAATCTACTCGCAAATTGCTGCCAAACATGAATACAAGTGACGGATTATCAACTAAAAACTTGCCATATTCATGGTCAAGCAATAATGCACATAAGTCCTGGCAAGCCTAGTGTATAACCTGATAGGAGGGAAGAATAGGTTTACTGTAAACATCTATATACCCCTGTCTCAGAATTCTTGATGCCTGACAAAACGTAGAAATCCTCAATTAGTATGGGCCTATTCTAGAAATTGTCTCGTGGGTTTCTACAGCATTCACGAGTTGAACGGCCGAACAGTGCAACCCCAATTTTGCAATACAGCTATTGTGAATTTTTAAGTGAAAAAACTAAAAACCGAACAAAAAACTATTGTTTTTTTAGTATTGACCTGTACTCCAAGAGGATCCTGATTTATCTTAATTGCGTCCCGGTTGAGCAATATCTCCGCAAACTCCGGTCTCATCTTTCTCAGATCATTGGACATGATAAGAGGAGCGGCCATGAGACACCACATCCCCATCTGAACCTGGGCCTGGTCCACAGATAGACCATAGTTCCCTATTATCAACTAAACAAGGAAAGATTTAGAAAATGAAATATTTTTGAGTTTTCTTTTTACTAACCATATCCGGATCATTCCAGTGCCCTGGGCCAGCAACTGAACCAAACTTATCCTATAAATCATTTCGTTATTTTTATGTTTTCTAAGAACCAAGAATCAAAGAGACTGTAGGCGTAATTTCAAAGTGACACTCCATGCTGAGATGGCAAATACCCTAAAAAGCTGTGTCTGGTCAAGTAGGAATTAGATATTCATGTTAGGTTTCGTTAAACTGTTTATTTTCATTTGCGGTTTCTCTGCATAAGTAACTTGCGCATTCCTTGATAATAAGAAGCAATGGAGAAATGGCCCGCATTAAAAATTTGCGAGTCAGTAAAACGACCGTATCTACCACTCAGATCAGATTAGATTCATGTTTCCATGGTACCGTTGTAAATCGGACATTGCCGTCTTTGCATGTAGGGTCACTTGACATTACTCTTACAGTCCTATCAAACAGATTTTAAACTCCCCTTATCATCTCCATAGAAATCAATGATAGAGAGAAGGGACGCCCAGGAATCCTCTATATCATCAAAGTTTCTCCAAAGGTTGCAGTGCTCCGATATAGCAGTATAGTTGGGGTTGTGTCCGATCTGATATGCGGGCCAGCTACAGGAGTAAACCATGGGACGTCCAGTTTTATTCAGATATCTACAAATATATTGTTTATATGGACGGAAAACCAATATTTTTCATTTTTGTCTATATCATAAACGTTTGGGGCTTAGTCTACAATAGCAATCGTTTTAAAAAGTCAAGACTTGGCAAATCTAAGATCACCATGAAAAAATGATTAACCTTATAAAATTTATTCTTGGTAAGCACGTATACATCTGTAGGACAGTACAGCCAAGATAACATCAGATAATCAGAGCCAAAAAAAACTTTATCATGGCTCTTCAAGCCTATTAATGATACTCTAACCTGCCGAACTCTGGGTATCCTGTTATCATAGTATCAGGGTCTGAGTAACATCCGTCCAGCTTTACATAATCAACCTGCCAGTCTAAACAGGATTCAGGTTCAGATTCCATCTTCTCCAACAAGTTTTATTTTCAATTTTATTTATTGAAAAATTATTCAGAACTTTAATTTTTCTGGAGAATCAATATGGTAGGCATTTCCTTTGAAATGTTAGTTATCGAAACAAAAATTTAAAATGGGACGTATTTATGTATAGTGTATTGGATGTAGTGATAACTTGGTTTGTTCTTTTAAAATTTTAAGGGTTTTGGACTTCTACATATTTTCTACATATTTTAAAATTATTTGTTTTAAACGTATGGGTTTCTCCACCATGCCAAATTTTAACCTTGAAAGAAGAGTTATGAAAAAAACTAAAATGAGTAGTTTTTGGTTCGTTTTTGTCTTATAATTTCTTTTATAATAAAATTTTTGCATAGTTTAATAAAATAAAAATTTTACAGAAAACAGTTTTGAATTGTTTGCACCGTCAGAGATTTTATCGTGCCTTTTAAAAGTAAAAAAAATTTTAAAGTTTTTATGAAACAAAACAAGCTAGTGCCAATCTTCACCAATTGAATTTCAATTAATCCAAACAACCATCAAAGATTTATTATTTTCTGAATTAAAAAAATATTATTTCAGCTGAATGATAAAAGTGTAGAAAACCTGCGAACGTATTTGCATCGGTTTCCATGTGTCCCAAAACTCCTGGATATCCTCCGCAGGTTAGATTCCCATAATCCTAGAATATCAAGGATAGACCTAGTTCAATTCACGCATTAAAACTATATATCTTATGAACACTTCATCTATATACCGATGAGCGAACATTTTCTTTTTTTTATCTCAAATGACCACAAGGAAGGTTTATGGAATTGGACCGTAAAAATATAGCAAATTTACAAAATCTGAAAATCGTACTGAAGGGACATGTAATTGACGTTTTGAGTGCATCTTGGTTCATGCCCCCTGCATCAGTTCATATTCCCCTTAATGTTTTACCAATTTAACACAAAGTTAGACATCAAAAGAAATGTTAGAACACTTTCTGATGTTTGTTATTGTACTTTGAATGGGAAAAATACATAAAAAATATCAATGTCTTGAATAAATAATAATTTGAAAGGAAGACGACATTCGAGAGGAAATTAATTTCTTCCTCTGTAAAGAAAAAAATCACTGATCAATGTTTAACTTTAACTAAGAGCTCACCTCATAAATTCCAAACTTTAATCCCAGTTTGTGAACATAATCGGACAGGTTGCGTATCCCGGACGGAAACCTTTGAGGGTCAGGTTGCAGTTTTCCATCCTTAGAAATCAGATTTTTTATAATCGTCGTCTTATATATTAATACAACGATATGATTTTAAATTTAATTTTAACCAAGCTTTAAAATACATAGAACATGAAAACAATGAGTGCTTACTTCTAAACACATCATAAATGTAAATGATGCCGCGTGGATCTGAGGACGATCTGAACGTCGCGTCTATTAAATTCTTAAATTGTTTCTTGCTCCTAACCTTATCCCTGGTGTGGTCTAGCCAGCAGTCGTCAATGATAATGTACTGGTACCCAACCTCCTTGTAACCTCCAACCTCCAACATGTCCGCCATCTCGCGGAATAATCTTTCACTGAAACATATTTGTCATAATTGATAAATTGTGATATTCTTGGCCAAGATAACGTGTCCTTGACAGCAAGCACTTAATCACAACTAGACCTTGTCATCAGGTTACTTGGTCTGAGGTTTTTTGTTTATTTTCACCTTTTTTCTAAATCCCATCAATAAGTCACAATCCTACCATGTATTTATAATTCTAACACCTATTAACCACCATGACCCTATCATTTTGACATCAGTTTTAAAGTCAATTGTCAAAAAATCCTACCCACTCTAAAGTAATGGATTTAAAAATTAGATAAGTTACCTGATACAGTCTTCAGGATAAGTTGTACAGTCAGTGTTACAACGGAACCTCTCCCATGACATCCAACCCATCGGAGGTGTTCGGACCAAACCATTCTCCAGGCTTGAACTTAAACCAAGGATGGTTGAGAGGAATAAGATCCAGAGCATTTTTTACTCTGTACTAGATATCCTAAAATAGGTGGACTGAACTCTACTCCAGGGTTGGATTGTTGACTGAACTCAGATAAGAGAAACCCGATAACAATCCTTCTTCTTTCTCGGATCAGATCAGCTGTTACNGGGCTAAAATCAAAACCAATCTTAACATACAGTAAGATGAATTTAGGTCTGATGTTATGGATGTAGGGATAATGAGATAGTTGCAGGGGATAATGAAATAGTTAAAGGCCTGATGAGATGATTGTAGGGGATAATAAGATGGATAGTGAGATGGTTGAATAAATAATTAGAAATATAGTGAGATAGTATGAAGAAATGATTAAAGGGTTGAAAAGAGTTATACAGAATATATACAGTTTTTACAGAAATATTAAAACCTGCCTCTTTGAATAAGTCTCCTTCAATACTGAAAAATATTTACTGACTATGTACTATTCATAGAAAGATACATTACAACATAAACTTCTTATCTTTTCCTATAAATTGTTTAAAAAGGCTAGAAAATAAAATTGTTATTTTAAAACTAATTCTTGCAATTCTTTGAAGTCATTAAGATAAGAGATAATGGCTTTTGAATTGATAAGAAGCTGGAAATATTGTAGGTTTAGTTAACTAACATTTTTATAGTATTCTAGCTCAAGGGCCCGGCGTTGCCCGTGGAAAAAAATGTTATTTTTTTTGTTTTTAGCCTATAACACCCCCCGGCCATCCATGAGTGTCCGCAAAAAATTTCAGTCCAATCGGTCCAGCCGTTTGGCCGGCTATACGCAACATATGAACGTCTTGTTTTATTATATAGATATTTGAAGTTGTTGCTAAGCAAAAATTTTGATTAGACACTTATTGAATCACTAACTAAGTAAAATGGGTCTGTTTACACTGCACAATTGCTGTGTCCCATACTCATTGAACTATTAAAATTCGTAACTTGAGTCTAAAATCCTATTCCGTAGTTTTCTGGTTTTCACTGTAGATTTGAAAATATCAAGAGTTTAATAGTCTTTTATTTTACTATCTATTGCAATAAAGAAAACTGCACAAAGGAGAGTGAGAACAAACTTAAAAGTTGTTATTTATTTAATTTTAACAAATTACAAATAAAAGCAAAACTAACACAAAAAGCAAACATTTTAGAAGCAAAAAAAAAATGATAAAATATGGTCTGTGTCGTAGGAGCAGAACTGTTGAATATAATAAAACCATGATTATGGTTTCCGTCCTAGGACCAGGACTGTTGAATATAATAAAACCATGATTATGGTTTCCGTCCTAGGACCAGGACTGTTAATATAATAAAACCATGATTATGGTTTCCGTCCTAGGACCAGGACTGTTAAATATGATAAAACCATGATTATGGTTTCCGTCCTAGGAGCAGGACTGTTGAATATAATAATAAAACCATGATTATGGTTTCCGTCCTAAGATCAGGACTGTTAAATATAATAAAACCATGATTATGGTTTCCGTCCTAGGACCAGGACTGTTGAATATAATAAAACCATGATTATGATTTCCGTCCTAAGACCAGGACTGTTGAATGTTGAAAAACTGCTTCTGTTTCCAGACTAGGGAAACATTCCAGAAATCTTGACTTCAAAGCCTCTGATACTCTAGACCAGTTTTTAAACATTATTTAAAAAATTGTAGAATTATTAATGTTTATTAAACCATTTTTGAGCGTTTCCGAGGTTCTTTGGCCATCCCGATAATTAATATTTAAAACATTTGCTAAATGCTAATATTGTTAAATAGAGACGTAGGCATTAAACTCATCAATATTTGAATGTGCGATAAAAAATGCCACTCTCGAATGACGACTCTTTTCCAAATTATTCAAGCATTATTATCTTTTTTAGATGTGATTTTATCTATGTTTGTACTTGGTCAATAAAAATACATTTAGATAGAAACCAACATCGGTATATGTCTTTATATTGTTTTTTAAGTCTAATATTTTTAGGAATTAGTTAAGAGTTTAGGAGGGAAGGAATATCGCCATGTAACATGAGTCTGAGCAGGATAAAGGATTAAAACTGTTCCTGAGCGCATTAGCCTCGTCCTTGTTCTTGAAGATCTGGTAAGCGGACGTGGTCAACATATTCTCAAACTTACAACAAATAGATATTAAACATTAATAGATTATTAAAATGTTTGGACTGAAAACAATTGTCAAACTTAGGTTTCATCGATACCTAGGTATAGGGTATGAGCAAAACTTTGAAAATGGAGTTTAATTATATGAAAAGAAATTTGCGATTGCAAACTTTTAAAAAAAACTAATCTAATTTCAATGGTTATGTATTCGTCAATTTTTTTTTGTACCTGAATCTGAGCTGGCATTTTACGCTCTCCAGTCAACCCTGTGAAAGGATTTCTATAAATGAAGAGGAAAAAGGGGGGTTTAATAGAGGACGTACGGGGGGAGCCCACCGAGTGAAACGAAGTGAAATTTTTGATTTTCTGTGTGAAAAACTAACTTTTTTACTTCAAATTCGTCAAGTGTTATAATCTTTTTTATTGCTATAATTTTAATCTTTTTCATTGCTTAATTTCAATCTTTTTTATTGCTTAATTTTAATCTTTTTTCATTGCTTAATTTCAATCTTTTTTATTGCTTAATTTTAATCTTTTTCATTGCTTAATTTCAATCTTTTTTATTGCTTAATTTTAATCTTTTTTCATTGCTTAATTTCAATCTTTTTCATTGCTTAATTTCAATCTTTTTTATTGCTTAATTTTAATCTTTTTTCATTGCTTAATTTCAATATTTTTTCATTGCTTGATTTTTAATCTTTTTCATTGATTAATTTCAATCTTTTTCATTGCTTAATTTCAATCTTTTTTATTGCTGAATTTTAATCTTTTTTCATTGCTTAATTTCAATATTTTTTCATTGCTTGATTTTTAATCTTTTTCATTGATTAATTTCAATCTTTTTCATTGCTTGATTTCAATCTTTTTTATTGCTTAATTTTAATCTTTTTTCATTGCTTAATTTCAATATTTTTTCATTGCTTAATTTCAATATTTTTTCATTGCTTAATTTTTAATCTTTTTCATTGATTAATTTCATATCATTGAACTGTCATCAACACAGCATTTAAAATGAACAATAATATCTGGAAACAAAAATAATCTAATATAATACATTTATGTAAAAAAAATAAAATAAACTAGTTTAAGATTTGCAAAATGAAACAGGGCAGGTATTGTTAAGTAATTGAATAAATGAAATACAGTGATAACCAGAAAACTCTGGAATAGGAAGTTGACTTTTAGACTTCAGTTAATAGTTCACACTGCTGAAATTGGACCATCAGCTTTCAAGTCAAAACACCTAAAATTTTTCTTTGGAATATATTAATATACAGTCTACTGAATTATAATCTCAATTTTCAGGAAATGCCAACTAGGGAATCCGTTTTTTCGATATTGTAGAAATCAAGTGCATTTTCGGGTCTAAAAACAAATGTATCTTTATGGGGGGCGTGCGCCCCTTCGCCCCCCTCAGTTACGGCCCTGGGGGGAGGTTAATTGTATGATTAAATATGACAAGGTTAACCTGTTGTGATATAAGCAGTATCCGCGAATCCTGGAAGAGGATGAATATCTTTATATTCTTTCAAGCATAGTTCCACTGCAGGATCAAAGAACGGATATATGTCCTTAGAATATATGAGACTTTCAAATAGAACAAAATTATCAATATCATTTTTTGACAACAATGTTTCTAAATCATAACTAATTTCTCTATTCTAGTCTTATTTTTTAGATATTTCTAAACCTTGTGTTTCTGTATCCTACCCTGGTCTCTTTATTCTTAGAGGGTTTCTGTATCCTACCCTGGTTTCTGTTTCCTAACCTGGTTTCTGTTTCCTAACCTGGTTTCTGTATCCTACCTTGGTTTCTGTATCCTACCCTGGTTTCTGTATCCTAACCTGGTTCTGGTATCCTAACCTGGTTTTTGTATCCTAACCTTGGTTCTGTATCTATAACCTGGTATCTGTATCCTACCCTGGTTTCTGTATCCTAACCTGATTCTGGTATCCTAACCTGGTTTTTGTATCCTAACCTTGGTTCTGTATTTATAACCTGGTATCTGTACCTTTACCCCGATTCTGTAAGCTAACCTGGTTTCTGTATCCTGACCTTGGTTTATGTATCCTACCCTGGTTTCTGTATCCTTCCCTGGTTTCAGTAACCTATAATGTTTTCTGTATCCTATCCCTTTTCTGTATGAACCTGGTTTTTGTATCCTAACCTGGTTTTTTTGTATCCTAACCTTGGTTCTGTATCTACAAATTGGTATCTGTATCATACCCTGGTTCTGTAACATAACCTTGTTTCTGTTTCCATACCCTGGTTTCTGTATCCTGACCTTGTCTCTGTATTCTAACCTGGTCGATGTATCAATACCTTGTTCTATGTATCCTAAGCGGGTTCTATTATTCTAAACTAGTAAAAAACATCGTCATTTGTCCCTCTTTATCCTATCCTAACTAAATCCTAGCCTAGGGTCAGCATTTAATCCTGGATTTATTTTGCCTTCTTTTTTTTTACCTGGAGGAACTGCTCCTGAGCCGCCATGAACTTGTCTCTAGAGAATAAAACAATGAGAAAAATCAATTCGAACTTAGTTTCTCACTTCAAATCATTTACATTGGATATCTAACTAGAGACTTATCGGGTACCAAGAACGGACGGATTTATACCTGATTTCCTGGGATACACCCAGAGGGGCTTCCGCTCCAGCATCCTTATATCCTACAATAGCGAGAACGCCATTCTTCTTCAGAACCCTCTAAAAAGTAATCAAAGTTTACAATTTACAAAATCAGATTTTGTTTAACCAAGCTTTATGTTTTACTTGTACCTGGACCTCGGCGAAGAATTTATCATGGTTCAGCCAGTGAAGAGCCATGCAGCAGAATACAGCATCTACACTTCCATCCTCTACAGGGATAATTTCAGCAGATCCAACCTAGACATGGATAATTTCAGCAGATCCATCCTCTACAAGGATAATTTTAGCAGATCCAACCTAGACATGGATAATTTCAGCAGATTCATCCTCTACAAGAATAATTTTAGCAGATCCAACCTAGACATGGATAATTTCAGCAGATCCATTCTCTAGCAGGGATAATTTCTGTAGATCCATCCTCTAGCAGGGATAATTTCAGCAGATCCATCCTCTACAAGGAAAATTTCAGCAGATCCAACCTAGACAGGGATAATTTCAGCAGATCCATCCTCTACAAGGATAATTTAGCAGATCCAACCTAGACATGGATGAGTTCAGCAGATTCATCCTCTACAAGGATAATACTTTCAGCTGATCCAACCAACCTAGACAGGGATACTTGCAGCAGATCTAACTTAGACAGGAATAATTTAAGCAGATTTAACCAAGACAAGGATACTTTCAGCAGATCCAACCTAGACAGGGATACTTTCAGCAAATCTTACTTAGAAACTGGGATGATGGAAATAAATCTGTTTGAACCCACCTGGAACCTAATGTTTGAAGGATGTGAACTAAGATTTGCTTGTTCGATTTGTCCAGGGCTTATATCCGTCCCAAGAACTGAATCAAACTCAGCAGTCAGTGGAACACTGCTCTGAAAAATAATGAAACAATAATTATCGTTTTCTGCTAAACAACTCTGATTTTGAAATTACTAACATAATTCTAAAAGTACCTTTTTTTAACACTGGAAAGGTTTCATTAAATATACAGAGTTGAACTTTAGGACGAACTTTAAACTAGGGTTTGGTTCGGTTTTAAATAATAGATTGATTAATAATACAAAACTATTACAAAGCTCAAGTTTTGCGCGTTTTTGCGCAATTTTTTTTGCGTAATTTGCGAAAACCGGAATTATTGAGCAAAACGTAAATTTTTACGCAAAACATGATGTTTTTCAGCAAATTGACTAAAATTGATAGTTTCAGCACAGAATCAAACAACAGAAGGTTTATTTAAAAATTACATACAAACAAAATTATGATTATGATACTCTGAATTGGTTACTTTTAGCTACAAAATCTTCAAACTGAAGGACAAATAATGATAAAATAGAAATTAGAAAATTAAAAACTGATGCAAAGTTTTTTTTAATCTTTGTATGCGCAGGGGCATTCTTTTGCATCTCAAAGTTGACTACTTCTTGTCAAATGGATATGATTGAAATATCAAAGGTCTATTCCCACTGAGACATAGACAACCCTGAGTCATCAAATTTCTATACAGCCTAAATTTTGAAGTGTCGCAAAAATGCTACGCGTATTTTTCTTGCTTAAGTTTAAAAAGAGTAGTTGACAAAATACTGCTCGTGTGAGAGTGTTCACATCTTGATTTCCTATGTGCCAAGCCAACGCCCATCATATACATTAAGTTGCAAAGGAGAGTTTTAGGCAAGTAATCAGTTCACTTTTAAACATTGCAGTTTTATGCCAATAACCTTTTAATGAGAATTTGATCCGCAAAATAGCGCAAAACAGAATAACGCAAGTGCGGAATAGCGCGAAATGAATTTTCGCGCAAAAATGTAGCGCATTGTGCAACGAAAGAAAAATTTACGCTTTCGTTGACAAAAATTGCGCAAAAAATTTGCTAATGGATACCCTACCCCTAATACAGGTACAATGTACATTGTATACATAGCATTAATTCAACTGTACCTGTCCTGACCCGCAAGCTACGTCAACAACAAAAGTTGGATCTCCGAGGCAAGATCTAGGAAAACATAAATCTTTTTTCCAATTTATATATGTGTATTTTCTTTTCTGTTTGTATGTATCGAAAACAAAAAATTAAAAATGGGTGAACTTATCAGGTCTTTTTTCGGGAATTTACATGACCCCAGGGAAGGTTTTGCACGGCCCAAATTAAGAAAAAAGGATGATTCAAAAATCGGAATCCACCAATGAAAACAGGAAATTCTTTGAGAAATTCTTTGATTTTTATTGTTTTTGATTTACGAAGTAAACATGGTTGCAGGTGAAGTCAATATTTAATCGTTGTAATTATTTTATCAAAAAATACCTAGTTATTTAGAAATATTTTTTATTACCTTTTTTCCATTAGGTACTTCTTGACTGTTGTTATAACAGCAGTGGGTAGAGTAGGTCGAGCAGAGATGTATAATTTCACATGATCATCAGACTCAAAATATCTTTTATCCTCGCTCATTTTTAATCCGCTCAGACAATCTAGAATGCAAATTATATCAATTTTATTATTGACTACTATTTTACAGGGAACTTCATGGAATTTTACTTTACTAAGGTTTCAAGACCAATTTTGCTTACAAAACATCCAGAGCGCAACTCAGGAAAAATTAAGAATCTTTTTTTTTAAAGCATTATAAATAATACAAGTTATTTTATTTGGAAACGTAATGAAATTTAAACTGAATTTAAAATACGCCGAACTTATATTTCTTTATTTTCAAAGGTGCAATTTAGCTCATTATCGTTTTTTTTAGCTCATAAGTGCAAGCTAGATTGAATCGTATGAGTCGACAAATTGTTATGCTTCCAGGTTTGGAATATTGTTAAATCAAGCCACAACAATGACATTCAATACATATAAATATTGGAGTTTGAGATGAAAAAATCATAAAGAGATGGAATGAAATAAATTCAAAAAGATGAGTTCGTCAAAGTCCCAATAAAACTACATAAATGAATCAGTTTTGCTTTTTCTTAAAGCTTTAGACAAACCCCTTAAAATCTTGTTTTAAGGCAGGAAACTTAATTTCACGATTTTGACACCCATTGCGGGAGTTAGGCAGAAATTTATCATCTTAATCCAGCGTAGGTTACAGAAAAGTTAATACAGGGTGTCCCACGAAACATGACAATAGGAAGACGACTTGAAAGTCGTCTTTGGTATTGGAATTTATTTGTGACATTTATTCTTCTATCTACTTTAACATGTATGATTCTTGAAACAATTATCACATAATTCTCCTAGCCCTGGCATTTCCAAAAAGGGGTCTGCGTTTTTTGTGCTTTCAATATTACAGGAGATATACAGAATTTGGTTCAAATTTCAATTTTGTTAAATAAAAGCAAAATTGTCGAAATCTGAACGAAATTCTTCATATCTCGGGCAATATTGAAAGCACAAAAAAGGCAGACCACATTTTGGAAATGGCAGGACAAGGGAAATTTTGTGATTATTATCTCTAGAAATTTATTTCTAAAATTAGGTTGACAAAATAAACGCAGCAAATTATATCAAAAATCAAGACGACATTCAAGTCGTCCTGCATACTGTCATGTTTCGTGGGACACCCTGTAGTTCCAATGAACAGTGTATGAAGCATACTAAGGAATTTTATTAAATAAACAGATATGAGAATAACTAGTTTCTCTGCACTGTTCACATTGTAAATGTGGTAACGTATGTGGTGTGTCAAAAATTCAAATTTAAATAAGAAATTTTTTACTAATTCTTGTTAATTAGAAAGTAACAATCCAAAAGTTAATGTTAATCAAAAAAATATATTTATTTCTTTGGATCATTGAAAACTTTTCCTTTGTAGAATGTTCGGTGAAGAGCGCAAATTAAATAATTTATTTTATGCTTAAAATGTCTCTTCCTCTCGCATACAGTGATACCCAGAAAACTCTGAAAAAGGAAGACGACGTTACAGCAAACTTAAGTATATTTAAGATGTTGTTACAAAGCAAATAGTTTTTCAAGACACTTATTAAATCACTTACACAGCACAATTGCAGGGGTCCATATAATTTCATTTCAACTCCCAAATGGGATCGGGGTATACGGGCATTAAAGTACACTTTATGTGTCCTTGTGAACTTTGACAAGTTTTTGTGTACGTGTACTACACTTCAGAAATGTGTACTGCATTTGGGGTGCTAAAAGATGTAAATATTAATATTTAATATAAGAGAAAAATTATGATATACAGAAAAATAAACACTCCCTTGTAGTAACCATTCTGCAGTATGGAATTTTTTCTACAACTTGACATTATGCTTCCAATTGTTTACAATAATAATTCATGGTTTATTTATGCCCCTAATATCAATCAATCAACATTTAGGATTAATCAGATGGAATTATATGGACCCCTAAATTTGTGTTTCCCATGCTTGAAGGAACTGGAAAGGAAAAATGAAAGGGGGGTATAGGCTGAAAGCTAATCATTTGATCGCGACCCATGAAATTTATATCTGATGTTTCTGTCTCGAGAAAGTGATATAAAACTGTCAAAATACGAAAATTCATATATATACAATTTTGTATCAAGGGCGAACGAGAGCATTTGTGTAGGGGGGGGGCATTGCGAAAAAAAAATTTTGTGCCCCCCCCCCCTTAAAAACCTCTTTTTTGAAAAAATATTGTACCCTTTTTTACTATCACGTGACAAGTATACTGCAATCTCATTGGTGGGGGTTTTTGTGACGTAATAAATAAAAATAATAAAACAATAATTGAAGAAAATCTAAGTAACAATTATAGGTTTCTCTGGGATATCTGTTTTCAGATTGGTTGCATATTTGCTGAATATGATCTGTTTATACCTATAACTATCTCTATATGAAATTGTTTATATATGAATTTTCGTTTACATTTGATCAGATATAACTTTCATGGGTCGCGATCAAGAGCTAAAGTGATTAGCTACCAACCGATACCCCCTTTAATTTTTCCTTTACAGTCCCTTTGAGCCTAAAATTTATCTTACTATTTCAGAGTTTTCGGGTTATCACTGTATGGACATAATGTTTTGCTATGATTTGAATCACCGAAATTATTTTGTTTAATTCAAATACATAGTTCAGTCTTTAAGAACCAATAAGCGATGTCCCTGAAGAATTGAAAAATAAAGTTTGCTTTGAATGATGACGACATTTAAAATAGTTTGCTGTGAATTGCTAAAAATCTACAATAATAATCGGCAAACAAAAGATATTGTATTGCTACTTATGATCAAAGATAATACTCATTGTAATTTAAGAATGTAGCTTTTTGAATAAGGTTTCGTTTTAGTTCATACTTATTATGTTGCAACGTGTACACCAATTAAAGATGATTGTCGGCTTCTTTCTTTTCCCTGAAAACATTTTGTGACATCTTTTGCAGCTGACCATATCTCAATGGTTGCAGCAACAAATTGCAGCCTGACAAATTATAAAAAAACAGATCTAATGATACCTTATATCGGTTTTCACTGCAGTCTCTTAAACTTGGAGGTACAGGTTTGTTCTAAAAAAATAAATGGATATACAGAGCGTCCCATATCATATAAGATTATCAACAATTGTTAACGCCAAAATACGCACATAATACGCGAAAAATCTAGCATTTTCTGCCAACAAAATTTTCTATTAGCCTTGTTAAATTTTTAAAATGATTCATTCTTCTTAAATTTTCTGATTTGTCCTCCAAATCGTAATTTAGACCCATTGACGCGGTCTAATTTGATGTGGGACACCCTGTATATTATACAGGGGAATTGTAAAGGTTACCAACTGAAGAGGAAGTTGGGATTGGAATGGAAATCAACAGTAGAGAAATTTGGGATGGAAGAATTGGGACTAGGAATCAATGAGTGTTAGGATGATAATAAGAGTTGTTATATTAGTAGTTAGAGTAATTAGGAAGATTAAGAAACAGCAATTAAGTGGATAAAAAGTAATATTGGGATGAAGACGACATTTTTGAAGGAGTGTACGGATTATTGTTAAGAACAAAATAGAGAGAAAAGAATATAAAAATAACATCTTTAGAATCATTCATTAATCCACTTCAGGTTTACCCAACAATTGATTTTTCTCATATTCATGGTTTCCTGCGTGGCAACTGTAAATTGATTATTTTATTGGCAAATTATTAAAAAGACCATGAGAAAATTTATTTGCAGTCTCACCCTGTAGAAAAGAACGGATAAAGATTGAGGATTGTCTGCAGGTAAAAAACAATCTTAAGAAACAGTTTTCTTTACATGGATCCAATAATATAGAACATGGAGAACATGACCTTAATTACAACATTTACAAACATTAGACAGGGACAGTTCATGAAAAAATATTCAGTCATAAGAAATATTGGAGAAAGGGTAATGGATGAGACGGTTTCATGTGTAGTTTTAGTTGAACAATATCTCATTTTAAAAATTCTACTTTCTGGACTGCTTGACTAAACATGTTTTATAATTTAACTTTGGTATTTCTAATCCCTATATAGTTGCAACCTAATGTCGCAGAACTATGAATTATGCTATGTCGAATAATCTCAGATTAAAATATGAAAGGTTACACCATTAGATTGCAAAGATATAGGCATGAGAAAATTTAAGCTTGTGACTAATTTAATAATTACTAGGCTTTTCTTCGCACTCATCTTCTGTTTCAATTGTGATCATGTTTTCTTTGTATACATTGTAAAACAAAACAAAAAACAAAAAAGTTAGCGGATTTTATAAAAAAAAATCGTGGATTTTAAAAATCGAATTTTGTTAGAGGCAAATTTTGGAAATTCGATCATCCATGAACCTTCACTGGGGTCACGCGAGGTCCTACAAAAAATTTGGGCCCGATCGTTTCAACCGTTTGACGTTTATTGGATGCAAACAAACAGACAGACAAGTGAAATATATATAGATGGCGGTGATTTCAATTCAGACGTTTTCTATCACTCCACAAATATTTCCACATCAGGAATTCACAATAAAACTCTTTATTGACAAAGTTTCAATTCAAAGCATCTAAAATTCTTGAACATGCCTTCTGGATAAATTTAAATTTATCTTAACATTAGAATTTGGCGATGAGCAAGGAAGCTGTCTGATAAATGTTTAAAACTGCAGTTTTCAATTAAGATAAGGAAATGAAGTCTATATGGATTCTATTCTGGACCTGTCAGCGTCACAATCTTGAAATTCTATTCTTTTAAATTGAAGAACTTAAACAAAAAAAATGTAAAAATCAGAATTGGTTAAAAGTGTTCTCTATCTGTAGAAATTCAAAGTAGGAAATATATTTCGATGTTTTTCTACATCATCATCAGTCCTATAGGACAGAATTGATGTTTTTCTACATCATCATCAGTCCTATAGGACAGAATCGATGTTTTTCTACATCATCATAGTTTCTATAGGACAGAATCGATGTTTTTTCTACATCATCATCAGTCCGATAGGATAGAATTGATGTTTTTCTACATCATCATCAGTCCTATGGGACAGAATTGATGTTTTTCTACATCATCATCAGTCCTATAGGACAGAATCGATGTTTTTCTACATCATCATAATTTCTATAGGACAGAATCGATGTTTTTTCTACATCATCATCAGTCCGATAGGATAGAATTGATGTTTTTCTACATCATCATCAGTCCTATAGGACAGAATTGATGTTTTTCTACATCATCATCAGTACAATAGGACAGAATAGACCAATAAAATATAAAGTGATGAATAGGCAATTATAACAAAATTTATTAATTTTAAGAAAAACGTAATTTTGAGAAAAGAAATTTAACAAATTATTGGTCAACCTTAAGAATGAGGGAGTGGATACAAAACGCCCAAAAACAAAATGTCCAATAACAAAACACCCTAAATTACAGATCACCCAAAAACAAAACGTCCAATGTTACAAATCGTCCAAAAACAAAACACCCAAATAAAAAAAAACACCCAAGATAACAAAAAGCCCAAATTTACAAAATGTCCAGAGTTACAAAATGTCCAGAGTTACAAAATGTCCAAGGTTATAAAATATCCAAAGTTACAACTTTTTGATTCTTTTGTACTATTTTTGTGTTCATTTGACCTGGTCTATAACATTATTGACAAGGTCTTGAACATTGATGCAACTTTTCACAGATGTCTGTTTCTATGTGGGTTAAAAATCCTTACTTACTAACAAACTAACTACTAAGTTACAAAATGTCCAGAGATAAAAAATGTCCAAAGTTTCAAAATGTCCAAAGTTACAAAATGTCCAAAATTACAAAATTTCCAAATGTCCAAAAATGACAATGTCTTACATTGTCTAAAAATGTCTTGTATTGATTAATAAATGTAGTGTATAACATTTTGTATCTTAGTATCTTAGTAACTTGCATACTAAGTATCTAGTATCTTAGTATTTTAGTAAGCAGGTATTTTCAATCTGTTCTGATTAAAAATAATTAAAAACTAGTTTTTAAGTTGTAATTAAATATTTTATTGCGTTGACATTTTTAGAAAATTTTGAACATTTTGTAATTTTGGACATTTGGGCATTTTGTAATTTTGGACATTTTGTAACTTTGGACATTTTGTAATTTTGGACGTTTTGTAACTTTGGACATTTTGTTATTTGGACATTTTGTTATTTGGGCTTTAAAATTATTTTTGAGAAAAGAAAAAAAATGATTGGTGAACCTTAATAATGAGAAGCTAGTGTTGAACTGCCAAAAAAACTAGATATTGAAAAGGGAGGGGATGTAGGTATGAAACATGAATGGTTGACCGACAAATCTGATGTTGAAGGGTGGGGTGAGGGGGAGATTGAGAATATTAAAGATTTTAAAAAGAATTGCAATTAGCAAAAATAACGAAAAGACTAGATCAATAAAAACAATATAAATGTAGAAAAACAGAACTTGACGGGATTGTTTCCCTCTTTGAATTCCAGATAATATCATGATAGCACAATTTTTTGAGATCAGGAATTCACATAGATTCAGCCTGCTTATAAACACTATCATCAAACGCCTTGGGCTTAGATTTTACCGCTCTTACTCACTTATGCTTAGCTTAGCTTTAGCTCTTTACATGTACATCACTAGAAAGCACTTGTTGTTAGCTTTGGCTTTTGAGAAGTAATCGGCAAAATTCTCATCGATTTTTGCTTGAGACCTTTAAACAGAGTGGGAACACAACAGAGTCTCTTGCTAATGGTAGATGTCAAAGTCTAGTTGCAGTCAACAAGAATGGGTTCACACCCTTTGCTAATGGTAGATGTCAAAGTCTACTACAGTCAACGAGAATACATTGCTACTTTTGCTGAATCAATATGTATTTATTAGTTCAATGAATGCATTTCTGAAAATGTTTTGATTATTTAAGTGCTGACTAATTATCTACTTATAAATTCACAATGAATGTATATTTAGTTGAGATTTCAATATGTATACTTTGTTTCAACAAATACGATCAAACAAAATTATCAAACATTATATTTTCAATTAGCTCATAATAAATTTTCTTTTGTGTTTTATTTTAAGCTGAACCATCATACATTATTATTTTGTATTTTGTGTTTAAAAATAAATACTATAACTATATAACTATTTACCGTTCAAAGATGTTCCTGAAATATGGTATTAAAGATACTTTCAGTGTAATTTCAAGGGACTCTCCATGCAAATATGACAATGTCCGATTCACAACTGTACCCTTTAAACCTTTATCTGATCAACAATGTTAATCTATTGTCGTTTTTCTAAGTTGAAAAGTGTTTATTTTTGACAATTCCTAAACAAATGCGTAAGTTACTTTTGTAGAGAAACATAATTAAAAATAATTAGTTTTCCAAATTATAAAAATTAATGCCTATTTCATACAATTTATCAGACAAAGCTTTCAAGGGTACTATATGGATCGGGCATTGCCATCTATGCATGGAAGGTCAGTTGAAATTACGCTTACAGTCCCTTTAAGAGTATTTTTAAATATGAGACCAATCCCTTTAATGTGAAGGATTTAGTCCTGCCTGTAGTAAACATTAATAAATAGGACTGAAGGGATATCCAGGATATGAAATAGGACTGAAGGGATATCCAGGATATGAAATAGGACTAAAGGGATATCCAGGAAATGAAATAGGACTGAAGGGATATCCAGGATATGAAATAGGACTATATATATATATAGATTTATCAAGTCTCCAACTTCCTGGTTTCTGTATTCAATGCATGCAACGAATATATGGTTAGTATTAACTGATACTCAGGGTCTTAGTTTAAGGTATATATACTATATATATAAAGAATAAAATCAATTTAAGTTATTTTTCTACGGGTGGTCCGTCCTACTGCTGATGGGGATCCTTTTGAGGTCCAATTTAAATCATTTAAAGTTTTTTTTGAGGTGATCTGAGATGTTTAACATGTAGCAAAATCCGATTTCCCATAGCATTGTGCAAAATTGTTTATCTGAACAAAGATATTATCCAAAACGATTTTAACAATCGTTTTGGTGGATGTATATGTTCAGAATAAAAATGTCAAAAAATGTAATAAAGCAAACCTGAAAACGATGCCAGTTCCTACGTCCCACATCATAGTGGATTGATAAACGGGCTCGCATATAATATATATATATTCATGATGTTTTGGTCTGTTTTTGTTAAGGTTTCTTTGTTTTTTTTGTTTAGCTTAGAAAAAGACTTAAAATTCAAACGAAGTAAAACAAAAGAGAAAATTATGTAAAAATTGCGCAATAAATGCATGCAACTCTGCGCATAAAAACTGAGTTCTTGCCATAAAAATCCATGCATCTTGCAACCCGGTGTCGTAGATCATTGATATTTCAAACTGTGAATTCGTAAAGCTTAAATAATCTTAGTTTGAAATATAGGGATCAGAAAGTGTGTGGCAAAAACTTAGTTCCATAGCAATGTATGAAAGAAAATTCGACTGAACGAAGGAAAATGAAAAACTGAATAGCAAAAAAAAATCTGCGAAAATTTTTTATACAAATCTGCAACAATAGGCGGCAAGATGTGATTTTTTATTAATACTGTTTAAAATGTTATAACTTAAATAAAGAATTTGTATACAATCAATACATTTTTGATGATTTGTGCAGATTGACATAATAAACATTTTTCGCCGATTTTAATAAATGTTAAAAAAGAGTGTCTTCTCTTATTTAACGAAAACATAATTTAGCATTTTATTTACTACATTTCAATTTTGTTTAATAGATTTAGACTAGTTTTGGGTCTTAAAATTCTAAAGAAAATTATTGGAATTTCTAAATTTTAGAAAAACAGATAACCATGAGAAACCATTAGAAACTTGGCAACTTTGCTGAAAAGGGAATTTTTAAATTTAAGGTTTAAATTAATTCTTTTCCCTTTTTAAAAAAACACTTAATAACAGCTGAGAAAAGAAGCATGAGAAAGCAAGAGGGGGGATAGGAGTTGGAAGGAGTTATTCACTTATATAACTTCTTTTATAACTTTATTTCTGTTAGCACTAGTTTTTAAATCTTCTCAATATTGCGTTGGAGAGCCTATTATTTTTAGCTTTAGCAGTTTTAAAATTAAAGTAAAGGTTATGCTGAACGTTAGACAAAATGAACCGGTTTAATACAGGTATTTAAACTTAACCTAAGGTCTGCACAAATCTCGGTCTTCACAATTGTGTACAGTTTATTTCTGTTTTACTTGTTCGTGAAATTTGATAGTTTTGTTTATCGAAACCTGTGCGGATATTTCCTGAGTTGAAATAAGTGAGTTTTACTGATTGAATGTGAGGTGTAATAGGACGGAGCGTATCCACGGGAGGAATAGGAGAACAGCTGATTTATTCTCCGAACCTTTCAGTCCGTGAAAACCTTGGAGCCTACCGCACGCTAACAAATAGAACTCAATTGTGCAGTGATTCATTCTCATAAATCCTGAGTTTACCAGATTTCAACCAAACCCACCCGTACCTTTAGATTACTGCAGGGTGAGTATTTGTATTTGCTATAAATGTTAAAAAACACGCGAATATATTCTATAGTTTTATGGAAGCTATACAGGAGTTATCGTAAATTGAATATTTGTTTTGTGCAACAATGCAGTTTTGCTCTGTAGTGAAATGTGAAATTTGTAAGTCTCTTTGTGAAGAGATGGGATGGGATGGGTTCGTTTCAAAAGAGAAACGGATTGAAAATTATCTGTTTTTGCAAACGACAAACTTAAATCGGGCGATAGGCTTANATCGTTGAACGAAACTCCCGAGTTTCCTTTTTGGGATCCTAACATTTGTGTAGATTTTGATTTAAGAGATTCGAAAAAAATAAAGATTATAAACAAACTGAAAAAAAATATTTCATTACAAAAATATTGATTTTCACAAAACTGCCTACCCCCATTCGTGATACCCGGGTTTTAAAACTGGTTTTCATAACGATACCCTGTCTTAAGTTTTGGGCTCAGGTGGTTATACGGGAGTACAGTAATTCTACATTTTGTTTAAAAGTGAACGCTTTAAATGACTCATTGTCTAGTGTTCATTCTGTATTTTAAACGCTTATAGAATTAATTCCTTAGTTGGACTAGTTGGACTAGTCGGAATAGAAAAAATCAGAATATGAAAACAACAGAATGGGGAGTAAAGAGGGTAAAATGGGATACTGATGAAAAATTGTAGCCCTAGACATGTAATTTCCGAAACTTTAAAGCACTTGTTTTAAGCTGTAATTAGTTAAATTTAAACAACTTTTGCATGAAAGCTTTCAACTTTTGGACCACTGCATGAGGAACATACACGAAATATGGAACTTAAACGGGAAAAAAACATACATGAAATAAGGAACATACACAAAATATGGAAAAAACAGAAAATAGGGAACATACACAAAATATGGAATATACAAAATATAGACCACAAATAAAATATGGAACAAACAGTAAATAGGGAACACATACACAATATGGAACAAAAAGAAAATATTGAACATACACAAAATATGGAACAAAAAGAAAATATGGAACATACACAAAATATGGAACAAAAAGAAAATATGGAACATACACAAAATATGGAACAAAATATTGAACTAAAAGAAAATATTGAACAAAAACAAAATATGGAAAATAAAAAATTTGGTACATTTACGGAATAGAAAAGAAATTATCAGGGCATAAAGATTGAATATGGAATATGTACGGAATATTTCGTCTATTTGGTGAACCTGATCAAGAACTGTGCTGGGGTCAGGTTTATTCTTCTCTAATAGTCCTAACACAAATTCTAAATTTTATCTATTCACTGGTCTTTTTTAAATTTATTCATGAATTCTTATTCCAGACAAAGTTTTCGAGTTCTATCTTTGTTTATTTACGCTCTTTGTTTTCGGTATTTTATCCAGGATTACAGAGATATAGTTTTACTAGAAAGGTTTCAATCATTAATAGAATCACGTTTAATGCAAACCTTGTACTTTCAAGAGAATCAAAAAAAAATTAGACTTATTTTAAAGCTAAGTTTTATAAAACTATCATTTTATTTTCAACAATTAAGATGTTTTTTATATAACTAACAAAATTCACTGGTATCACTGTAATCTAGATTCAAAGGAAAAGAAGGTAAAATTTATGCGAGATTACTGCTGCGGCTTTCTGACCTTGTAGCTCCTTTAGTTTTGATTTTACGCCCACGTATGAGAAAACATAATTTATCTGGTAAAATATAATAAAATTACAACAGTTTTGCTCTTTTCAATAGATCTTTAAAATAGGATTTATAATTGAAAACACACGAGATTTTAATCTTACTTGCTATTTACTTTAGTTAGACGTGGTATGGAGACCGGAGTGAAATTTAAATTTCTATTTTTAGTTAATTCCGAAATGTTAAGAATTAAATGTAAAATTCGGTTTATGTGCTGAACCAAGAAAAGATCCTTTGACAAACAAGATCCAGTTAATTTACAGATTGAAATATGTAAATATTTACATTTGGTGAGATGAGATGAAATCAGAATAAGATGTCTTTGAATAAATGTAAATTTGTTTCTAGTTTTGAAATTTGAATAACCAATTCTCAGCTCCAGGGTTCTAGTTTCATTTTAATCCTGTTTCTATAGTCGAGCTCTACCTAGGTGCAAGTCTTAAGTTCACTGTTTTCATCCTACCCTAAACTGTTCCCTCTCCTACCCTACAAACTGTTCCTCTCCCACCCTACAAACTGTTCTCCTTCTACCCTACAAACTGTTCTCCTCTTACCCTAAAATTTGTTCTCATCATACCCTTTAAACTGTTCTCCTCCTACTCCACAATCTGTTCTCATAATACCCTACAAACTGTTCTCCTCCCACCCTACAAACTGTTCTCCTTCTACCCTACAAACTGTTTCCCCTCTATGAGTTGGGTTTCTAAACGACCCGAACTGATTAAACTGAATCGGAAAATCTGCAAAAACCCAAGTTTATTAGATTATTCTAATAAAAAGATTGAAAAGTGTAAATTAGCAGAACTTTACATTTCTTTCTTTTGAAAAAGAAAAATAATCTGAAGCACGACATATTTTTAAAAATGACAGCTTTTAAAGTTACGAAATAGAATTTAGAAATATTTGCTGAAGAAAGCATTCTTTAAATATTTAAACATTTGCTTTGTTAACGGGAGCGTTTATGCAATATGTATGTAGAATCTATATAAATACATAAATCTATCAATATTTAAATCCTTCTCTGGCTTATCGAGTAAAACAATTTCTTTATTTAGAACTAGTCCGTTTGTCGAACCCCTTCCTACTCCCCCCACCCCTCTGGCTTTAATATAATTCGTTGTTTAACTCTTTTTTAATACTTAGCAGCTGGCTGAGCTCCATCTATACCTAAAGCGCGCCGATTCAACTTATTACTCTCGTACTTCGTTAATCCTATATCAAGGAATGGTTTAACTCATAACTCTTCATCAATTCTTTTTATAAACAAGAAATTTCTTCTTTTTCTTACTAGGTGTTATTTTGAAATTTAGTTAACCATTCAAAGATTAGGTAATATATTTGATAAAAAGTGAGAACTTGCTGAACTGCGCAGACATAGTTCAATCACTTCTCTTGTGCATCTCTTCAATAAGAAGAGAAATGGTTGAACCAACTCTACGCAGTTCAGCCATGTCTCGCTATTTGATAAATCTGGTCCCATAAAGGTTAACTAATTTCTCATCAATGGACACTTTAATATTTGGTTATTGAGAACAAACAGTATGTTTGGTCTAATATGGTTGCTGATCCAATGGATCCTGGTTCAAGAAGCAAGAATGTTGCTGATCCAATGGATCCTGGTTCAAGAAACAAGAATGTTGCTGATCCAATGGATCCTGGTTCAAGAAACAAGAATGTTGCTGATCCAATGGATCCTGGTTCAAGAAGCAAGAATGTTGCTGATCCAATGGATCCGGATTCAAGAAGCAAGAATGTTGCTGATCCAATGGATCCAGGTTCAAGAAACAAGAATGTTGCTGATCCAATGGATCCAGGTTCAAGAAACAAGAATGTTGCTGATCCAATAGATCCTGATTCAAGAAACAAGAATGTTGCTGATCCAATGGATCCGGATTCAAGAAGCAAGAATGTTGCTGATCCAATGGATCCGATTCAAGAAGCAAGAATGCTGCTGATCCAATGGATCCGGATTCAAGAAGCAAGAATGTTGCTGATCCAATGGATCCGGATTCAAGAAGCAAGAATGTTGCTGATCCAATGGATCCAGATCTTAAGCACTTTCCATTAACTTCATAAATTGAACGCACCTATTCCTACCAGTTTCTTACATGACATATTCTTCTAAAACCTAGCCGTCTAGGTTACGTGTTTCTTAGATGCTCATTACTCATTATGCTCAGTTGTAAACATAGTCTTAACAATATTTTTCTAGGTTTCATGTTTCAATTCTTTCTTACAGGTAGAGCAGGAGGAGGGGGGGGAGGGGTATCGGCTTCTCTGGTAACCATTATATAATAATGATAGAAAAATGTTTCTCGTTAAAGATAGAAATCAATTTTTTGTGGACCTATGATTATGTTTTCCATGTTAATTCAATTAAACTCATATACGGCCTCAAGTCCCTTTTCAAATGTGGTAGGTTTAAACTTTGTGATAATATTTAAAAACAATAAACTATTTTATTTACTAAAAATAAAAGTAACATACTCTTAAAGGTTTCCGTTTATATGGCATAAATACGACCGTTATTTAGACAGAACGCATTGGATCATTCTTGCTAATTATAAGCATCTTTTAGTGATAAAGTTATAGGACTAGTTGGGTTCCTCAAATACTGGGGAGATGTGTGTATTTTTCCTGTCAACAACCCCCAATTTCTGTAAAGCATTATATAAAATATTTTCAGCTATTCGCAATCCTTCTATACCCCATTTTATTATTGTGATCCCGCATAAATTTTGCTCATTATCATGCCAAAAACTCTGACCCCCTTTTTTATGTCAACCCCCCCCCCGTTGTTTGCGCCATAATTGAAGATCTTCTAATAAGATTGATATTGTAGGGGTAGTGGGTTGTATCTAACCATCTAGTCTTCCAGATTCAAACTATAGATCTACTTTAATTAATTTCTCATTTAATCGTAACTAATCTCAAACAGATATATGTAGGTTTAACTTTGTATTATCCTGTCGGGTATTCAGAGAGACAATACAATTCTAAATAATAATGAATCCTAGAAACGGTGTCATGCATGGAGAGCCTTCCCTGCATAGAGAGCCTATACCCTAAGTGTGTGTACACCATTTCAACACAATTTTCGACATTAAAAGCAATGTTTCGACACTTTTCGATATTTATTAATGTATTTTGATTTGGGAATGCACATTAAAAATTCTCTTTGTCTTGAAGAAATAATGATTGTTTGATTTGAAAGGAAGACGACATTTGTTTTTCCCCAAAAAAATAATACATTTTAGAGTTAAATTTGCTTTTATTTATGTAAACTAAAAATTTTAATGTTTTGAAATTGCTTAATGTCTAAAATAAAATAGCTAAAAAATGTATGGGGTAGTCGGAAGGCTCTCCATACAGGAAAACGGGATAAAGAATAGAACCTAGATTCACTAATTAATATCCTACTTTTATTTGAATTATTGAATAATAGCTGAAGGGTCCGGCGTTGCCCGGGAAAAAATTAAAATTTTAATTTTTTTAAATATTCAAAAAAATATTTATAAAAAAAATATTTTCGATTTTTTAGCCTATTACACCCCCCGGCCACCCCTATGTGTCCACAAAAAAAATCATCCCTATCGGTCCAGCCGTTTGGTCGGCTATACGCAACATTTATATATATGAATGTCTTGTTTTATTATATAACAAGGTATTTCCATAACCCGCGTACTAATATGAGAAATCCTCCAAACTTGTTTCACTAATTAACAGGTGATCAGGAATTATAAAATAATTGTGTCCAATTAATTTAAAATGTCATTTTCTCACCATGTTGATTCATAGTTAGTTTAATAGAAAAAAATACAAATACACAAATTAAAGTTTAAAATGTTTTATTTTCTGCAACCAGAAGTTTTCTTATTTTCGAATCTCGTTTGAGTGCAAAAGCAATCCCAAAACAATTATAAATGGTTAAAAACATAAACTGCAAATTGTTCAAAATCAAATTTCAAAATGTTGCGCTTTTTATTTTTTTTAACTGTCGGATCCCAGAAAATACGTTTTTCAATTTCTTATTTCTTCAAAGTAATATTTTCCTTACTCATTGTGCAATTAGCTTATTATCAAAAACGCTGTTTTCAAACACGATTTACAAAAGACTATTTTAATGTCGTCACTTTATTCCAATGTTTTTGGGACACCTTGTACGTTTGGCGGAATGTAAATTACATTGCTCATGTTATAATAAAAAATCGTCATAGTTCATACCGTATCAGTTACATAAAATTCTGAATGTTATAATTGTACATTATTATTTACATGTACACGCATTTAAAAAGATGCTATCCAAAACAAATGTAGAAAAATAATTTTACCAAATAAATGTTCAGATTAAAAACTTAAATGCTATATTTATACAGAGAGAGTTATATAACTTAAGACGACTGTTTGACTCAAGTTTAGATTTTAAATAATCCAATGAACATGAAGCACAGATTTGAAATTTAGTGTTGATGATGATCCATGCCTGATTGAGTAAAAAGTAGATATTAGCTCAACATTTATTTGAACATATATTTATGCACATTTAACTTAATAGGTTGATTTCAAACTACTAGAAAAACTATAAAATTTCCTAACTGTCGTCTTTCTATTCCACAGTTTTATAGGTCTAACTGTATACTTTCTTACAGCAAAGGTTTAGTGAGCTCCCGGTTTCACTTTAAATACAGAAATATTTATATTTATATTATTTGATCGATACAAATATTTAGTTTGCTACATCATTTGTTTTCCCCTAGTTAAGTGATGATAACTAGAATGATTGATATTATAGGATCAGATCTACTAATGAATAATCTATTATACTAGTTGTATACTCTGTATTCTGAATACCTCTCTTCAAAACACTTGTTCTCCTCCCTTCTATTCTCCTAGTCCCTGCTCAGAAATCATATAGCTTTGATCAACTATTGTTTGCATTTAATTAGTACGAAGCTCTGTTTTTATTTATTCTCTGACACTATTTACAACCCCCTAACCTAACGACAACCCCCCCCCCCTTCCTCGCCTAGAAACAAATTATTGATATAAAATTTATCCTATTTTCTAAAGTTCTGTACAATACTGTCGTTTTTACTGAGTAACAACTCTGCCTTACCATTCACTTCCATCTAACCCTCTTATTAAATATCTATAACATTTTAGCCGCTCAACCTCCTTTCCAATATTCTATTTTCAATTTTTGCGTAACACTTGCCCTTCTTCTCGGTAATTCATCCCCTTCTTACTCTGGCCAGTTTTTTGTATCAACCTCATCAGAGTTAACTAAATGTATGTTTATCACCTTTTAATCATCCTCAATGGTCGTACTCAATTAAGGTTCTCAATGTAAATACTCTTTCGTACATTCTGTTTAGTATGTACTGCAGTGTATATAGTATTTATTTGTAAATAAGTGCTTCCGTTTTTGCAACAGATAATGTTGTTAAATGTTGTTAGATAATACGAGGGATACGTGTTCTCCAACCCGCTCTTCTTTGATCCAGTTTTTTTATTTGCCCTCTTTTTCAGTTAATAAAATTCAACATTACTATATATCTATATATAGAATTGGCTTGTCTGTCTATGTCCGATTCACGTCAAAACAGCTTCGATTGGACTTGCATTAATTACCTTAGGGAAATTTTATGGACGGTCATAATTGAAAAATGTTACCTGAAAAAAATGTCCACATTTATCAGTTTTAAAAGAGTATACCAAGTTTAACAGAAAAAATAATGAAAAATCGCGAGTTGAAATGCAACAGTTCATAGCTAAACTGTTGGTTTTAAAAATGGGCGCGAAGCGCTCTATAAGCCTACTACTTTACATTCCATTAGATAAAATTTCGTAAAAGCGTAGTAGCATGGATTTTGTATCTGTGAGAGAGCAGTGGGATCGATTCTATTGTCATAGCAGCAATATCCTTCCTTGTACACAGAGAATACTCACAAATATTAATATTTTACCCCTCAGTATCACGTACTAGCTCCTCCCAGTCCTAGCTTCCTTGTACACAGAGAATACTCACAAATATTAATATTTTACCTCTCTGCAGTATCACGTACTAGCTCCTTGCAGTCCTAGTTTCCTTGTACACAGAGAATACTCACAAATATTAATATAAAGTAAACATAATAAGTGAAATCGTTAATTCACTTGAAAGAATATTCTCGATCGTAAGATCGAACCGATCACAGAGATAAAAAATTATTGAAGCGATCCATCAAATTTTAAGATCGTGTCGACTTTGAAGTTTATCTCAACAACTCTCAAATATCTTTTTTTGTAGTCCTGTGTAGTCCTGTGTAGTCCTGTGTAGTCCTGTGTAGTCCTGTGTAGTCCTGTGTAGTCCTTTGTTTCTATCGTCAGTTTGAAATGAGTAATAGGCAAAATCCTGACATATTTTAGCGTGATAGCTCGTATATTTTTAGTTCTTTACAAATACAGATATTTATTCAGATAAATACTGTACTACATTGATCAGGGGTCAATGAATTTATTCTGTTGATTTAATTTGTTTGGAATTAAAATTGAAATCTTTGAGTCGTGAAGGGTTCAATATTCCTGAGTTCTGCTCCGGGTCCAAATATATACAGAGAGATATCTAGTTACTTTATAAACATACCAATATTAATAAACTTGATAAACTTGATCATAGAAGAAAAAAATCATAAAATAGAAATTATGAAACTTATCTATATGGAGTTAGTCCTTTAATTCGTGTTAATTTGGATGTCCCCTGAAATAATATTTTCACCCGGTCCATTTGTTTAGATGAACCCCTGAGTAAGGATGGGACGGAAGCATAAAACATATCCTAGTGAGGGACTTGAACCCTCTCCACTACAGTTTGATGACAGGGTGAGGTTTACCTAATTTATCTTCAAGTCTGGTAATGAAGGAAGGTCGTGGAATAAAGATATTTTAAAGGGACTGTACGTTATTTCAATCTTTAAACCTTTGGCTTATCATGAACAGTGAAGAAATCCATGTTTTTCTTGCTTAAAAATGGTATATGAACACCGGCAAACTGGAGCGTAAACTTTGTACTTTATGAACTCAATGCATATATTTCTCGAAAATTCCGAATACTCAATGTCCAAAGCGGGTTTGAAAAATTCGAATGAAAATATATTTGTATGTCTATGACTCGTAGAAAGTAAATAATGTTATTTTAAATGGAAAACAGCTTTTATACAAAGTTATCAAAATCACAAGCGTTTCTGCTGTTAGTATATAAAGATATTTCCGTCATCCTTGATCTGTCAAAGGTTTAAAGGGTACCGTTGTGAATCCTTGATCTGTCAAAGGTTTAAAGGGTACCGTTGTGAATCCTTGATCTGTCAAAGGTTTAAAGGCTACCGTTGTGAATCCTTGATCTGTCAAAGGTTTAAAGGGTACCGTTGTGAATCCTTGATCTGTTAAAGGTTTAAAGGGTACCGTTGTGAATCGAACATGTCAATCTAAAAATTAAATGCCACTTTAAATTACGTCTACAGTCCCTTAAAGCTTAATTCACCTCTGCCCACTTTAACCGACATAATAATTAATTTTAAAAACTATTAAGGGAAAATTTTATATCCTTTGAATGGGAAAATTATAAAAAGTTTTTTTTCTGTAAAATTATAATGATTAGTAAAAGCATTTTTAGAGAAATAAATTTTTAAAGATGAACTTTGGTAATTTCTAGAATTGATAGATTGAGGCCAGTATTTTTGTTTGTTTAATTGATAATGTTTAGTATGATCCTGATTCTGATCATGGAGAGTCTTTTTATTTTGCTCAGCAGGGACCTCTGGTTAAACGCAGATCTTGTACAGGTACTGCAGGCAAATATTATGTACAGATACTGCAGGAAAATATTATGTACAGGTACTGCAGGAAAATATTATGTACAGGTACTGCAGGAAAATATTATGTACAGGTACTGCAGAGAAATATTATGTACACTGTAGTGTACAGGTACTGCAGGGAAATATTATGTACAGGTACTGCAGGGAAAAATTATGTACAGGTACTGCAGGAAAATATTATGTACAGGTACTGTAAGGAAAATATTATATACAGGTACTGGAGGGAAATATTATGTACACTGTAGTGTACAGGTACTGCAGGGAAAATATTATGTACAGGTACTGCCGGAAAATATTATGTACATGTACGACAGGAAAATATTATGTACAATTACTACAGGGAAATATTATGTACAGGTACTGCAGGGAAATATTATGTACAGGTACTGCGGGGAATTATAATGTAAATGTTCTGCAAGGAAATATTTTGTACAGGTACTGCAGTGAAATATTAGTACAGGTACTGCAGGGAAATATTAGTACAGGTACTGCAGGGAAATATTATGTACAGTTACTGCAGGGAAATATTATGTACAGGTACTGCAGGGAAATATTATGTACGGGTACTGCAGGGAAAAATTATGTACAGGTACTGCAGGGAAATATTATGTACAGGTACTGCAGGGAAATATTATGTACAGGTACTGGGAAATATTATGTGCTGGTACATCAGGAAATGAAAGTGCTTCAGGTACTGCAGGGAACGATCGTACATAGCATGAATAAGAATATTTATAAATTATAGAGATCTTAAGATGATCGTTGTATCTAGAACAAGAAAAAATATATTATTGACAGTTGACGAGTTTCTTTTACAGTCAAGAACATGAAAACTTTAAAGCTTGATCTTCTCCCCTGGGTTATCCTAGTGTACATACCACACAATCTACTAACTTTTCCTATTCTGTAAATACCCCGGAGCAGGGTTTGGTAAAAGTTTCCAAGTTTAGAACCAGCTTTTCAATCCGTGTTCTCCGGTTGGGTCGATTAACTGTTAAGTTTATATTTCTGAACAGGATATGAGAAAACATGATAAGGTTTTATTTCAACTTAAAAACGTTTATCTGTTATAAACATTTTCTGCTTTTCACGCTCAAAAATTGTATGATTTAGATGTTCTCTGTTTTCTGATCTTTCTGGCATTCATCGGAGGTTGGGTGTTTGTAGCGTACCTAGGCTGGAGGGATGGAAATATATCTAGGGTTGTTTATCCTACAGATTCACAGGTAGGACATACGATTTAAACAGGATACTGGCGCTGCAGATAGAATTGCTCGAAATAGGACCATTGGAAACTCAGTTGCTAGACAATTAATCTTAGTTATTTTTGTATATATTTTGTACGCAATTAAAATAGGGGCATCCAAAGTAAAAACAGCTGAACTGTATGAGGATCGTTAAATACACGAAAATAATGTTTGTTTGGCCTTTACTAGATATTTCTTCAAATTGCGCTTATAGCAATCATATCGTATTTTTTAACAAAAAAATAAATGTGTTTAAAGAGAAAATATTTAAAAACCTTCAAAAATGACATGCTAACAAATATAATCACACTTTTTCTTTGTGATAAGAATAGAAATAAACTTTAAATTGTTTGGAACTCAGTGTTAATATATTGCATTTGAAGAATGCAAACACATAGTTTGGGGTAATCTTCTAACATCTGAGGAATAGAAAGAAAAGATTAATGCCACACTATGTCAATAAACTATCAAAGGAACATTTAACAGAATAGGAACAGAAAGCGTTTAACAGGTTGCATTTATTGGAGGTGATGGGGGAAGGAATGATGGGAATAAAATAGGGAAAGGTTTAGGAATGGATAATACGGAGATAAGAGAGTAAAAGTGAAGGGGTTGAGGGATGAGATGAAAGTTAAAGGAAAGAATAAGGTAAGGTTCGCTCTCACAATTCTTTTTCTCTTAGTTAATTGTGGAAGATAAAGGCTTCAATGGAGAAGTTCATGGGAGAGATTAAGAACGTGGGAAGAGCTTGGGGTGGAGAACGTGAAAGAGATAAGAAAAGAAGGAGGTGAAGAGAAGAAGGAACAATAACAATGAGATGGAGACAGAGAAGGACAACGGATTGATAAAGAAAGATCGGAGAAGAAGAATGAGGATAGAGAAGGACAAGGGATTGATAAAGGAATATCTGTGAAGCAGAATGAGGATGGAGAAGGACAAGGGATTGATAAAGAAAGATCGGAGAAGAAGAATGAGGATGGAGAAGGACAAGGGATTGATAAAGGAAGATCGGAGAAGAAGAATGTGGATGGAGAAGGACACCTTTAGAGTGAAAAAGGAGAAAAGACGGAAGAAGAAACAGTAGGAGGAAACAGACAAAAGTAGGAACAGGACTAGGAGAAGTAGATGGTCAGGGGGGACGAGAGGTGAAAAAGAACAAAATTTGAAAAAATGACAAGGGAATATAGTAGGAAATTTGAAAATACATTGCTAAGATAAATTTGAAACAATTTAGTGTAAAGTGTAAACTGAGTAGAAGCTGTTCTTTATCTATATTTACACTCCCTCCAGCTTCTCCAGTCTCCAGTCCCCATCAATATTCAATATTAGGGATTCAGTTCATAACATTATGTCAAAATGAAGATTACCGGGTTTTGTTGGAAAAATATTTGCTCAAAATTAAAATTTATATCGAGTAAATCTTTATGAAGTACATCTGTATCAATTACATCTTTATCGGGTACATCGAGTACACTTGTATAAAGTATATCTGTATCGTGTACATTTTTACTGAGTACATTGAGAGTTTATCTGCATCTAGTACATCTGTATAAAGCACATCTGCATCGATTACGTCTGTATCGAGTACTTCTGTATCTAGTACATCTGTATCGTGAACATCTGTATCGACTACATATGATGTATCGAGTACATATGTATCGTGAACATCTGTATCGACTACATATGATGTATCGAGTACATATGTATCGTGAACATCTGTATCGGCTACATATGATGTATCGAGTACATCTGTGTACAATAAAATACATTTTTGTAATTTCATAAAGACTGATAAGTTTGCTTTATTTAATTGAATGTACACCGTTTAGTGTTATTATTTACAAGAAGGATTCCTGATTTTTCATTTTATTTTTCCTATAAGGAGACCCGGCTACCAAGGTTTACAGGGTTCTGTTTATCAATCTAAACTGTAAATAACATGTTTGTTCGGTTTATTTTCATTTACTAATAAAGTCATTAGCGGATCAAAGCTGGGAGATTAATGAGGGGTTTAAGTATGGATTGTTGAGTTTGAAAATATTTAAAATATTCCGCATTTTCATTTTAAATATTAAACCTGTTGTTTAATCAATACGAGTTTGCTTTATATTACAGAATACTTGTATTCAATTTTCATGGTCAAACTAAAGAAAAACTTTGTCCTTTTTATAAAATAATAGGCTTTCCGCCTATCTTCTATTTCAATTGTGAACATTTTCTCTTTAAATACCTTGTAAAAATAAAAAAAAAAGTTCGCGGATTTATAAATTTTTTGTTGTAAATTTTCAAAATTTTATGAATATCGAATTTTTGAAATTTTGGCCCGATCGGTTCAGTCATTTTGATGTTTATTGGACACAAACAGACAGACAACCAAAGTATTTATATAGAAGATATATCCTTCAACATCGTTTTGTCATTATCTTATTATTCTTGTCGTAATTCGAATCTACTATTTTCTTCTATTATCTTCTTATTTCTTTTCCCGAAAAACATGTTTGTGGTAAATCAAATATAATATGACAGGATAAGCGCATCCAGGACAAACGGTTGCTCGGAACAAATACCAAAAAAGGAATTTTGTCATTATCTCAAATTTGGGTTGAGGAATTAGGACAACATCAACCGTATTTCATTGTGGGACTTTATTCGGATTCCATATCAATGATTTATATAAATTTTCCTCCTTCAAGAACCTAATATTCCTCCTTCAAGAAACTAAAATTCCTCCTTCAAGAACCTATTATTCTTCCTTCAACAACCGAATATTCCTCCTTCAAGAACCGAATATTCCTCACTACAATTTATAATATTCTGATGGTTTTTATAACCAAACGTGGGTTTAAAAAATTATGTTCATGTTCTTTTTTGAGAAAATGTTAGATTTTCCGTTATTACTTTAAAATATTCGGTTTAAAATGTAGAACAAATATTGGAAACAAATAAAAAAAAAGTTTCAAAGATTAAACAATTAGCAATAAAATTGAACTGGTATGTCCAGGATGGAAGAAAATATGATTTTATTTTTATTTTAGGGAAACATCTGCGGTCAAGGATCTATGAGGAATCGTCCTTTTCTCCTTCTCTTCGATCTGACTCAGTGCTTGAACCCTGCTGTTCTTATTTCCGGTTGCTTGACACCACATGTAAGTTCTTCCTTTGTAAAATTACCTAAATTTAAACTCCAAATCTGCCAAATAATGATAATGCATAAGACTAAATGATGCTGTTGAATTTTAGCTCTAAAGTATATTATTTTTAATAGTTTATTTACCGAGTTTAAGGAGTTCTTTAGATATAACTTAATTAATTTCATCAATCTGACTAATATCTTTCGCCACAGAGAATATGATGAATATACCTAATATAAAAAGAATAGAATGGATATCCCTGGTGTAAGAATAGAATGGATATCCCTGGTATAAGGATAGAATGGATATCCCTGGTGTAAAGATATAATGGATATCCCATGTGGTTGGATAGAATGGATAACCCTGACGTAGGATGGATATCCCTGGTGAAAGGATAGGATGGATATCTCTTGTGTATAGATAGAATTTGGATATAACTGATATAAGGATAGGATAGATATCCCTGGTGTAAGGATAGCATAAGTATCACTGGTGTAAGGATAGCATAAGTATCCCTGGTGTAAGGATAGAATAGATATCCCTGGTGTAAGGATAGCATAAGTATCCCTGGTGTAAGGATAGGATTGATATCCCGGGTGTATGTATAGGATGAATATACCTGGCGTTAGGATAGGATTAATATCCCTGGTGTAAGGATAGGATGGATATACCTGGTGTAAGGATATAATGAATATCTTTGGTGCAAGGATAGGATTGATACCCTAATGCAAGGATAGGATGGATACCCCTGGTGCAAGGATAGGATAGATTCCCCTGGTGCAAGGATATGATGAATATCCCTAGTATAAAGATAGGATGGATATCCCTAGTGTAAAAATAGGATGGATATCCCTGTTGTAAAATAGGATGGATATCCCTGTTGTAAAATAGGATGGGTACCGATGGTGTTTGGTTAGTATGGATATCTCTATAGTAAAGATAGGATGAATATCCCTTGTATACGACTGGTTGGAGATATGTAGAATGACTAACCTATGCTCTGGTTTAAGGTTTGTGTGCCTCAATGTCCTGATCTGACTTTCTTCCCGTACGGAGAGAACCTACTGAGGAAGGATGATGACAGGATAAAAAAGATCATGGCTCCGTACTGCAATGTTAACTCTGTACAGGTGGGAACCATTTTTTATTAGATATCGCAGAAAATACACATTGAAAATAGTAATTATAAAATGTAAATTCCTTTGGAAGCAAATCTTATCTTCCTACGGCTAAAGTTATAGATATTGTAGAATTGGATTAAAAAATCAAGTTAACTGAACATGGCGTTCATATATTAGTTTAATGTACAAATATACTAGCTTGATAACTCAGCTTTGCCTGGATACTAACCTTTCTGTATTTAAGTTATTCCACACAATTGAAAATGTTTTAACCAAGATAAGAACGTTCCCGTGGTTCTACCGAATTCCCCAGCCAATATTTGAGGCAAAATGTTTCAGGGGTTCATGAGATTTTATCGAACACACAAACAAACAAGAGACAGTCAATCAATCAGAGATAACTTTATAAATAGAAACTCTTTTTTTAACGGTTAATATATTTCTTCATTTTCTGTGTACATAGATTAGATAATTAGGTATACATGAAATTGTATTTTGAAAAAATATATTTTTATGATTTAATTTTTTCGAAAATTTTTAGGAGTTGGAGGAACAAACAGTTTCTGAACTTATTGAGAAGAAAATTTGTCCTCCTTGGTAATTATGTCTTTATCATTAAACACTTTTAAATTTATAAAAATAACTACGGGTGTCCCAAAAAACATGGGAATTCAATGACGAATTCGATATCGTCTTTGTTATGAAAAATTTAAAGAATTTGAGTCGCGGCTCAAATATGGTTGGTTTCACTTAAAATTTTATTCAATGTTTCAAGAATTAAGCCGGCGCTCAATTGAAACCGGTTTTTGACAGATTTGAGACGCGGCTCAAATTCATTAAATTCCGACTCTGTTTGAATTATCCACTCTTCTGATCATAAAGAATAGCCTGTCCTAAGTAATAATTATAATTAGCTCTAACTGTATTTTAAAGATTTGAAAAGTCAATGAATGATGTTTAAATCTCTAGAACCACCTGTAAGTCATAGATGCATGCACATACACATATAATTCACTCTAATCATCCAAAGTTAGATAATAGTAAACTAGAACAACTGTTTGTTTAATTCTGGGAACAACTTCTGAAGATTTTAATCTTTTACTTCAAACTTTGTTGTTTATGGCGACTATCTTCTTTTCAGAGTTGTTAAAGATAAAATTTGGGTTCACTAACAGTAAAATCCCTATATCTTTACTACCTGATGGTGCCAAGCTTTTTGTATTTTAAACTATGGATTCTGTTAGATCAAATAGTCTTAGGTTTGAATTATTAAAGGTTTACACCATCAGGTTACAAAGATATTGGGATTAGAAAATTTGAGTTTGAGTTTCTTTATTAATTTTATCTTCGAATTTGTAAGTAAGAGTGCCATAAGCGATTCCTAACGGAGACCTGAGTCAATGTAGGATGATTGAAACCCTGGGGATCTTACACCTTTGGGCCTTTTTCATTCTTCTTTGGTTTGGAAATCCACGAGTTAATTGGACATTTACACCATTGATTATTCCACCAATGACACTTTTTAATGAATGACAGCGACGTATACAAGAACTCCCCTCCCTGTATATACGCCTCTGATGAATGACAGGGACGTATACAAGAACTCCCCTCCCTGTATACGCCTCTGATGGGTGGTAATTAGTTTGTTAACAGGATTTTCAATCTCTACTGAACAACGAGGATTTGCAACTAGATTTATGATTTCGGTCTCTTGATTTTTCCTGTCGGTCGTTTTAAGCTCTACATTTACAGGGAATAAGCATTGTACCACGGGCAGCCGTAGTACATTTGAATCACCGAGCTGGGTCAACCTTTCCGGTCCAGATTGTACTGTACCTAGCTCTATGGACAGGACTAGCCGGTGCAACAAGGTTGACGCGGTCAGACTTTATGCTTCATATAGGTTGAATTTGCTTTTACTAAAGTGGTACATGAATTTAAACTGACGTTACGCGCGCTGTACATTGTACAATGTATATTGCACAATATTGATTTACATGAATATTTAACAATTTACATTTACAGGTTCTTGAAGAGCTCTAGTGTCTTTGGACGCTGCTTTCCTGCTACCATTACCAACAATACTAGTACTCCAGAAGATAAGGTTTATTTTCATTAATTATATATTCATCTTAATATTCATTTTATCATAATATTCATTTTAACCAGCATATTCATTTTTTCATCATATATATCTCACATATCCACATTATATATTTGGTATGTCTGTTTGTATTAAAAACGTCAAACGGTTGGGTCCAATTTTTCAATAATTGTATAAAAAAGAGCAAATGTAAGGAACTGGGTAGCCTAAATAATGACATTTTTCTTTCAAAATTCCCTTTATTCAGTCGTGTTTAAATGTTATGATATTTACTGCTTGATATATTATACGATATATAACGGGTGCAGTATTGATTGAATAATCAGGGAATTCCTATTTATAAAACATTACGGTTTAGTGCTAATAATATTGATATTTCAGTACAGAGGGAAACCCGTTTCTTTCGTAATATAGTTTGTTCGATCCAACGAGGGGAGGAAGGCACGCCTCACTCGTATGTTATCCTCTCCGCATGCAAATGACTCATAAACATAGAATCCGTGTTTGTGAGTCATTTGCGGAAACGAAAAGATATGGGTGCGGCGTGCCTTCCCCCCCTCATCCAAACTTTAACTGTGCATTAGACGTTACTTTACTTGGATCAAATTAGTCAGACCTTTTTTATATAAAAAAAAATCAGCTCTCTTAAGATAATGATGAACATTGAACACCCTGCAAGTTAAATAAGTTTTTATTGAGATACGAATAAAAATCATTTATTGTTTACTCTGCATAACACCTAGTCTTTTTATAACATAAAGCACAGTGCATTAATACAGTAAGAACACCTAGTCTTTTTATAACATAAAGCATTGTGCATTAATACAGTAAGAACACCTAGTCTTTTTATAACATAAAGCACTGTGCATTAATACAGTAAGAACACCTAGTCTTTTTATAACATAAAGCATGTGCATTAATACAGTATACCTAGTCTTTTTATAACATAAAGCATGTGCATTAATACAGTAAGACCACCTAGTCTTTTTATAACATAAAGCACTGTGCAATAATACAGTAAGAACACCTAGTCTTTTTATAACATAAAGCACTGTGCATTAATACAGTAAGACCAAAGTAAGATTTCAGTAGTAGTTCAACTAGGCATACCTTCTTCACTTTATTGTTAAAACCCAGTGTTCAAAACCGGGTTTTTATGAACCGTTGATTCTAAAGTTTTCGACCCTGACCTCTTCCTTCTATTTAGTTCCCTGCTCCCAACTATATATTAAAAAATTAAACTATTTAGTTTAAAATGATAGATATTAGATATCTGGGTAATCACCCTTAAATCAATTAAATCCGATCTTGACTCAGCGAGTCGACCTAATTCAGTTTATCATGACAAAATATCTATGGTAATCATATTCTTAAAGATAATAAATATTTTTTTTTTATTTAAAAATCAAAAGTTTAAGAAATTTTTTCAAAAACAAATTTTTTAAAGTTAAAATATTAAAGATATTTCTTAATATTTAAGGAATTTCAAATTGAAGGCTAGAAATATTTGATAAAGAAAAGAATGATATCTAAACTTCAGAATGGAGAATAAAAGAATATTTAAATCTGATAAAATTCAATATCTACCTTTCTTTTTCAAGGAGTTGTTCGGCAGTTTTTTTGTAAATTTTTATTCTTTTGTTCCACAAATATAGTTTACAATATCCAGTGTTAAGTATGAAAGTGTTTAGTATCATAGTATCCATTGTCTTAGTACCTAGTGTAGTGTCTAGTATCCAGTGTCTAGTATCCAGTGTCTAGAATCCACTGTCTAGAATCCAGTGTCTGGTATCCAGTGTTTAGTATCCACTGTCTAGAATCCAGTGACTGGTATCCAGTGTCTAGTATCCACTGTCTAGAATCCAGTGTCTGGTATCTAGTGTCTAGCATCCAGTGTCTAGTATCCAATGTCTAGAATCCAGTGTCTGGTATCCAGTGTCTAGTATCCAGTGTCTAGTATCCTGTGTCTAGTACCCTGTGTCTAGAATCCATTGGCTTAGTTTCCACTGTCCAGTAGCCGAGGTTTTAGCAAACAGGGTCTAGCATCCAGTGTTTATTATCCAGTTTCTTTAATCCAGTGTCTCGCATCCAGGGTCTAGTATCCAGTGTCTGGTATCCAGTGTCTAGTATCCAGTGTCTGGTATCCAGTGTCTAGTATCCAGAGTCTGGTAACCAGTGACTAGTATCCAGTGTCTGGTATCCAGTGACTAGTATCCAGGGTATATTTTCCAGTGTGTATCCAGTGTCTAGTATCCAGTGTCTAGTATCCAGTGTCTGGTATCCAGTGTCTGGTATCCAGTGACTAGTATCCAGTGTCTGGTATCCAGTGACTAGTATCCAGGGTATATTTTCCAGTGTCTAGTATCCAGTGTCTGGTATCCAGTGTCTAGTATCCAGTGTCTAATATCCAGTGTCTGGTATCCCGTGTCTAGTATCCAGTGTCTAGTATCCAGTGTCTCAGTGTCTAGTATCCAGTGTCTAGTATCCAGTGTCTAGTATCCAGTTCCAGTGTCTAGTATCCAGTGTCTAGTATCCAGTGTCTAGTATCCAGTGTCTAATATCCAGTGTCCAGTGCAGAGTTGGGCATCGTAAACGTTCGTTTTTTTAGACTTTCAGGAGACTTCACAAAAATCTGAGATAGGAATTGAGTCTTTGTCACAAACTCTGATTTTCTGATCTCTATATCTTTCTAACCCAATGTCACAGATATTTTAAACTGTAAATTCTGCGAGATAAAAAAACTAAGTTTGATATATAAAAGGTTTACACCACCAGGTGGCAAAGATATAGGGATGCAAAGACTCAATTCCTTTTACTATATTTTAAAATTCTATTCACTAAAAGTTTGCTTAAGATTAAAAAATGCAAAATCTTGACTCTGACTGAAGATAGAAGCCTTAATGATTTATCGAATCGTTCGTGAGCGAACAGATTGGCAAAAATCCTAAAATATCTAAAAATATATAATAATGATGCCGAACTCTAGTCTAGTGTACAGCAGGGAGTAAGGAATAGAAGGGAGATATAACTGACGCGGTTCGCCCGACTATATAATTATACATGTTTTGCAGACGGGTACTTCATTTGTATATGAAATATTCAGAATAGGTTAAAATGTACACCAGACAAATATTTCTTATTTAAATGAAGTACCCGTCTGCAAAGCATGTATAATCATATGGTAGGGCGAACCGCGTCAGTTATATCTCCCTTCTATTCCTTACTCCCTGCGATACAGTCGTCTGATTTAATTACATATATTTTAATTATTTAGGTCATAGTTCCAGCATCTAAGAGTCCAACTAATGAAACTGTGAACTCGGTAAATATGATATTTTTATACGATCCTCAGGGAAGTGATGGTGGTGGTGGTATTATTTATTTACAAAATTATTAAAGTTAGGTTCAGAAAAGTTGGTAAGATATAAAATATTGATTATTAAAAGTTTAAATTATTTTCTCTAAATCCTTTGTGTTTTCTCGGGATAATACAGGTCTTACTTTGTAATTTAGTTTATGAGGAGAGAAGAGAAGATTTGATCCAGGTCTTATCTTAGACATCTGGTCACAACCCCTTCCTTCTCCTCTTAGATTAAACCCAGCCAACCCTCTTCAATCCTCTTGTACTCTCAACCTTCATTTATCAGCTGATAAATAGAATCTAAAACTATTAAAGAAAATTAGTTCTCCAAGAAGAAGATTTATTGTTTACAAAAATTTCTAAGCGACAAGAAAAAATAAAACTAAAAGCAAGTTTTTTCAGAATGGAATTTCTGAAAAATTTTCGCTCTAAATTAACAAATTTATTGTCATTTTTTTAAAACTTTTTTTTTTAAACAAACTTTTATTTGTTAAACAACAACAAAGACATCTGTGAGGTTTGGACATTAGCTCCGATGAATTCTTATGTTAAATGTTCTCTTTACTCAACACCTTTACAAAAAGATGTAATGAATGTTTACTGTAAAACAATAGAATAATTTCTAAGAAAAAATATCAAGGGCAGAGTTACCATTTTTATTTCTAAAACTCAATTTTCTGTTTAGAATACCCTGGACAAGGCGGTGTTAAGATTGACAGCATACCTCAATATCAGAGAAGTTGGAGAGAGGGTGTTCTCCGACCTTGCTGAAACCTGGTGGATGATTGGGTTATCCATGATTGGAGCTTGTATTCTCTCCTTCATCTGGATAGTTCTTATGAGGTTTCTAGCAGGTCAATTTATGGTTTTATTAGATAGGATAGTTCTTATGAGGTTTCTAGCAGGTCAATCCATGGTTTTGTTAGATAGGATAGTTCTTATGAGGTTTCTAGCAGGTCAATCCATGGTTTTATTAGATAGGATAGTTCTTATGAGGTTTCTAGCAGGTTAGATAGGATAGTTCTTATGAGGTTTCTAGCAGGTAAATACATGGTTTAAATAGAAAGGATAGTTCTTGTGAGGTTCCTAGCAGGTCAATTCATGGTTTTGTTAGATAGGATAGTTATTATGAGGTTTCTAGCAGGTCAATTCATGATTCTGTTAGATAGGATAGTTCTTATGAGGTTTCTAGCAGGTCAATTCATGGTTTTATTAGATAGGATAGTTCTTATGAGGTTCCTAGCAAGTCAATTCATGGTTTAAAAAGATAGGATAGTTCTTATAAGGTTCCTAGCAAGTCAATTCATTGTTTTATCAGATAGGATAGTTCTTATGAGGTTTCTAGAAGTTCTAGAAGGTCAATTCATGGTTTTGTTGGATAGGATAGTTCTTGTGAGGTTTAGAGCAGGTCAATCCATGGTTTTATTAGATAGGATAGTTCTTATGAGGTTTCTAGCAGGTCAATCCATGTTTTAATAGAAAGTATAGTTCTTATAAGGTTCCTAGCAGGTCAATTCATGGTTTTGTTAGATAGGATAGTTCTTATGAGGTTTCTAGCAGGTCAATCCATGGTTTTATTAGATAGGATAGTTCTTATGAGGTTTCTAGCAGGTCAATCCATGGTTTTATTAGATAGGATAGTTCTTATGAGGTTTCTAGCAGGTCAATCCATGGTTTTATTAGATGGGATTGTTCTTATGAGGTTTCTAGCAGGTCAAACCATGGTTTTATTAGATAGGATAGTTCTTATGAGGTTTATAGCAGGTCAATCCATGGTTTTATTAGATAGGATGGTTCTTATGAGGTTTCTAGCAGGTCAATCCATGTTTTAATAGAAAGGATAGTTCTTATAAGGTTCCTAGCAAGTCAATTCATGGTTTAAAAAATAGGATAGTTCTCATGATGTTTCTAGCAGGTCAATCCATTGTTTAAATAGATAGGATAGTTCTTATAAGGTTCCTAGCAAGTCAATTCATGGTTTAAATAGATAGGATAGTTCTTATGAGGTTTCTAGCTGGTCAATCCATGGTTATGTTAGATAGGGTAGTTCTTATGAGGTTTCTAGCAGGTCAATCCATGGTTATGTTAGATAGGGTAGTTCTTATGAGGGTCCTAGCAAGTCAATTCATGATTTAGTTAGATAGGATAGTTCTTGTGAGGTTTCTAGCAGGTCAGTCCATGGTTTAAATAGATAGGATAGTTCTTATTAGGTTTCTAGCAGGTCAATCCATGGTTTAAATATATAGGATAGTTCTTATGAGGTTTCTAGCAGGTCAATTCATGGTTTTATTAGATAGGATAGTTCTTATAAGGTTCCTAGCAGGTCAATTCATGGTTTTGTTAGATAGGATAGTTCTTATGAGGTTTCATAGCAGGTCAATTCATGGTTTTATTAGATAGGATAGTTCTTATGAGGTTTCTAGCAGGTCAGTCCATGGTTTAAATAGATAGGATAGTTCTTATTAGGTTTCTAGCAGGTCAATCCATGGTTTTGTTAGATAGGATAGTTCTTATGAGGTTTCTAACAGTTAAATTCATAATATAGTTAGATATGATAGTCCTTATGAAGTCACTAGCAGGTCAATCCTTAGTTAATTAGAAAGCCGGGTTCCTATAAGGTTCTAGCAGGATCTATGGTTTAGTTAGAAAGGATCGTTCTTATATAGGTTCTTATCTGTTCAATCAATAGTAAATCTCAAAGACTTTGCTAATTCAAGATAGCCGCATCAGAAAATCTACGTAAATTTGACGCATTTTCTGGGGTAATGAAATATAGTAACAAAGGTCGTCTTCTCCAGAAATGCTGACGTTTCATAATGTCGTCTTTTGTAATTGTAAGGAATTAAATAGTTATTTAAAAACAAACAAGGAAACAACTTTAGTTTTTCTATCTTGAAATATTTAATTGGTCCATAGTCCATAAAAGTGACTTACAGTGGAAAGACAATGAACATAATTTACAGATTTCATCACTTTTTAAGTTGAAATAACGACGATATCTTCTTCATTGTTACCCAGATAAATGTTTAAATGGTACCGTTGGATAGGACCTGTAATGGGTTGGTAACTTGAAATTACATCTATCAGTCCTTTAGAACATTTACTTTTGGTTTGAAGTATATCAAGTGTTAATAAGAAGAAATTAATGTCACGTATCTTGTATGCATGTAACCTTGTACTTTTCAACAGTAATCAATTATTTCATTACTTTTTCATTCAAGATTGAATTCTCTCTCTACCTGATTTAAATGAATTATTGAAAAATATAACTTCATAATATTTATTTAACAATGGAATAGTTTTTACAAAATCGGGATATTTCTCTGTAAGGAATTCCTATGATCCAATTAAAGAGCCGTCGTCCAAACTTTTTTCTTTTTTGGATCTGCTGGCATTGTAAACGCAGACTCTCCTATTCTTGGTTGGCTTGGCAGTTGGGTACCATAAATACTTTGCTTGGCAGTGGCACCGACGAATCTGAATTTATCAGAATTGTTCATTGAACTTGCATACATAATACTCCGAAATTTAAAGACGAAATTTAGACAATCTCCATGTTCACTGCTCAATTGCAGTGTTTTATGTTCATTGAACTATTTAATCAAAAATTGAGTCCAAAAGTCGTCTTTATATTTCCCAGTTTTGTTTTCATCAATGTATTTCTTTAATCAACCTTTTTAAAACCCTCCAATAATTCATCCCTCAAAACTATTGTAATCAACTTTAAAAGACTTCTAAGTAAAAGGTCGTCCATTAATTTGCATTTTTAACGAAACTTTCTGTGATATTTTTTCTTTAATGGTTGATATTTTGAAACAAAATTCCCATAAATTAATTGAAGAGTAAGATTAATACATTAATTTATGCGATATCATTTCTTTGCTTAAGATTAAACAGAAGACGACATTTACAAAAAATTTATTTACCGTTTATAATATTTGAAATTTCTGGTCCCCTATCTTCTTCATCGCCTAAAATTCCATTCCATAGAACCGCAGGAAAAATATTTGACGACATCTGAAAATTTTCACTAACAATTATTGGCTATTTTTAATACAAAAGAGATGCGTAACTTTATCACAAATTCAGCTATAATTCACCAGACGATTCTCATATCCAACAAATGATTAAATAAATTTTAAAATACAAATAAATATCGTTAATTTTAGTTATTTTTTAGAACAAAACATTTACAATTGTGTTAAATAACTAAGGTTTTAATGTCGATCGTTCGACTCTCAAACAACCAAAATGACCAATGACGTCAAAATACAGCTGTACTGGCGTACACATTAGTCGGAGAAATTTCCAACGCCTCGTCTTTATAATTAGCAAAGTCTTTGGTAAATCTAGTTCAGAAAGGGTAATCCATGGTCTAATGGAGTAGGATAGATCTTTTAAGTTTCTTAACAGGTAAATTTGTTTTTAGTTTTTATAAGGTTCTTAAGATTATCTTAAAAACATACTGAAGTCTCATATGAGTCTAGGATTTAAAGAATCCTAGTCGTTAAGGAAATAGATATATAAGATAGGATTTATATGTTCCTGGTAAGAAAGGCAGAGATTTATCTAAGCATTGATTATTTAATCCCTAGGTTTAATGGTTTGGTTGAGCATCTGCGTTATTTTCTTCGGAACTGGTGGTCTGCTGGGATACTGTGGATACAGGTTTATATAAGTTATATTTTTACAATACATTCATCTCTGTCATTCTTCCACTAATCTAAGGAGATGTGTATCGTGTCTTTTTAGTACTGTCGGTCGTTGTACAATGTACATAACACGATAAAGTTTTGAATTTGATTATTTCTCTTGTCGCTTGCGCAACTATCTAAAAATGCCGCGCACCACTCACATTCGGTATGAGACTTCTTTAACAGTTTTCTCCTTATAGACGCAACAGATAGAAGTAAGATTAGTAGCGATCAAAAGCGCTTTTTTATCGCATTAAGCCTATACCCCCTTTCATTTTTCGCGAACACTCTCTTAAACTTTTATTCTTCGGTCAGTAATGATTTTCTAATATTTCCGGGTCAAGGATTGGTTGAATTTCCAGGTATAGGATGGGTTTCAAATCTCTGTGTTATCTAGGTTGCACGAGGTTTGGGTTTCACCGGATCAGGAGACAATGAAGAATATACTTGAGGTAAGTGGAGAAGTGACAAGATTGTGTTAATTTTTATACTTTTTAAGAAATTTAATTATACATTTTTTAGTTAAGTGATTGAATTCCATATTGGTTCTTTTACCATCTTTTATTTTACATATTCAAAAACTGTTTTAAGTACACACAGTATATCTATCTATACTGTGTGCGAAATCTTAAATAATAATATTGATTGTCTTTATTTTGTTTTGATATGAACAACTCTGATTTGTGTTCTAGGTGAACATTACTCCTTACTATTTGGAAGATGTTCTGAAGCTTCGAGATACATGGTTAGCCTTCACCATCATCCTCGGTATCATTTTCCTTATCATCCTCTGCATCTTCATCTTCCTCAGACAGGTCAAATTCTCTCAAGTTTTCTATAAGCCTGTTTGTTTGTATATTTAAATGACTCCCCCCTCCCTAAAAAAAAATAGACAGAAGCTTTTCTTAGCTTAATCTTTGACGGCAGTTATTATTTTTTTTTAATAAAATTTTTCTATAAATAAAAACAATTAAATAATAGTTATTTTCGTCTCCTTACAACCTGGAATTCAAACTCCAATCTTCTATCTATAAATTTGGCTTGTCTGTTTGTTTTGGTGTCTGTCTGTCTGTTTGTATCCAATAAACGTCAAAACGGCTGAACCGATCGGGCCCAAATTTTTTGTGGGACATCACGTGACCACAGGAAAGGTTTATGAATGATACAAATTAAAAAAAAATGTGTTTTAAAAGTTTTTAATTTAAAAAAAAAAATTAAATTCTTGAAAATCCGCGAATTTTTTTTTTTAAATCCACAAAATTATTTTCTTCTTTGTTTTTAAATGTAAACAAAAAGAACATGTTCACAATTTAAATAGAAGATGGGCGCGAAGCGCCCTAAAAGCCTAGTATATTTAAGTTTTATGTTTCTGTTTTTATCTATTGTTCATCTGAAGTTGGAACACTTTTGTTTAAATATTTGATCTCGATCTAGAATGTGGGCACTTTTAAATTAAAGTTATCACTGCAGGGTATGACCACAATGGGCTATCGAATAGGAATTAAATTCTGACTTTCGATATCTTATTTTGATGTTTTTATGTTCCAATATTTTTACTTCTATTCCTTGTATTCTGTTCTGAATCTCCCTTTTTCCTGTTATTGTTCCTCTCTTCTCTTCTTTTTATACAATTGTACAATACATACCCTTGAACTAGGTTGAGAGGTTTAGTCTCCTCTGGTCCTGGTCAAATAGGATTATTGTACTGGGCAAACTTTCTTGTTTATTCAATAAATAAAACTGCCGGCCTGGAATCCAAACATTTACTTTTAATCTAATATTCTCAAATATAAAACTATTAAATTCAGACAATATTCTTCATGGATTTCTTACTTTCTCCTACAGGCATTGTTCACTTCTTAGAATCACAAAGATGTCATGCATTTGGAAATATCCAAATGATTACTAAACGGGCCCTTGAAATATATTTATGAAATTAAATAGGCTTAGCTGTGATTTTCAATTATATTTGTAGAGAATACTGATTGCTATAGCTCTGATAGAACAAGGTTCGAAAGCTGTTGGACAAATGTTCTCAAGTCTCTTCTTCCCCATCATTCCGTTCTTACTCCAGCTGGTTAGTTGCATACTTATACTAGATCATACCAATTAATTTAGATTTTATTCATGTATCTAGATTGTACCCATCTATCTAGACTGTATCCATACACCTAGACTGTATCCATATATCTAGATTGTATCTATGTATCAAGATTGTATCAATATATCTAGATTGTATTCATGTATCTAGGATGTATCTTTTTATCTAGGTTGTATCCATGTATCTAGATTGTATCCATGTATCTAGATTGTATCCATCTATCTAGACTGTATCCATACATCTAGACTGTATCCATATATCAAGATTGTATCTATGTATCAAGATTGTATCAATATATCTAGATTGTATTCATGTATCTAGGGTGTATCTTTTTATCTAGGTTGTATCCATGTATCTATATTGTATCCATGTATGTATCTAGATTGTACCCATCTATCTAGATTGTATCCATACATCTAGATTGTATCAAGGTATCTAGATTGTATTCATGTATCTAGATTGTACCCATATATCTAGATTGTATCCATATATCTAGATTGTATCGAAGTATCTAGATTGTATCCATGTATTTAGGTTGTATCTTTTTATCTAGGTTGTATCCATGTATCTAGATTGTATCCACGTATCTAGGTTGTATCCATGTATCTAGATTGTATCCATGTATCCAGATTGTATCCATGTATCTATATTGTATCCATGTATCTATATTGTACCCATGTATCTAGATTGTATCCATGTATCTAGATTGTATTCATGTATCTAGGATGTATCTTTTTATATAGGTTGTATCCATGTATCTAGATTGTATCCATGTATCTAGGATGTATCTTTTTATCTAGGTTGTATCCATGTATCTAGATTGTATCCATGTATCTAGATTGTATCCATGTATCTATATTGTATCCATGTATCTAGATTGTATCCATATATCTAGAATGTATCTATGTATCTAGATTGTATCTGGATGGTTCCTGATAGTTGCGATGTATCTGGCGTCCTCTGGAGAATCTGAGTATCGAGCTTCAATCCCGGTAAATTAAATTTAAATTCATTAGTTTCTGGATCAACTTGACGGACAGGTATTTTGTTCTAAAATTGGAAAAATTTCTCTTAAATCACAAAATTAAATTTTGAAACTAAAATAAAGAGCCAAAATAACCATTATTGAAATAAAAAATAGATGAATCGATAGAAGCTATATGAATATAATTAAAATCCATGGAAGACGTATAACATTTGTAAATTTTTACAAAATAGAATGGAACTGTTTGTGAAACCTCGCCTGGTTGCTCCCCATACAAATCCAATGATACCTGTACGGTAAGATATTTAGATCTTTAAAAAAACCTGAGAAAATTCACTCATTTCATGCATAGATGATACCGGTACCATATCCTGAAGCATTCTTTCAGGGATTAGCGGGTTTGAAAACAAAACAAAAAACATTAAGATAAATGAAGAGTAAAAACTCACTTTTATTACGATCTATATATAGAATTAGATCTGGATAGTAGAATCTGAACCTGGTGTTATTCATTAGGTTGAAGAGTTCAGTTCCTGTATGGAGGAGTGTGCCGGAGCAACCTGTAACTTCTCCAGGTACATCAAGAACAAGGATTTCTCCTGGCTCCAGGTTGTCAACGTGTTCGGACTCTACTGGGGGATTTTCTTCTTCTCAGCATACGGAGAAATGGTTCTAGCCGGAGTATTCTCTCAGGTATCATATACAAATTATTTTAATTAAAAAATTACAAAATTTATCCTCTCCTCCCCTCCCTTCCACTGTCTGTAAGAACATTTTTACGAAAAAAATCAAATCAAAAATTTACAATAGTAAAATTTAAAACGCGCTAAAGTTTTCTCTTATTTCCAAACTGAGTATTATTATCTACGAATCTGGTTCCTCCTGCGCTGTCTAATAACATGGACAAAACAACCTGATTCACGTTTGTGTTATATGTACAAATTGAGTATTATTATCTACGAATCTGGTTCCTCCTGCGCTGTCTAATAACATGGACAAAAACAACCTGATTCACGTTTGTGTTATATGTACAAATTGAGTATTATTATCTACGAATCTGGTTCCTCCTGCGCTGTCTAATAACATGGACAAAACAACCTGATTCACGTTTGTGTTATATGTACAGGGTTACCCGTAAAGGAATGAACTTTAATAAGACCAGAAACTCTTAAGATATGACGATCTGAAGATTAAATTTGATCCTCGGCCTTTAATATTATTTTTAATGCTAGGCTAAATGATTTGGTCATAAAAAAATCAAAGTAACAAATGCATAAAAAAATTAAATAAATTCCCTTTAGTCTTCTCTCTGAAGTTGCATCTGTCGTGGCTAACCCTGTATATCTTTTTTGACCTCTTCCAAAACCAACAGATTTTTTTGCTCCTATTTGTCTAATCAAAAACTTTCTGGTGACACAGATAATTAACAATCAGGAATCAGGGAGATATGAGATAGAGTTTACATATTTATTTTATTCTCTAGTTTTTAAGGTTTATTTTTCATATATCTCACATATTTCAGATCAAAAACATTAATTAATATACGCTCCCGTTTTTTACGCATCATTACATATCTTTTTTACTTCTTTTGACGTCATCTTAAAAATTGCATTAATTTATATATTCATTTTATTCAATAACTTATTCAAACTTCAGTAAACTTTGAAAAACTTAAGGGGATGTTTATATATTAATAAATGTGACTTCTTGTTATGTACATTGTACATTGAACACATAATAACATGACAGGTATAGAAAAATATAAGATAAAACAGTATACAAAAAAGGTCCTGCTATTTTCTATGTGGAATAAGAATGCACTGATTCAGATGTAAATAAATGCATTCTGTTTTAAAAAGTTTAAATTAGATTGTTTCAAACATCAAGCTTGGTTTCATCTTCCCCCCCCAGGATACTCTTAGTTTCTGCTCATAGTTCTCAATTTCATCACTCTTGTCAAAACCTTAGAGATGGTCCTTATTATTATTATTATTATCATTATTGTCATTATCATTATTATCATTATTATCAATATCATCATTATCATCATTATCATCATTATCATTATTATCATTATCATTATCATTATCATTATCATTATCATTATCATTATTTGTATTTGTATTAGTTATGAAATTTTTAAAAATAGGGGAGTAGTATTTGGACTAATGTGTACTTAAACCAAGAAAAATAGTTCAAATGGCCAGATATTTTTTTAACAGCCTTCTAAACATGTTAAAGAGGATAAAATTTGTATTTAGTCTTGAAATTGTATTGATTAACAATAATTCTATTGTTAATATTGTCTTTTCTCTGCCTATATTTATAAATAGGTACCAGTACCACACAGTTCAAATACCTTAACAATTTTTGTAATTTGCTTCAAATACATTCGTTTGTGACTTAAATGTCCAAGATTAATGCAAATAATTATTTTTATCTTGCTCTTATTCAGAAAATCTATTTTCTTCAATTTATTTCTATTTTATGCATCAGAAAGAGAAAAAAAGACATTTCATAAATCTTAAAATAAATAAGATACGGCTAAAGCCCAACTTTTTAGCTTCCAGTATTTACAGGGTGTCCCAATAAACATGGGAATTAAGAGACTATTTGAAAGTCGTCTTTGATGTATAATATTTAATACATGGCAAAGAAAGTATGAAAACGAGGCTGTACGTCTGACGAGCTTTTTATAAAATGGATTACCTTTCTAGTATCTTAAAAATTGACCAAAATATTAGATATTAAGACAACTTTGATTTGTTAAATAAATTGAAATTTGTCCAAATTATTCAATATCTTCGTCAACGGTAGACCACATTTTGAAAATCTCAAGACCAGGCGTTTTCGATATTGGATGTTTAAACTGTAATACTGGAATAATTGTGTTTATGAAAAAATGCCACAAGGATCGAAGACGATATAAAAGGCGTCACTGAATTCCCATGTTTATTGGGACACCCTGTATAAAGAATAATATTAAATTTTAATATGCCGGATGTCTCTAAAATAAAACACAACCAATTTCCGATCTAGTTGACCTCTATCTAATCAAATGAAAATGATAATAATCAAAATAAAATTATTTAAGTGGTACTGGACAAAGAAGAAGCAGGATGTAGAAGCCTTCCTCCTCCCTAAGAGTATGTGGAATGCATTGTACCATGTGGGAACAATTGCCTTTGGTTCCCTTCTCCTTGCAATCATTAGGTTTGTTTCAGATTCAATATTCTATATATCTTCTCCGCCAATACATCTATTCCTCTTCTCCGCCAATACATCTATTCCTCTTCTCCGCCAATATTCTATTCATCTTCTCCGCTAATATTCTATTAATCTTCTCTGTCAATATTATATTCATCTTCTTCCACCAATACATATAATCTTCTTTGCCAGAAGAGAACGGACCTCTCTCATAGTGGTCCTGGCTTTACAGTTTGGGGGAGCGCTGCGTTTAGTTTCACACATGTCTTATCTACATGGGAGTGGCGAATGTAATATAGAATAAAACAAGACTCCATCTTTAGTCTTAATTAAAATAAATTATTAAAGTTAAAAATTAATCTTCTCCGCCAATATTCTATTAATCTTCTCTGCTAATATTCTATTCATCTTTTCCACCAATAGTCTATTCATCTTCTTCCACCAATACATTTATTCAACTTCTCCGTTATAATTCTAAATACCTTCTCCGCTGATATTTTATAAATCTTCTCCGCCTATATTTCAATAATCTTTTCCGCCAATATATTATTCATCTTCTCCACCAATATATCATTAATCTTCTCCGTCAATATTTTTTGAATCTTCTCCTCCAATATTGTATTAATCTTCTCTGCTAATACATTTATTCATCTTCTCCGCCATAATTCTAAATACCTTCTCCGCCAATATTTTATTAATCTTCTCCGCCAATATTTTATTAATCTTCTCCGCCAATATTTTATTAATCTTCTCCGCCAATATTTTATTAATCTTCTCCGCCAATATTTCATTGATCTTCTCCGCAAATATTATTTTAATCTTCTCCGCCAATATTTCATTAATCTTCTCCGCCAATATTTCATTGATCTTCTCCGCCAATATTTTTTAAATGTTCTCCCCCAATATTTAATTAATTTTCTCCGCCAATATTTTAAAAATCTACTCCCCCTATAGTGTATAAATCTTTTCCGCTAATACATTTATTCATCTTCTCCGCCATAATTCTAAATACTTTCTCCGCCAATATTTAATTAATCTTCTCCGCCAATATTTTAAAAATATTCCTCGCGAAAATCTATCCCGTTTCTAGAATAATTCTAGAATAATCCAATATTTCCATATTCTAGATTGATCCGAACTATCCTGGAGTACGTGGAGAAGAAGTGTAAATACTTCAACAATGATTTCACTAAGTAATATTTTACGATCGCTTTTATACTTAATATGTGCGGTAATCAATGATGCAACAAATTTTATTAAAAATAAAACCGTTTAAAACTGAACGATGACTAATCACGTGAAGTAGACATTTTTACGCACTCATCTAATCCTAACTTTGAATATTTAAACGAAAAAAATAACTCTTATTTTTTTAATCAGCTAAATTATGTGTCTATATATACTTTCACATAGGTTAATATTTCAGGTGTTTGATGTGTATGTGTAAATGTTGCTTGTGGTGTCTAGAAAAGTTCATGAGGTTCCTTAACAGGAATATCTACATCATGTGCGCCATGAAGGTTTTTATTTCTAATTTTAATAGTTTGGGATTTCTATATTACTAGACTTTCAGGAGGCTCCGCGCTCATCTTCTATTTCAACTTTTAACTGTGGTTCTATCTGAGGGTATTTTCTCTTCGTACAATATGAAACAAGAACAAACAATTTTGAGGATTTATATTTTTTTTCGTAAATTTTCTTAATTTTACGAAATTTTTGAAAACATTTGTGTAATTTTGATCACCTCTTCCTGGGGTCACATGAGTTGCATCAACCGGTTCAGCTGTTTTGCGTTTACGGATACAGATAAACACACAGACAGACAAGCAAAGTATATACATATATAAATACTTCTTATTTTCAGGAGAATCATAAATAATACAATGCATACAAAGAGAAATAATTATTTGAGAATTAATTTATCTTCTGCAACATAAACTTTCATAAATAAGATTTGCGAGTAAAAAAATGAAGAATTGGTTGCGAAAATATTGAATTTTGGAAAACCTGGAAAGATCTGATTGATCATATTTTAGATAGTTTAAATGCCGTTTGTTTTAAAGCTGAGAACAGTTGTTAAAAAAATCTATTGAATATACAACCTCACATCTCACACACAAATCTACCTTTATTTAACTTTATTCATAATTGTATATATTCAGGTTAACTTATTTCATCCTAGAAAACAGCCCATTTACCAAGAAAAATAAAATTGAATCCTTGTACATACATTTTAAAACAGACCTTCAAAATTAGATTTAAGTAAAAACAAAAATTAGAAAAATGAGTATTATGCCTTTTTAACTATTCTGGAGTTAGTTTGTTTAATTATTATAATAAAATATTATTTCTTAAGTTAAATTTCTTAGATTTCAGATTTGATATTTTAAACATTTTAAAATGTTTTTATTTTCAATAATAACAGTCTTGTGGATCATTTTTAAAGGTGGTCTTTTTTCAATTCCGAAGATATTCATAATTCCAATTATTATTATCTTTACTCTTCGTTCCGACCCGTTATACCAAATACATAACTAGATAATATATTTAGAGTACAAACTTCTGTAAATCCGGGAAGGACGCATTTGATCTGATCATGAGAAACCTTGTAAGAGTTGTAGTCCTGGACAGGTTCGTATTTTGAATCGAATTTTATTGTTTTAAAACTAATTTTCTGTTTCCTCAGCCTAGGTTTCCGAATTCAAACCTCAGAAAGCCCCAAGCAAATGTTATCCATATTTTACATTTGTTAAAAAAAATATTGAAAAGTAAATGTTTTGCAAATAACGACAATTTTGCTTAATTTTTAACAACAAATTGTTAGGTTTAATATTCCTGTTTCAGTGTTTGTGATTTCCTGTTATTCCTGGGAAAGATGGTGATTGTTCTTGCAAGTGGAGTTCTATCCTATCTTACCTTTGGGAGATACTTCCCAGAGATTCAGGTACACCAAACCCAACCCTTCTAGGTATCCTTGGATAGTGGTTATATCACACCCAACCCTTCTAGGTATCCTTGGATACTGGTTACATTACACCCAACCCTTCTAGGTATCCTTGGATACTGGTTATATCACACCCAACCCTTCTAGATACCCTTGGTTACTGGTTATATCACACCCAACCCTTCTAGGTATCCTTGGATACTGGTTTCCTCACACCGAACCCTTCTAGGTATCCTTGGATACTGGTTATATCACACCCAACCCTTCTAGGTATCCTTGGATACTGGTTTCATCACACTCAATCCTTCTAGGTATCCTTTAATACTGGTTTCATCACACTCAACCCTTCTAGATACCCTTGGTTACTGGTTATATCACACCCAACCCTTCTAGGAATCCTTGGATACTGGTTACATTACACCCAACCCTTCTAGGTATCCTTGGATACTGGTTATATCTCACATCCCCCCTTATAGGTATCCTTGGATACTGGTTTCATCACACTCAATCCTTCTAGGTATCCTTTAATACTGGTTTCATCACACTCAACCCTTCTAGATACCCTTGGATACTGGTTACATTACACCCAACCCTTTTAGGAATCCTTGGATACTGGTTACATTACACCCAACCCTTCTAGGTATCCTTTGATACTGGTTTCATCACACCCAACCCTTCTAGGTATCCTTGGATACTGGTTTCATCACACCCAATTCTTCTAGGTATCCTTGGATACTGGTTTCATCACACCCAACCATTCTAGGTATCCTTGGATACTGGTTACATCACACCGAACTCTTCTAGGTATCCTTGGATACTGGTTTCATCTCACCCAACCCTTTTAGGTATCCTTGGATACTGGTTACATTACACCCAACCCTTCTAGGTATCCTTGGATAGTGGTTTCATCACACCCAACCCTTCTAGGTATCCTTGGATACTGGTTTCATCTCACCCAACCCTTTCAGGTATCCTTGGATACTGGTTACATTACACCCAACCCTTCTAGGTATCCTTGGATACTGGTTACATTACACCCAACCCTTCTAGGTATCCTTGGATAGTGGTTTCATCACACCCAACCCTTCTAAATATCCTTGGATTATACTGGTTTCCTCACACCGAACTCTTCTAGGTATTCTTGTATACTGGTTTCCTCACACCGAACTCTTCTAGGTATCCTTGGATACTGGTTTCATCTCACCCAACCCTTCTAGAAATCCTTGGATACTGGTTTCCTCACACCGAACCCTTCTACGGCTTCTTTCCTTGTTATCCCAGCATCCTTGGATACTGGTTTCCTCACACCGAACCCTTCTACGGCTTCTTTCCTTGTTATCCCAGCCTAAAATCCTAGATATCTGACCAGATGTCAAAATAAATCTTTTCTAGGATAAAATCCCGAACCTTCACTACTTCTTCACACCGATAGTTTTTATTGTAGTTGGAAGCTATCTTATCGCCAGGTTAGCTTTCCGTTACAAACTTTCCTGAACTTTTTCAGATATTTACATAATTTTATACATTTTACAACTTTAAATGTAACAAATGTTGATTAGTTTTTATTCTGAAAACTCAAATTTTTCCTTTGTTTTAAAAATGCTTCCCAGATTAAAATAATTATAAGATAATATGTCACGACATACACAAAAATATGCATTTAAAACGTTATTATTAAATTTAAACTGAATCCAATTTCTGGGGTTAATCAATTTTGAAAATAGAATCAATCAGATCATTTTCATTACCTCAAAAAATTTTTAGTGCTTTTTTTGGTGTTTACTCCATGGCTGTAGATACCCTTTTCCTGTGCTTCCTAGAGGACCTAGAAAGAAACGACGGATCCCTGGAGAAACCCTACTTTATGTCAAAGTAAGTTTTCAATTATTAAAAAAATATGATTCAGCACGACATTGATAAATGTCTTGGATAACTAACATTGATCTTTAATACGTGAAACTTGAAGAATAATATTCAATCCAATTATTTTTTCACAAGATATAACATTTTTTTTCTTTCTCCCCCTCCCCTTATCTGTTCTATTCAAAAATGATTATTGAAATATCTGGTCCCGGCTCTTCAGAAAATATGAATATCAGAAGAATAAGATTTTATCTGAAAATTGTATCCGGATTTATTTCGAAATTTTCCCCTGAAACTGGAAAGTTTGGTCCTGATACAATATTTTACTAAAGATAGATATTTTATATTGTAATTATTTCCCTAAAAAAAATGTATTTCAGGAGCTTAAAGAATATATTGGGGAAAATGGAGAAAACTGCCGCGGAGAGAAATATCAGAATGGTTTCAACAAAACCTTGACACCCGCCCCCTCTGCCTCATCTTCATCCTCCTCCTCCTTATAATCCTTCCGCTCCTCCCTTTCATTCAATAGCTCATCCTTATCCTTCCTACTCATCCTCCTCGACAACATATCATTCATTCCGTCCTGAAGTTACATATCGACCCTCCTCAGTATATACACAAACTGGACGCTCTAATCTTCCAACACCAGTACCACGTTCTATTAGAGTACCAGGGAGGAATCTATCCTCCACCAGGAGTCAACCTAGATCTAGGATACCAACACAGGTTCAAGCTCCAGGTACTACCAGTGCCCGGAGAAGCGTAACCCAACCTCGTATCTCCCCCTGGGATGAGGACGGAGTAGCTGTTTATCCCTGGTCAAGATATGATGAACGGTTTCCTGATGTTTGGTGAGCCCTGATACAACACACGATTTGAAAACAATATTGAACATATTAAACATTGCTTTTTTAGTTCTAGAGTAAGGTTTTACATCTTGCAATACAAGAATTGAAGAAACCCAGTTTTCCCACTAAAAACATTGATTCTTTGAAGGAAATTGATTCTTTGGCACAAACTTAATTTTTTTAAGGTTTACAACATTGGGTTTTGCGAAGATCGAACATATTGAATTGAAACACAAACTCTTTATTTATCTAAAATTTGATCTGATTTGATATTTTTATAAATTTTTCCTATTCCTTCTTAATTATTTTTTTCTATCGCAACAAAATCTTTAAATCCATGAAAAACCCGCCAAATATCAATTCAACTGCTTTCAAAAAAGTTTGCCCTTGTTAAGTTATTTTAAAAAAGGTTTAGAATTTGTTTTTTTTCCAAATGTTCCTTATGTAAGAACAATTTTAAATACCTGTCCTAAAGAGAAAAAGAGGGTCTTCCTAATTAGTCCATTTGTATACTTTAGTCTTCCTTATTAGTCTAAATGTCTGGGTTAAACTCTTCCTAATTATATTCTCGATGTTTAGTCTAGTTTAGTCTAGTCTTATTATTAGTCCTAAATCTAGTCTTCCACCTTTTTAAGTCTGAACAACTTTCCACACTTCAATAGAATTAACTAATCACTGATCACAGACTTACGCACTTATCCTCTTTATGTAATTAAATCTTCTTATCTTCTAATTTCACCTCATGTACACTGTACCCATTATTTACCAATTAAACCTTCTATCCTTAACTTATAGTTTTTGATTAAAACTACTGTGCCTTTACTTAGATGTGATATTATATGTATTCAAAACAATTATAGCCAAAAAAATGAATAAAATTTGTGATATTTGAATTTGCGATTTTATTTTTCAAGTAGGAACAGTGAAAACGAGAGAAAAATAGATAAAATGATTAAAAATTAAAAAAATATATTTAAATTGCTCTGCGGAGAAAAGGCTAAGGGTTAAATGACGAGTGGATATAAATGAACTGGTAGAGTTTGATGGCATTTTGCTGCAGAAGACCACGCATAGAATATTTGGAGTTAATAGTTAATTAACTAAATTTTTACCCCTCAAAATAGATAATTTTTGATTAAGTAAAATAAAAACAGAGATCACCCTTTATATATTATTATTATATTATAAAGATTTATTTACACACAAAGATATAAATACCTATTTAAACGGTGTAGTTTAAATTTGTATTAAATAAATTTTTGAATATATAGTTTAACAAAAGAAAAAGAAAAATATGCAAAATTATGCACAAATAGGCGACATTGATCATTACTCATTTAATAACATATTTATCATTTCAGTTATTACGTAATCATCGAATCCTTCGACATATAAATTATTCGTTCTTGTATTTAAAAGTTCTTGTAAAACTGGAACTTTCCATGCATGGTCTAATGGAACATCAAAATATTTCATTTCATATTTCTTAAAGAATATTCAATATTTTAATATTTCAATAAGAAGCCATAGAATGTCGTCTTTTCTACAATTTAAAAAGATTTTTGAACGTTGTAAGCATTTCCATCACCAAAAGCTTACGTTTTTTTACGTAATTTTCTGTTAGAAATGCATAACTATATTATCTTTTTAGATAAACTTTATCTTAAAACAGATTGCAATGTAATTGGTTAAAAAAATTTGGCTACTTAAAACCAAGTTTTTTTTGGGCCTTGCTCAAGTTACTGGCCTAAAATTCTGCTTAAGACTGTTACAAAACTATACTTGATGACATCTAACAAATTTTGTTTTAAAATATGTGGTATTTTTCATACAAATGAGATGCGTAACAAAATCACAATTTTAGCTTAATTTTAGCAGGAGAGCATCCTATCCTATAACTGATAAAAACAAATTTAGAAGTTTATAACCGTGTCGTTATTTTCCCACCTACAATAACTTATTTATTAGATAACTAGAGTTCTAATGTTGATTGTTGTTGAATGTTGAATTCAAAACCAATACTGCAGCCAATGACGTCATATAAAAGTGTACAGAGCGTACATACTATCCTAAACTATAAATCCTAATGCCCTATGTTCTTCTATTCTACAGTCTTTGGGGGTACTTTTAGAAGTCTCAGTCCTGTAATTTTTAAGTTGACTATAGTTATACATGATTATTTTTCAGATCAGTTGATGTTAATCAGATCTTTGTTGTAATGTAAGGAGTGTTCTTCCCAAAGTAAATCAGCTTCGTTCGTCACAGCAAGACAATTTTCAGACTGGTCGCAAACTTTTTTCACCAGTGTCTGTTTTAGACCTTTTAAGAAAAATGAAAAAAGAGATTGAGTATTGAATGTATGAAGGACTTAAAAAGATTTATATTGAAGGTATTAACAGATTTATAAAACCAAAAGTTTTGACCAGAAAAAAAACTTAGGAGAATAAATAAAATTGTTTCACGATGAATAAACAAATGGCAATGAGAAGCGGGCGGAATACATTGATTTTGATTGGCAGATAGAAATGTGCATCCTTTTTTTTAACGAACGAAATTTTACTTGAAAAACGGTGTCGTTTTTAAAACGAACGTTTAAAATAGTGAACGATTTTAAACGATTTTTCGAACAAACTTTTTGAAAAATTATAGTTCTTCACTGAAAAAACGATTTTTTTGAACAGACTTTTCAAAAAGACGTTAGTTCTTTACCGAACAAAAGATTTTTTCGAAAATTTTTTGCTAAAAACTATCTTTTCTTACTAAACGAACGATTCTACTGAACGAACAATTTTACTGAACAATCTTTTAGTGAGAAAACGAACTAAATAGATGTAAAATAAACGAATATTTTAAGAACTAACGAAATAATTTTTTCTCAACGATTGAAAAAAAAGAACGAAATGGGTCTTTCACGAACGATGAACAAACGAAATGAAAAAAGTCGAAAGTACCAATATCTGGGCTGAGGTGTGAAAGGTGAATGGGTAAAGAAAATTATTTAAAGATTGAATGAATGAATAAAAATATAATGGTAGATAAATGGATAAATATTTTTGTCCAAAAAGAAACTTTGAAAAACAGATCCAAAAATAAAGATAACTAAGAAAAATAGTCTGAAAAGTATAAACATAGGAAAACGTGCTAAACACTGGAACAAAACAGATAAAAAATATTCAGCTAAATAGAATTGATTTAATGTTAAGTGTACTGCAGTAAGTACTATAGACAGAAAACCTATTCGACCTTGAACCTAGAACAATAAAAGGCAGAGTAATGATAATGAAACTGAGGACGGTTCAGGGAATATCAAGATTGACCGTGAGCCTAGGAAAGTTTTATCAATACTCTGGTAGTCCTGGAGCTAGGCCTGCTCTTCTACCCTAAAGGTATTCGAACCTTCACACTGCTCAGACTGGAGCTTACAAACCCCAAACAAGTAAGATTTTTTAAGGTTTCTGAACAATTACTTTTTAAATGTTTTGAATTCAACATTAACATCGAAGAGTGCGCAATTGCACTGAATACAACCTATTGTAAAGACTATGAAAGAAAAACACCAGTATTTGCTTATTCAACCATCTATCCAGCTTCTGTAAGCTCAAAATTCAAATTCTGCAAACTTGTTGCAACAGAAAACAATTATCTGCTAATTGTTAAACTGCAATGCATGTTTAACTTTAAACAATTTGCACAAGAATTAATGATAAATCTTACCAACAAACTATAATGGAAATTAATTAGATTATTAGATTGAATATATACAGAGATAGAAATTTGTATCATAAGAGAACGTAAAAAGAACATCAACAAAAAACGTTTGTTTTTTATTCGTTTTTGCACATATCTTCTCTCAGGGTTAAAATTTAATAAATTTAATAAAGTTTAATAAATTTAGAATACATAATTTAGAAGTATGCGAAAATTCTCAAAGGAATTGAGTACTTTTGCCCCAAATCAGATTTTACTATCCCTATATCTTTTCAACCCAATGACATTTCAAACTATGAATTCTGTTAGATAAAACTATCTAAGTTTAAAGTTTAAACCATCCCGATGCAGAGATATAGAAATTAGACAATTTACGTTTGTGGCAAAAACTTAAGTTCCTTTGTCTAGAAACAGTACTAAAACATTATGCTAGTATCCAAGCTTAACGTTATAGCATTAAAAATTAAGATATTAAGGTTGAATATGTAAATGATTCTTAACTTTGCAACCCAATTTCGTAGACCTTAGATATTAAAACTTTGAACTCTGTTAGATCAAATAATCTAAAATAGAAATATCTAAAGTTTACACCATCAGGTTCCAAAGATATAGGGAGTAAAAAATGTTAAACTGTGGCAAAGACTTAATTCCTTTTATCAATGAAACGAAGATTTTTGTAGTTTCTAAATCAGATTTTCTACTAGGGCAGGATGTACTCCAGCCGGGGTTCTAAGGATTGTCAGGAGAGGAATTCTATTCTCTGTCTGGAGAACTCTGTAGTTCAACCTCTACTCACTGATCTATATCAGATCACAATGGCGTATGCGTACTGGAAGTCAGGTATACTTAACGAGACTAGACACGGTAAACTAGAGGTCTGGAAGTCAGGTATACTTAACGAGACTAGACACGGTAAACTAGAGGTCTGGAAGTCAGGTATACTTAACGAGACTAGACACGGTAAACTAGAGGTCTGGAAGTCAGGTATACTTAACGAGACTAGACACGGTAAACTAGAGGTCTTGGTAAAAAGTCTAGTAAGTCTTAACTTTAGAAACAATTTTCACCAATTATATGTAGATTTTTTGTAATTATTATTTATACTTTTTTGCGCTTTGCATTTAAGATATTTAAGTAAATAAGGCATTTTACGTTATTTTTACTGATACAGCGTTGTAGTCTCTAGGTTTGATGGATGAATCAGTAAGAGAAACAAATTTATTTGGTTACATACATCCTATAAATTAAAAACAATTTTTTTTTCTCAATGATTCTTCAACAAGCATAATTATGATTGAAATCATAAAGAATTTGAATATAACGTTAAAAGTACTGCAAGGCTTAGCCCCAAACTCTGAATTTATAATCTTTGCAACCCAATGTCGTAGACTTTAGAGATGTCCAACTCCGAACTCTGTTAGATTAAATAATCTAAGTTTGAAATATCAAAGGTTTAAACCATCATACTGCAAAGATATAGGGATTAGAAAATTTGTGTTTGTGGCTAAGACTCAATTCCCTTACTGTAATTTCTCGGGAATGACATATAAATAAGACCAAATATTCAAAATGCTACTTATGTTATTTTTATTTGTACTTTTCTACTATCTGTTATTTTATCTTTCTATCTTTCTATTTTTCTAATATTTTTATGTGATGCACGATTGGATTGGTTTACTCCTCAATAAATTGGAAATCGATCTTTGCACAAATTTTTTCTTTCAAATTGTTGTTCATGAGATATTTCATTAGAGTTTAAATTAATCCTGTGTTTGCTGTTGCAGGGAAGATAAATGATGTGGCAACCTTTGATCTGTTTTTTAGGAAGAATCCCTTTAAGGTATAGCTTTTAATGTGACGGGGGGGGGGGATAACTTGTTTTTTTGATGAAGTTTTTTAATCGAAAAACTTTCTGTGTTTGTTAGGAAGAAACACTGTTAGAATTTAAAGAATAAACATTTGCGCTTTTTTATTTTTTGAAGGATTACAAGAACATCAATCTAGGTTAATATAAAGTTTTATGATTGTTTTATTCAATTAACTCTGTTTATTGTTTTGTTATTTTGTAACGATTCTTGTTCTTCCCTAGGGTCCAGTCCAATGTTTTTAGTATTCATTTACGCGCCAGGAACGACCTTTATCCTCTATCAGTACAGTTGCAGAATATTGAGAATACGTTAAATATAATCATTTTAAAGGGACTGTCTACGTATTGTTATGTGTCCTTTAAACCTTTTCTGAAAACAATAATCGAGGCATCTTCGTTTTATGCATCCCTAAATATTATTAAAAGCAGGTCTTACAATTTAATATTAAAATGGGAGTTTACAACATTCTGTGGATTGTCTGATTGTTTTTTTTTATATTAAAGGGAGACTTTACGATATTTTGTGGATTGTCTGATTGTTTTTTTTATATTAAAGGGAGACTTTACGATATTCTGTGGATTGTCTGATTGTTTTTTTATATTAAAGGGAGACTTTACGATATTTTGTGGATTGTCTGATTGTTTTTTTATATTAAAGGGAGACTTTACGATATTCTGTGGATTGTCTGATTGTTTTTTTATATTAAAGGGCGAGTTTACGATATTCTGTGGATTATCTGATTGTTTGGCTCTCCTGGAGAATTTCCACTACTCGGAGTCAGACATATCTTATATAAGAACCGTTCTGCCTCCGACAGTGGAGGAGGAGTTCTTTATATTCCTCAAGCAGCTCAACCCGTCGGAGGTTCAAGTTTATGCTCTGCCAGAAGGTAAAAATAGTTTTCCAGATTATATTTAATCTACAGGCCCACTGTGATCTTGCCAGGCTACATTTGTTGCATAACACCTGCTGGGTCGCCTGTACACTGGGTAGTCTAGACTGGACAGCATATACAGTACATGTTATACCGGCTTGGATCATACAAATTTTAGAGTGCATGGTGTGCAGTGTTTCCCGCTAAGAATGATAATGGATGACGATCTCTGAATATACATTTAGTTTAAAAATTAAGCAGGCATTTATTTCCTAAAACATTTTCTCTTCTTATGACACACTGTTTAGAAGTTGTATTTTTGTTTGCGTTATAGAGACTGTAAGCGTAATTTTAATTGTCAAGTATGACACACTGTTTAGAAGTTGTATTTTTTTTTGTGCGTTATAGAGACTGTATGCGTAATTTTAATTGTCAAGTATGACACACTGTATAGAAGTTGTATTTTTTGTGCGTTATAGAGACTGTAAGCGTAATTTTAATTGTCAAGTATGACACACTGTTTAGAAGTTGTATTTTTTTTTTGCGTTATAGAGACTGTATGCGTAATTTTAATGCAAAGATAGCAATGCCTGATTTACAACTGTACTCTTGCAACATTAATCTGATCCAAAATACTTGGAAAATACTTTCGTTTTCCTGCTTTACGTTTGCAGAGAAACCTCAAATAAAAATAAACAGTTTAATGAAACAAAAACATGGATATCTTATTCAGACTTGATCAAACAAACCTTTTAAGGGTGCCGTTATAACTTAGGCGTTGTAACATCTTTGTATGAAGGGTCGCTTGAAAATACGCTTACAGTCCCTTTAAACAAGAAATGTTTACTCCAGGAATATTTAAATGTGTTTATGTACTATCTGCAATACACTGTTATGCAAAAAAAAGTGTTTATTTTTTTTCTTAATGCCTTTCTTGTTTTTTTTCTCATCATATTCTTTTTGCAATTTGTTTTTATTGGTGTGTCTAATTTATTCAAGCTGTGTTTTGTGATTTTTGTTATTCAAAATATGTTTATTTCTATAAAACTACAACAATAAGACAACTGAGACAACAATAGGATGAAAGTTTTAGTGATATTTTTAGAATTTGGATTAAGAAAAAGACAGTTTTTTTTAAAACTTTTTAAAGTGCAAAATTTCAATTTTATGATATTTATTGTTTGTTTGTCATGTTTTAACACTTCTTCTCTGAGTCTGTATCAGATATTATCTTGAATATGTTCACTCTCATTTTTCATTTTAAAAGAACTATTTTTTTGTAACAAATTCAAATTTTCTAATCTCATAAATGTCCTTACAATCTGCTGGTTTAAATCTTATATATTTTAAACTTAGATTATATTTTATCTAACAGAATTTAGTTTAAAATACGAAAGGACTAGAAAATTAGAGATTGTTGCAAAAACTTAATTTCTTTGTATGTTTTGTTTCTAAACTATTTGTTCAGGTTCTGTTTGTTTCCCTCGGATTCCTCTGATGCGCATCTCTGGTCCTCTCATCATTATACAACTACTGGAGACAACATTTCTAACCTTGGTCAACTACTCCAGTCTTATAGCTACCAACGCAGCCAGGTTCAACTTTTTATTCTTTTCTCAAGGTACTTATTCAACACATGGCAACCAGCTTTTAGATTTCCAAGTCTCATCTAAACAGAGCTGGACCAGCTCTGTTTAGATGAGACTTGGAAATTTAAAAAAAAAACTTTATAGAATCATTTTTTAATGTTTATTAAAAATAATCCCAAAATTAATTTTCTGTACAAGAAATACCCATGAGGCCATGTTTAGCGGTCTTGCTATTAATTTTTTATAAATAAAATGTTAAAATGTAGAATTAAAATCATCTGTAAAGGTTTCCATCCTGTAGATCCTAGACTTTGCTAATCTTCCTCCTCCCTTGAGTAAATATAGTTTGGAGTGGATCTTGGAGAAAATATATTTCTTCTTTCTGTCATTCTTCGTTCAACATGGGATTAAATAATTTTAAATCACAGAATACACAGAACAGAGTTTTTATACTCTTTCAAACCCCTTACTTTGACTCTATTGATGGCTATTATTATTTTTATTTGCTTTCATGTGATGAAAGCACATTATTTGATTTATATAATTCTTGATTAGAATCAACTGATATTCTGTTTTCAACAACATCAAATTTTCATGTTTTAGAATCTTGAAAGGAAAAAATAAAAAAAATAAATTACAGTTCAAATACTGCCATTCAGTGCTGGACAAAATTCTGCCTAGTTTTCAAACTTTGTTTTTATCACCATAAAAATATGTAATAAGCTACAGAGCTTGAATATAATGGTGTCAACAGTGTCTGTAATTTCATACCTATAATTGCGAAATGTATTTTTTATAATTTTTGTTTCACATTGGTATCATAGGTGTCCTATCCTAAATCACCTTGAACCTACCCGAATGCAGTTAAGACTAGGAGGTCTTTTAAATTTCATTCTAAATTACTGCAAGACACTGATACATGTAATGCAACTGATAAAGAGAAGTTCTCATTACAACAATGTCTGCAATAAACCTGCATAGATGGCAAAGGAGTTGAGTCTTTGCCACAAACTTGAATATTCCAGTCCCTTTATCTTTGCAACCTGGCGATGTAAACCTATAATATTTCAAACTTAGATTACATGATCTAATAGAGTATATAGTTTGAAATATCTAAGGCCTACGTCACTGGGTTGCAAAGATAGAGGTATTATATAGTATCAAAGTTTGTGGGGAAAACTCACTTCCTTTCAATTTTATTTGACTAGACAGAGATTTAGTGGAAATCAAACACAACTTGAATAAATGCAGAAACACAGGAGCTTAGATTTAAATTGCCTGATCAGCAATCAAAACTGCATGTAAACCATCCTGGTGGTGGAGATTAGTTTTCTTTTAGTTTAAAGTTGCACCTTGAGCTGTGTTATTAGTTTTCTTTTAGTGTAAAGGTGCACCTTGAGCTGTGTGATTAGTTTTCTATTGGTTTAAGTTGAACCTTGAGCTGTGTGATTAGTTTTCTCTTGGTTTAAAGTTGCACGTTCAGCTGTGTGATTAGTTTTCTCTTGGTTTAAAGTTGCACCTTGAGCTGTGTGATTAGTTTTCTCTTGGTTTAAAGTTGAACCTTGAGCTCTGTGATTAGTTTTCTCTTGGTTTAAAGTTGAACCTTGAGCTGTGTGATTAGTTTTCTCTTTGGTTTAAAGTTGCACCTTGAGCTGTGTGATTAGTTTTCTTTTGGTTTAAAGTTGAACCTTGAGCTGTGTGATTAGTGTATATTGGTTGGTTAAAGTTGAACCTTGAGCTGTGTGATTAGTTTTCTCTTGGTTTAAAGTTGCACCTTGAGCTGTGTTATTAGTTTTCTTTTGGTTTAAAGGTGCACCTTGAGCTGTGTGATTAGTTGCACCTTGAGCTGTGTGATTAGTTTTCTCTTGGTTTAAAGTTGCACCTTGAGCTGTGTGATTAATTTTCTCTTGGTTTAAAGTTGCACCTTGAGCTGTGTGATTAGTTTTCTCTTGGTTTAAAGTTGAACCTTGAGCTGTGTGATTAATTTTCTCTTGGTTTAAAGTTGAACCTTGAGCTGTGTGATTAATTTTCTCTTGGTTTAAAGTTGAAACTTGAGCTGTGTGATTAATTTTCTCTTGGTTTAAAGTTGAACCTTGAGCTGTGTGATTAATTTTCTCTTGGTTTAAAGTTGAAACTTGAGCTGTGTGATTAATTTTCTCTTGGTTTAAAGTTGAACCTTGAGCTGTGTGATTAATTTTCTCTTGGTTTAAAGTTGAAACTTGAGCTGTGTGATTAATTTTCTCTTGGCTTAAAGTTAAACCTTGAATTGTGTGATTAGTGTATCTTTGTTTAAAGCTGCAGCTTGATCTGTGCTATTAGTTTTGCTCTTGGTATTAGCTGCACCTTGAGCTGCGTGATAATCCCAGGTCCTGATTTATGAAGTGCCGAAGATTAAACGGTTTCTAATTGTCCACAGTTAATACAAAATCAAGTTTATCATGAAAAGGCTGCTCAAGACAATATTGATTAAACATTTTCAAAGTAAAGATTGGATGTTAAATGCTGCAGTCATGCTAAAACTTTTATAATTATCTGCTAATGATCTTTTACAATAATGATAAAATAAACAATTATAGTATCCAGTATCCAATACAGTTTGTGACAATTAATATACAGGGTTACCCACAAAGGATGCTACTTCAGCGACGACCTAAAATTGCTTAGATATAGCAATAAATGCTGATTTAGGTTTTGTTCATTGAATAAAGTCTATAAATAATATCCTGATAGAGACTTGGAAAGCGGTCAATTCTCACGATTTTTCCTCTATTTTTTCTGTAATCTGCAAGTCACTGGACGCTCGAACGATCGGACGGTCAATGGACTGTCATTTTGAATTACGTTTACAGTCCCTTTTTTAACTTGGGAAAGTTAGAAACCCGGTTAACTGGTCGGTTTTTATATCAGTACAATAAAGACGAATTTTCTATTCAAGTTTTGATTTCTAACAAGCTGTTTTCAAATTACAAGTTTACAAGTCTTACAAGTAAACACAGAGATTGTGTTAATTGGCAGTTTCTCTTTGTTTCCAAGTATATGTGTATCAAATAATATCCATGCTCTTTGAAAGCTTTGTAGTTTGAAAATTTGTAATCGAAAGTCGTCTTAATTGTATTGACATGTACGATGACGGCTGTATGTAATATGTTTGTATGTTTATTAATAGGATTCTAAAGTTTTGTTTTGATCAGGAGGTTTCGACGGAACGTCTAACGTGCTGGCCGGAAAGCTGTTTAAGATCCCAGTAAAAGGAACGCATGCGCACGCTTACGTCACATCCTTCACTGGGTTGGATGAACTTCAAACAAGAACTCTTTCCAGATCTGCAGATTCTGTAAAGGATAAAGAGAAGGAAGAGGGAACTAAAATGAAAGAATTGAAAAATGAAGGAAAGGAAGATGGGGACGAAGGGAAAGAAAATGGAGACGACGGAAAGGAAGAGGCGGACGAAGGAAAGGAAAATGGAGACGACGGAAAGGAAGATGGGGACGAAGGAAAGGAAGATGGGGACGAAGGAAAGGAAGATGGGGACGAAGGGGAGGAAGATGGGGCTGAAGAAAAGGAAGAGGCGGACGAAGAAAATGAAAATGGAGACGAAGGAAAGGAAGAGAGGGACAAAGGAAAGGAAAATGGGGACGAGGAAAAGAATGCCGAAGAAACAAATGATGAAAAAGCAGAGGATAAAGATAAAGAAGAAGAAAAGGTACATTTCTTTTTTTTCTGTAATCCTTGTTTAATTTTCTCTTTTATTCTAATATTTCTAGGATTTTGTTGAAAAATGTCAGGAGTGGAGAAATAAACTCGGAGATATCATGAATATTCTTGCAAGGAAAATGCATATATTTCATACTCTAACCATAAATACATACTGGGTGTTTCACAAAGAATGAGACTGTAAAGACGATCTGAAACACTTGAAATAAGTCGATTCCAAGGTTAAATTGAGGCTCCTGTCTGAAATCCTGTCTTTTATGGGATATTTAAAGATAAGGCAACGAAAGAAACAAGTCGCGGGGAATCATAAATGTGAGGAATTAGACAGCATACATCTTCTACAGTCGTCTCATACTATGTGGATAACTCTGTATATAGAGTAGGGCAGTAAAAAATGGGTTTTTAAAACACTTTTTTTTAATTTTTATCATTCGTAAACCTTCCCCGTGGTCACGTGATGTCCCACAAAAATTTGGGCCCGATCGGTTTAGCCGTTTTGACATTTATTGGATACAAACAAACAGACAGACAAGCCAAATTTATATATTAGATTGACTTCAAGTAGGAACAAAATTAAAATTTTAACTTTGAGACTTAAATGAATTGTTAACGTTATCCTTTATTTAAGAAATGTAAAGGAACCCTTTAACATGGCCAAACACAGACGGACAATCTCCTACTTTTTAAGGTTTAAAAATGTTTATGAGGCCGCGAACTAAATCTAAAGTAAAATCATTTTTCTTAAAAAAAATCATGATTAGTTTTCCGAAATTGCAATATTAACATTTTCTCCGATATAATTCGCAAAGCATAACTGTTGCCAATAAATTGCACTTAAAAGTAGGCAAAAGTGTTATTAACTTATAAACCCAGAAAATGATGAAAAGTATTTTTAAGATTTAGTTAGTTCGATACCTATAGTTCAAGTTGTTATGCATTTATCCACAGCGAGGCACACGACGGAGAACTTGCAGCGTTCATTAGTTACGCTCTAGCCTTCCCTCAATCCTTCCTAGCTCTCATCGATACATACGATGTTACAAAGTAATTATAATTTAAAGAATTTAGAAGAAAAAAGAAAAAAGAAAAGAATTTAGAAAAAAACTAAAAAAAGTAGATTAAAATAAAGGAAAAGTGTAGAAAATCAAGAAAACAAAAATTAAGAGAAAAAAGAAAAAATCAAAAACAATATGAAAGAGAAGGGGAAAGCAAATTGTGGTTAAACGGGTTGATAGGGAGATTAGAATGGAAGAAAGGAGAATGGTAGAAAGGAAAATGGAAGAAAGGATAATGGAAGAAAGAGAATGGAAGAAAGGAAAATGGAAATAAGGAGAATGGTAGAAAGTATAATGAAAGAAGGGAGAATGGTAGAAAGGAAAACGGAAGAAAGGAGAATGATAAGGTTTAACTAGATTTTCTCGATTGCAGATAACAGACTTTGCAAACAAAATTATGCAGGGAAATTATGCAGTAGTAACTCAATAAACAACATTTCCCATCTCTTTCCTCATCTTTTCCTTCTTTTTATAGATTCCAACCATTATTTTACCAACCATTCTTCTTCTTCTATATTCATGGTTAGAAAATGTTGTTTTACTCTTTTTACCTCCTTTTTTCTTCATACTATTTCTAAACTCTGAGTATAGAAAATTATTAAGGAGTGGAGTTCTCAACTTCTGCGCTGTGACTCTCGCCCTCCACGATCTAGGTTACCGAGCTATCGGAGTAAGGATTGATTCCGGAGATCTTGCGTATCTCTCCAGGTACTGAATAACGCTTTAAATTAACTGTTTTATTTTTTTAAAAATACTAAAAAAAACTATACAATATTTTACTTTAGGGTTGTAAGAGAAACGTTTATCCTTGTCTCAACAAAGCTGGGGCTGGATTGGTTTGCAACTCTGCTAATAACTGCTAGTAATGACATTAACGAGGAAACTATTCTCTCTCTTAATGAACAGGTTCGAAAATAAAGAATTACTTATCCTTATTTTTAATTTAAATGTGTATCTCATATATAAGCAGGTTTCCTTTAGGGACATAAAATCAACTGTTTTGGTATTGGGACGCATCTAGTGACCTGCCAACGTCAACCTGCTCTAGGCTGTGTCTTTAAACTGGTAGAAGTTAATGGGAAACCAAAGATTAAACTATCTCAGGTAACATAAATCAACTCTGTCTGTCTAAATCAATACTGTGCAACGTATAATGTCTGGTGTCTGTCTATCATACAATACTGGCTTTACAGTCTACTGTCTATAATGTCATACTGTCTAATACAGGGTGTCCCATTAAACATTGGAATTAAGTGACTAATTTAATTTCGTCATTGTTCCGCGCGGCATTATTTCGCGACACAATGTAAGCAGTACTAGTTAAAACATTTACTATCTTAGTTGACAAAGATGTTAAGAGATTTTCCTTAATTCCAAATTATTAAACAACAAAATTGCAGTGTAAATGTTTAATATCTCCGTCTAATTATAAAGATACAAAAAAAGGCAGTGCACTCTTTTTCATTTATCAATTGTCAGAAATCAAAGACGAGTTTTAAGTCGTCTTTCAATTCCCATGTTTTTGGGACACCATGTATATAAATTTTACTCTTTACTGTTCCTGAATAATTTATCTTATTTATAAAGTTTTCATCAAATTTTTCTCGATTTCTCTCTCTAGGATGTATCTAAGATTACTATGCCTGGACAGAAGGAAGCCTACAGGTTGTACAGCAGTGATGGACATGCTCTGATTGATCTTCTCCAACTACCCGGAGAAACCCCTCCTCAGGTAACCATTCAGTAAAAAGCAAATTTTTCTTTCCTCAGAAACAAAAAAACTAAACTCTTTTACAAATTAAAAAGGTTGGAAGACGAGTTTTGTGTCGTCATCCATTCGAGGAGTCTAAGAGAGCATACGTGATGCCTCACAAGGTGGAACCTCTATATGTGCTGGTCTGGAGCGATGGGAAGATCTGTACTAAGATGCCAACCTTGGATCAGGTCCGAGCACATGTTCAGAAGTCTCTGAGAAGTCTGAGAGAAGATCATAAACGATCCTTGAACCCAACACCGTACAAGGTTCGTTTTAATCCTTTTAATTATAAAGGAAAATTTAATCTGTTTCAAAATCCAAATTTTATTCATGATCTGTGTAAGCTTGAGATATCTTATGATTTTAATCACTCTCTCCATGATCTTTAGGCTGGAGTATCTAATGATATTTAATATTCTATTCATGATCTCAGGTTGGAGCATCGGGGACCTTTATCAATTCAATCATAATCTTTAAGTTGGAGTATCTGATGATCTTTATCATTTTATCCATGATCTGTATAGGTTGGAGTATCTGATGATCTTTATCATTTTATCCATGATCGGTATAGGTTGGAGTTCTGATGATCTTTATCATTTTATCCATGATCTGTATAGGTTGGAGTATCTGATGATCTTTATCATTTATCCATGATCGGTATAGGTTGGAGTTCTGATGATCTTAATCATTTTATCCAGGATCTGTATAGGTTGGAGTATCTGATGATCTTTATAATTTCATCTATGATCTGCATAGGTTGGAGTATCTGATGATCTTTATCATTTATTCATGATAAGTATAGGTTGGAGTATCAGATGATCTTTATCATTTTATCCATGATCTGTATAGGTTGGAGTATCTGATGATCTTTATCATTTATCCATGATCGGTGCATAGGTTGGAGTATCTGATGATCTTTATCATTTATTCATGATAAGTATAGGTTGGAGTATCAGATGATCTTTATCATTTTATCCATGATCTGTATAGGTTGGAGTATCTGATGATCTTTATCATTTATCCATGATCGGTATAGGTTGGAGTTCTGATGATCTTTATCATTTTATCCATGATCTGTATAGGTCGGAGTATCTGATGATCTTTATCATTTTATCCATGATCTGTATAGGTCGGAGTATCAGATGATCTTTATCATTTTATCCATGATCTGTATAGGTCGGAGTATCTGATGATCTTTATCATTTTATCCATGATCTGTATAGGTTGGAGTATCAGATGATCTTTATCATTTTATCCATGATCTGTATAGGTTGGAGTATCAGATGATCTTTATCATTTTATCCATGATCTGTATAGGTTGGAGTATCTGATGATCTTTATCATTTTATCCATGATCTGTGGCTTGAAAATGCTCCGATAGGAGAATTATCCTGACAATCATACACCCTGGAGTCATCCAGGTAAATTCTTTTAAAAATAAAAAACCAAAAAGAAATTATCCTAAAATGTTTTTTTATTTTTTCATTTTGTAGGGTGGATTCCCCCCGTACTGGTCGAACCAACAGTATGCTCAACATGTCTGACAACCTACCCTGCTCTCCTGATGTAGTTTAATGGGTTGACCGTATACATTCGACGTATTATAGTTGTTTGGAATTTAATATTTATAACCAACCTATAACCTTGCACCCAGCTAACCCGGGATATTAATGGCGTGTCTGGTCAAATATCTGGCGTGTAAACTGTACAGTACGACAGAAGTCGGACCGGCATTCGTACTTGAGATGAATAGACGTGTTCCATTAACCCGTAGTATATTTTTGTAAATTAGAAAATATGATATTATTTTGTATAAATCAGATCGATTGGATCCAACTTCTAAAAGTTTCCTTAAAACTACGACATTTAGAGAAATATGTTCGGAAGCTTTAATCCTTGAATCTGGTCGGAGTTCTGATATTTTACATTAGATTTAGCTTCAAGTTCAATATACAAGGTTACACACACAGGATACCACTTCATGTACTTCAACTGTACATGTACAACTGTACATGTACAACTGTACATGTACAACTGTACATGTACAACTGTACATGTACAACTGTACATGCACAACTCTACAGAATTGATCCTGTCAGTATCCATCCATATTTTCATTTCTTTGCTAAATTATTCAATAAGCCAGAAGACTTAATTAAACCTTGGGATTGCCATATTTTAAGAGTTTTGGGTCGTCTTTACAGTCTCATCCTTTGTGGGTAACCCTGTATATATATATATATAAATACATATAGATATACGTATTTTTTTAGAGTAAAAATGGAAATTATTTCATCTAGATGGTTTAAAGAAAATTAAAGTGAACAGCGGTTGGAACTTATGTGTGTGGAGTATCGTAGAACGCTTGATATCGATATCCAATGGGGGCACTTTTAAATTTAAGGATAGATGATTAATCCCTAAACTAAATGAAGACTATTACCACCTCGAAGAGGAGTTAGTCCGTGTACGTCTATATGAAGGAGATCGGTATTTACGATATTAAAGTTCTAACTTCAGATTTTACTAATATTAGAATACTTTTAGTATGTACACTGTACAGTACTGTTTTAAATATTAAGGTTCTGGACATCACGAACTAACAACTTTATTGATTACTTTTTTTGCCTGACAAGTTTTTTCCATCCGCAATAAACCTTGATGAGTTTATATTAAAACCCTCCAATTGTTGTATACACACTTACTTACTTTAACAATCAACGAATAAGCATATACAGTACACCTGTACTTTAATGTTAACATGTATATTTAGAAAAATAGATAAATAAAGCAATTAAACTAGAGATTCATTACTTTTAAGGATTTCTATAATTCTTGAGATTATTTTTCAAAAATAAGGATACCTTCATCAGCCTTGTTCAGAGAAAGGTTAAAAGGATAATTCAACTTGACACGGGCAGCCGTAGTACATTTGAATTTCTGAGCCGGGTCAACCTTTCCGTTCCCAGTTTGTACTGTGCCTAGCTCTATGGACAGGACTAGGCGGTGCAACAAGGTTGACGCGACCTTATGCTTCATAAAGGCTGAATTTACTTTTACTAAAGGGGCAGAGGTGCGTGTTGAAATTATTTCGACAGTCTTTTTAATATAATTGCTTTCGCTGGAGACCATTTGATCTGGAAAACATCCCTAGTTCACCAACACTGTATTTTTTTTGTCATTTAAAGAAGATTTGAAGAAATTTTGAATGTGTTTCAATATTGAATACGGGGAATTTGATTACTTCAATTTCCTGTATATTCGATATATAAACAGTAACTTGGATAAATGTGATCACTGCTCAGCCTTTGCAGTTTGATAAAATGGAATCGAAGTTGATGGGTACAGTGCACTGTAAACTAAACTTCATTTTATTTATAGTTTCAAATTTTTAATATTTTCTAACAGCACACTCCTTTTTCTAAAGAGCTGTCAGAAAAAAAGAAGAAAAGAAGTTGTGAAATTTCTACATTTAATAAATCAAGTTTTTTTTCTCACTCTTATGGTTGCAAAGTCGTTGTAAGTTATCCCGCAAGAAAATACTGTTCTTTCATTCTACAATACATGATAAATTTGAGTTAATTTTTGTTGGTAAAATGGCGGTAAAAATATAATCTTAATTACTTTAATTGTTTTTATTTTAACAAAAACGATCAAATAATATTAGGAGAATTTGTGTGTGTGATGGTTACAACTTGTTTTTTTAAATATATATAAATATAAATAAAATAAATATCAAATTTCAAAATCTTTAAATTTCGATATTATCAAAGGATTAAACAAAGGGTACATGTCTTCCCCTTTAAATGAACTGAGTTTTTGCCACAAACTCAAATATTTGTATCCGTATATCTTTGCAACCTTAGATATTTCAAACTATTACTTCTGTTAGATCAAATAATTTAAGTTTACACTAAGCGGTTGCAGAGATATAGAAATTAGAAAATTAGAGTTTGTGGCAAAAACTCAAATCCTTTGTTAAAACTGTATTTTGGGGATTTTTTTTCTTTCTTCCTGTTTTGAATTTTTATACTTCAAATGACATTCAATTGAACCAATGCAAAGTAAAGGTATTGAATCTTTGCCAAACAAACCCTGATTTTCTATTTCCTATATCTTTGCAACCTAATGTCAGACCTTGATATTTCAAACTACGAATTAAGTTAGATCAAATAATTTAAGTATGAAATATGAGTATCAGGCATGGCAAAGATATAAGGATTAGAAAATTTGAGTTTGTGACAAGGCATCAATTCCAAATTTTATGTTAGTTTGAAATTTATCATATTATCAATTATAACTCTTTTTATTGAAATGAGAAGGAATAAAATGTTTTTGAATTTCTAATATGAGACCAAACAATTTTGCGTTTCTTATATTTATGCGTATAATAGAAACTAGAGGAGCAACCACACTCTCAACTAATAGAGGTTGACGAGGTCCCAAAGGTGAATTAAAATTTTTTGATCGATTAAGAACTGGGGTTAATATTTTTAGTTTAATTAAGTTGAAACATCCTCTCTCTTGACTCTAGCATGCAGGACGGATTAGCCTTGTTATTTGATTAAATTATATTATTTGTGCAAATATATCCTATTTAATAGAAGAAAAACAAGTCTCTATGAGATATATTTCCAAATATAATGTGATAGAGGTTTCAGAATGGAAAAATAAACCCTACAATCAATATAATACATATAATATAATATAATATAATATAATATAATATAATATAATATAATATAATATAATATAATATAATATAATATAATATAATATAATATAATACATGTTTCGGAAAAACAAGGTTTGGCAGAAATTTTTTTTCTCATTTTTATGTAATAATTGAAAAATCAAAATGATAGTTTCAAAAAAAGAATTTCTGAAATTTAATGATTTAGTAAAGTGTTAAAACGACTTTTTAAAATTAGTATGACTCAAATTCATTTTTATTTAAAAGAAAATGTATAGTTTACATTATTGAAAGAATCCTTCATAGATATCACAATTCTGAGAAACACACTCTTTGATATTTGATAAAGAATTTTTTACTAAAAAATTTAAATTAAAATAGTACACAGTTTCAAACTATGTAAAAAATCCCTTCATGTCCAATTAGAAGATAACTTCCATTAACCCTATTCCTGCTGGGGGGGGGGGTCAATTTGACCCCCCCC